AGGCTGGGGCTGGGGCGGCGGCGGCGGCGGGGACGGCGCGGCGGCGGGCGGCGGAGGCGCCTGCTTCAGGGACATGGCCGGCGGAGGGAGGGCGGAGGGAGGCGGGCGGCTCGTCGCTGCTGCGGCGCTGCTGCGGCTTGTCCTTCCTCCGGGGCCGCCGCCGCCGCCTCCGCCTCTCAGGAGCGAGGGGAGGCGGGGACGGAGGAGGAGACAAGCGCCGGCCGGCTGCTGCCCGCCTCGCTCCAGCGGCGGCGCCAGGCGAGCGCGGCGGAGGGATCCGGGTGCAGCGCAGCGCAGCCTCCCCGCCCGGCCCGGGGCAAGCGAGCGGCGCCTGGCCCGAGGGCTGAACCGCTGCCGCGGGGAAGGAGCCGCCGCCGCCGCCGCCGCCGCTTCTCGCGCGCCCAGCGGCTGAGGCGAGAGTGCCCCTGAGCACGCGCAGAGTGGCGCGAACTCGGGGCGGAGGGGGCCCCTCTGGGCTTTCGCACGTGCCCTGCCCGGGGTGGGGCAGCAGGAACACGCGTGGCGAGGCACTGCCAGCTTCGCCCCAGCCTCGCTGGGCGTGTGAACCGGCCCACCGAGGAACGGAGAGTGTGTTTGTGTGTGTGTGTGAGAGAGAGAGAGACGGAGAGAGAGCTGTGCAAGTGGCATGCATGAAGGATGTGCGATATATACATGGTATCTGTGATACTTGTATAAAATGTGTGCCCTGTATGATGTGTGTCACATGCATTATGTGTCTGATATGGGCACTTACGTAATTAGAATATAGACACACACATCCTCACATAGGCACACTTGTGCTGCTCAGTGCTTGTGAAATGGTGGCTGTGCACGAGCAACTTTCGACCTCAAGCCAGTCTGATCTCAGCCAAGCATGCTGTCCGGGTATGGACAGAAGGCCTACAACTCCCAGCATGCCCCAGCTGACATAGGTGGCTGGGGCATGCTGGGAGCTGTAGGAGTTCTTCTCCATCTGAGCTTGCCCGTGATTCTGCCTAGAAGCCCCTATGAGGGCGACTGCAGAAACAGCTACAGTGCCCTTTGCTGCGTATCAGAGCAGCTGAATGTTTTGCCTCAGATTAAGATTTCAGGTTAATGGCCTTAACGTGCTATTTTTGAACAAAGAAATTTCAAAGACACACAGACACGGAATTGCTGAATTACAGTTCAACAGGTTCAAGCTCTGAGGAAAATACCATTTTCACATGACAACCCAGACTCAGGCTTCAGAATGGTTGACCCTACGTGGTTCTGTGACCCCAGACATGCGAACAAGCCAAGATGTGTGACCCATGAGCAGTCCAGATGAGAGCTTTTGGGTTTTCAAAGGCCAAGCAGCAACCTCACGAGGAAGAAATATCGTAGCGGCCTGGTCTGTAGAAACAAACAAAGCCGACCGGACTGGGCTTCCAGGTTCAGGACTGAATTCTGAGGTGCCCCCAAAGGGCAAACCCAAAGCTTCAGGGGAAGGCAGTTGTAACCCCAATTTCTTGATCTTCCTTTTGACTGCGGAGGAGCATTGCTGCGTTGTCCGGATTAAGCATCAACCCACACGGTGAAGCTGGATTCTTCGGGGGGGGGGGGCTGGTTGAGTTGAGCTGGTTCATCAGTTCACCCCCCCCACCCTCTTCCAATTAGACAAACTGGGAGACATTCCGCAGAGGATCCCCCCCCCACCCTTCTCGCCCCACCCAGTGGCTATGCACAAAATGACGATCCCTTGGGTGCCTGGCTGAAGTTACAAAGGGTTGCGCATTGTTCCACTGGCTTATGTCATTTCAATGTATTCTTTGTTTTGCTCTCTTTGGCCTGCATTGTACATATGTGCATCGCCCTGCCCCCACCTCACCCTTTCTTCCCTCACCAAAAGCAGGGTGGGAATTAGGTAGATCTGCAACTGCCCCTAGATACCACTTCAGTCAGGCCAATGCTTTTACAAAGCGTATTCCATGGGGATTGTGGGGGGCCTCTTTCAAGCTCTTTTAGCAGCAAACACAAACCCAAATACTGGCCAGACGTGAGACAGGTACTAGGAAGGCTCCACCTCTTGTGCATACTAGCCTAGCTAGCCTTTAAAATGGAGCTACAAGACCTAACCCTGTCGTCGTCGTTGGTCGCAAAGTCGTGTCCGACCCATCGTGACCCCACGGACAACATTCCTCCAGGCCTTCCTGTCCTCCGCCATCCCCCGGAGTCCACTAAAGCTCACACCCACTGCTTCAGTGACCCCATCCAGCCACCTCATCCTCTGCCGTCCTCGCCTTCTTTTGCCATCTAGACCTAACCCTAAAGGCCTGCAAATTCTCCAGTGTCTTCCCAGCCACCCTTGCTAAGATGTGCGAGAGAGAGGAGACACAGCAACATTGCCCTGTAGTCTGATGAAACAGCCCATGAACAACAGCCCATGCTTCTGGGTTCACACATGACAACCCATGGTTTAAGCAACTCACAGTCGACCACACAAAACAAGCTATGGGTCCTATTTCTGGGTTGTCTGTGGCTGAAAAAACGGCTTGCTAGGTTGGTTTTGCACAACAGGACAATCGACAATTCAGCAACCCATACTGTGGTGTAGTGTTATGTGGCAACCTGGCCATTACCTCCTTCCAGTCACAAGCTTGCCGCTTCATTGCGCCACGCAATGCTTTGCTCTAGAAGGGCGATCTTCCCAGCCAGCGGAAACACACACTGCACACGCAAGGGCCACGGCGCATGTTTAATCCAGTTTAATATATTCTTGTTGCAGATGTTACAGCAGAGTCCGTCTTTTTAAGAACTATACATTTATGAGTGTTGCTTGTGTCAGCCAAATTCCAGCTTAGCCTTTGAATAAATAAGAGGCTGCTCTGAGTTAAGCAAAAGCTTGGCAGATTTATCCATGTTCGTACTTGGCACACAGGTGGCATCTTTCAGTTGCAACCAGAAGCAACTCTGCTCCATTTTAAAAGAGAATGACATGTCAATATTCCAAGGAAAATTCAAGGCTTCCCTTAGAAACAATCCAGATCTATTACATGTGTATCAAGGAGAACAAGCCCCTAAATGCTACTGAGGAGAGCCTGGGCTGGCCTTGATCTTGATACAGCAGCAGTTCCTACGAGAGACAATACACTGGCCGTCTACTTTATCAGAGCCTCTCTCCGAAATTCACATGCACCTTTTTTAAAAGTTCCATTTCTGCTAGGAAGGTTGACCAAGTAGCAGCAGTAGTGAGGAGATCAAGGGCCACGTTCAATTGGAATGGTTTGCCTAGTGTCATTTGAATCTGCTATTCTGGCTTGTTGCTCCCAAACAAACCAGGATTTATAAGCCAAGGACTAACCCTAGTTTGTGATCCTGGCTTGTAAAAGGAGCAATATGCCAGGATCCTGGGGTTCAGACACACACTACGCAAGCCATTGCTGGTTTGTTTGGCCAGCAGGAAGAGGAGGGAGTAAAGGGCTGCGTGCACCTGCGCACGGGTTGCTCACAGTAAGCCAAATCTCTACCCCACTTGATGACCTAATGCGTATCTGTTGGATTCAAGGTACACAGGCTTCATCAGGTCAGCTTCATAGAAGCCCCAAACTGCAACCTGATATGCGGAGAGCTTGAGAGGCCCCCGTTAAGAATGCTAAATTTAAAAACAAGAATGAGCTGGCCAGCTGCAGCCAGTGGAAACTGTAGGACTCCAAACTAGCTTATGTTTACCTCATGCAACCAAGCCTTCTTGACAAAAACAGCAGACAGAGCCCCAGACATGCCCAGATCTTGCCTCCGGCCCCCATGAGCAGTGCTCCCTGGCATGCAGCGGGGCCCTTTGCCAGGCATCACGGCTACAGGTGGTTCCACGCACTTGCGAGAGAACAGCACCTGCTGCGCTGAGCAATCCGGCCAAAGCCTTCACACAAGGGAATTTACTCTATCAGCAAAGATCAGAACACACTGCAGGGAGGCACGAATGGAAGGGTGCATCCCGCGGGCCAGGCCTCTTTGCACATCACACCGAAGCAGCAAACCAACGAGAGGACATGTGCTCAAAATAAAGGCACTGGAAGGGGCAGGGCGTCCTCCAGCCCCTCGCTGGCAGCCCCCGCTTGGCATCTCCCTTTTCAGAAGCCTTTTCAGCAGGCTTCAAGCGTGCAGATCTCTTATGCTCGCTTTTCACTGAAATCTCACAAGCTTCCCGAAGAGTGAAACCAAACTGACCCACGAACGCAAGGCCTTCTTGCACTCATTTTCGAGTCGTGCTCCTTTTGAGAAAGGGCGAGTTGGAGCTGGCGAACGGGCGGGATCATCTTTCCGTGCTCCCAACTCTCACGCTGATATTCCAGAGTGTATTTGCAATGGAACTGGTGTGCCTGGAACCTCGCACTGAAAACACAGCTTGGATTACGGTAAGGGCTATGAAGTGCCGAAACGGCAGCATGGAAGTGCATACATCCACAGGCACTTCACTGCTCCAGATCATTCCTCCCAAAGCGGGAAGGGGGGGAAGGGGCCGCCCGGGCCTGTTTAAATGCAATCCCACGTAATGCATAGCCAGGTAGCAAGGCAGGGGCTGGAACAGGCAGGGCCTCTGGAAGCCGTGCAGAAGAGCGGCAGCGCAACTCGCCAGACACCACTGTTCCGCCACCTCCAGCCCAGCACAAAGATCAGGGTCGGCTTCAGACACAGGCCTTGCAGAGGAGTCAAGAGGCAGCGCCTGTACCAGCAAGCAGCTACGTAAACGCTCACGCACCCAACCCTCCCAGCAAAAGAAGCTTCTCAGCTGCACTTCACTTCTGCGCCCAAGCCGGCAACCCCACTGTGGTCCGAATGGCACCACGCCAGAGCAGCCTGCATCCACTCTGCACCAGGCACCCCAAGATCAAGAAAAAGCCGGGCCTACGTCTCACTCCGGGCTTACGCACACAGAGCCGCAGCCTCCCTTCCCACTCTCCCTAAAATAAACCTAAGGCTCTGCCATGGTTTCGGGTTTTGCGCTTTTTAACATAAAATTCAGAGCAAATGTCTAGAACCAAACACAGTGTTCTCAGGTATGCAGTGGAGGAGGGGAGGTTGAATACGGTCACACAGCCAACCAAGTCACTACATTCTTCCGAAGAGAGCCAGCCAGCCAGCCAGCCAGCCAGCCAGCCAGCCAGCCAGCCAGCCGGGAGGGCGGGGGAGAGTCTTAAGGGCTGCTGAGGGCTGTTGCCCGGTCCTCTGGGACAGGAGAGGACCTGGAAACTGAATGTGATCCCTTGGTAAGCTCTTGTGCCTGTGTTTGCCTGGCAGGCGACTCTCCTCCCGCCCGTGGTCATGCCCCGTGACGCGTTCCGGTAAGGTCAACCGCCTGCGCCACGTCTCTCACTTGCCTCGTTTGCCTCTGCCCTTCCGGGAGGAAGGCTTCCCGGGCCCCCCCGCTGAAGAGCTGGCTGATGCCATGGCGATATTGATCTGTCCATCCTGGATTTCCTGCCTCGTCTCGGCGGGGAGGTGGTTGATCTTCTGCTGCGTCTCCAGGTAGAACATGACATCCCGGAGCTGCTCCTGGATCTCCGTTATCTGAAGGTCCTTCTGCTCACAGGTTTCTTTTACCAGTTTCTCCTCATCCTTCAGCTTGTTCTGAAGCAAGATCTGGTTGGCCCGCAAGCACTTGTTCATTTCCTGCTCCTCCTTCAGTTCACTGGTGAGCCTGGATACCTTGGTGCTCAGCTGAGTGCACCTGGCGGGCAGTGAAGAACAGCAAAGGAGAGAATCAAACTGACAGCTCTTCCCATCAGCTTCAGACAGGCAACAGAAGCAACAGAGCCACTGACAATCCTCCTCAGAAGTATACGAAGGTAATTGCTTTAGATAATTACAATGGAGGGCAGACCAAATAGCTTGCACATGGACTGCCCGGCCAGCCCGCAAGTGCGTTGAGACACCTGCGGTGCCACCTGGGGAGCTGCAGCTGATACTTCAGGGGTGCAGAGGCCTTTTGGCCCCAGGGCCAGGTGTCGTTTCGCAGAAACGTTGGGAGCTGCATTCCAGTGGTGGGTGAGGCTGAAGGCAAAAGGCCAGCATTCACGTAATAGTCAAGTTGGAAAAGGGCCATGGGGTCTAAGCCCCTGCTGAGTGCGGGGCTCCAGGACGGCTGTCCAGCCGCATCTCAAACGCCTGCAGCGTGGGAGCACCCACCGCCTCCCGAGGTCACTGGTTCCATCGTCCTACTGCTCTGCAGGTCAGGAAGTTCCAAAATCCAGAATTCCAAAATCACCGGCCTATTTCAGCTTAAAGCTCGTACAACCAACAGCAAAGCCTTTGCTGAGCATGGCAGTTTTTTGAAGTGGTAAAAACGGGGTACAATCAGCTGGGGAACTCTGGAAGGCTAGATCTGGCCCCCAGCCCCATGATTCTGTACCTGGGCCATGCAAAGAGCCCGCTGGGATCCAGGATTTAACTGCTATGAAGCATGGATGCTACTGGGACCAGTTCCCAGAGACTTTTCCTGTATTATAAAACTAGCTCATCCGCCCACATTACAAGGTACTGACCCAAACCCAGGCGATATGATGCAGCCAAGACCAAAGGGGTTGGTTTGCTACACAGAATGACACGGTGTGTTGTCATTAATGTCTTGGGTCCACCCTGCATGTGCAGCTACTGTACAGGACTTGTTCGGTTGCGGCTCAGCAAAGGGACTTCCGTGGTCCTCGCTTCTGAAGCCAACTTAAACTGGGGAGAGAATAGCATAATGCAGCCCTCCTGAACCTGGTGCCCTCCCCATTCTGGCTGGGAGCTGCACTCCAACACCTCTGAAGGGTACAGGGTTGAGGGGGGGGAACCCCTGCTCCTGTGAAGCCAGGGAATGTGTGGCTGGTGAACGAGGGAGCCGAGACCACCGGGAGGTTTAACCTCGTTCCAGCTGGAGAGGCCAGGGGCGCGGTGGGTTGGGGGCAAGATCGCGTGCATCAAGACGGGCATGCAAAGTGCTTTTTCCGAAGGTGGAGCACCTACTTCCTTTCAACAGATTGCTTCTCCTTCAGCAAGTCGTTCAGCCGGTGCTCCAGTGAGTCACATTTTTCAATGGTCTCTTTAAATTTAGCCTTCATGTTGTTAACCTGTTTTTTTAAAAAGGGAAATGAAGCAGAAAATGATTTCAAGCAGGCCGAAGTCCAAACAAGTGTTGTTCTTGTGACAGCTGGGGCAATCTAGACTCTGGCCATGCCTTGGAGACCCGGAAATAAATTTCAGGAAGCTGGGGAAGAAATAAGAGGTGGTGGTTTTCTGCAGAGTCCGCACTCCCTTCTTCCTCCCCATTCCTTGTTCCTTGTGTGTTGTGTCTTTTCGGGTTTCAAGTCTGGGCAGAGGACTGTCTTATTTTACTGCTTACTTGCAAACTGCTCTACCAGGTCTCGTTGCAGGAGGGAAAAACAGTTGCGATACACTGCTTCCCAGAACAGCTGCCGCACAGCAAATGTTTGCTGAAAGCCCACCATCTCTGCGAAGCCTTGGGCATAAACCTCGCACCCACATCACCTCTCAATCCCTTTCACCCAACCAGGCTTATTTTTCATGACTTGCGAAAAATACCTGCCAGTTTATATTCTAAAGAGCATGGCCAACACTATGCATGAGTCCACCTGCTCGTCCATGGAGCACACCTGGAAGGAGCAAACTTGCTCCTGGGCCTGCTCGGCTGAATGAACGGAAGTTGTCCTTGGCGGGGCCTCGCAAAGCATCACATGCAAGAGGAAGTGGCCCCAAACCTCCCCCAGAAATCAGGGCAACCGCTAGAGAGCCAGGAAGAGCTACGCAGCCTGGCATTCTCGATTCAGCAGAGCCTGCCGACATTCAAGGCCCCAGGCACCTTCTCCTCACTTGCTCTGCTTGTGTGAAAGCACCACTATCACTGACTCGTACTGGCATGCCATTGTTATGCTGCAACATCCGCAGGATGCACTGTCATCAATTTTGACTGTGGGTAACGTCTGCCAGATCTGGTCCCTGTTTACTAGATCAAAGATCAATGTAAAATCAATACTGGGCCCTTGATTCTTGGAACTGAAACTTGCCACACAGAGGGCCTGTCTATTAGACTAACCCTTTCTCAAACCAGCCTGCTCCGTGTTGATGAAAACGGAGCTCATGTCTCAATAAGCTGTAGCTCTCAAAGGAGGGACGGCAGAGACCAGGTGCAGGCTGCACCCCGAAGGTGGCATTAGATGTCCAACCGACAGGAAAGCCTATCAGTAGAATGCATGCCAGCAAATCCTTTCACTGGGGTTGAGCCCGCTAGGTCAGCGTCCGATTCAGAGATCGATTACCAAGTGGTAGCTGAGGGTGTGTGTTCGGCATGCGAGGCTGGGCCAAGGGTGGCCCTTCCACAGAGAGCTGCCAGGTTCCCCAGGGCTTGCTGCTTTGAGTAGCACTGATCCCGTGAACCGGGCCGATGCTAGCGGCACTGTTCCCGGCAGTACAAATGAATCCGAATGTAGGCCTATTTTTCCTGGGTCCTGCCTGAACAACAGACAAAAGGCAGCCCCCATATACAGAACCTGCTGGCACACTGAGCATTCTGCTCCTCTTGGGATTGTGTCAGGCTATAAAATTGTGCGCTGGCTTTTTTGCCACAGTAAGCAACAGGATCACATGACCGCCCTGCTGACATTAAGTTCTTGGCTAGGACGAACAAAACAAGGAGGGAAACCCAGCGCGGAGGTCCCCGGTTTCCCGCTCCACAAAGGGGCTGATGCAAGCCGTGTGAGTCTTCTCCGAGGGAGCCGGAGCCAGTGGGCCGACCCCGGGCAGCCCTCCCGGCCGGCCCCACGACCACCAGCCACCAGTTGCTCATCCGATCAGCCTTTCCAAGCACAGTTCTAGCCACGGACTGCAATATAAGGTAAAGGGGTTCACACACTGGCGAGCAAAGGAAAAGATGGAGGACAAGCTGAGCACCAGTCCTGAAGACCTTGGAAGTCTGCTTGCGCGCAAGTGAAGCACGGCTGGGAGAGCCTGAGACTCCCCTAGAATTTGCCCTCCGATGTCAGATCCGACGATCCCCACTGCCTCCACCGACTGGCCATCCCTGGGCTGCAGCCTCGGGCGGCTGATGGGCGCCGGCGTCAGGGAAGGCCCCATGGAGACAAGAACAGGGGAGCTGAAGCCCCCGCGAGGGAAACCGCAGACCGCGGGCTGCAGGAGTGGAATCTTTCCTCGGCATTTGAGAATGCTTTGAAGCAAGCCTTCCCCATGCTGCTGCTCTCAGGCTGCTCTGGACTTCGGCTCCCATTAGCCACAGCCAGCATGGATGGTGTTCTGGCTCAACATGCCAGGAGCACAGCAGGCTGGAGAAGGGCCAGGAAGGCGGACTGGGCCTCCGGGCTGAGTGCCCATCCTTCAGCTCGAGGCAAGCGTCCTCTTGGCCCCACAGCGAACTCACCTCTTCAGCTGTATCCTTCTCTATCCGGACAATCTTGTTCTCCCAGTAAATGCGCTGCGACTCCAACTGGCTCGTGAGCAAGTAAGAGTACTGCATTGGGGAAGGAAGCGGAGGGAAACCCAGAGTGGTCACAGTTTGGTGCCTGTAGCACAAAGCCGGCTTCGGCAGCCCGAGTCCTCCCCGCAACCCCCGGGACAAGATGGACGTTCTCTCCCAGAAACCACACAAGCTCCGCGCTTGGGCTGATGCAGCTGAGGAGGGTGCGTCCCACAACCACCAAAACCGGGATGGGAGCTTTTCGCCATGCGACATTTGCGCCACAGCGTATGATCAGGCCCCACACCAGCCAGAGGCTGCGCGCCTGTTAGGCCAGGCCACGGCCTGCTTCCAGGTCCACCGGGCTGCGAGGGCCGTTACTGGCACTCTGAGCAGGGCCCAGGGGCAGGGCAGGAGCCCGCTCCACCTGGCCCCACCCAGCCCCCTCCCCACAGGGGAGGCGCTCGCTCGCTCGCTCCCTATAACGGACCCAGGCCAACTGCCTGGTCACAGCATCCTGGACTAGCAAAGTTGGCTGTCATCAGCTAACTGGTGTCTTCTGCATGCACTGGACGGCAACCCCCTTCCTCACCCGGCACAGTCGCAGGGGCTGCGGTAGGTAAAAGCTGCCATCCAGCACATCTGAAAGCCCCCAGCCTGGAGGAGGCTGCCGCAGGGCCCCAGCCGGCACTCCGCAGGGCCCCCGTGACGTCAGCGGGGAAAGTGACCCCAGAGACCGCCAGGCTGGGGAAGGGTGCAGGCATACCTCCAGCTGCAGCGCGTCGATCTTCTCCTCCTGGCACATCTCCCCCTCGCACTCGTACTGAACGAGCTTCCCGTCGGTTTTGCTGGCCACCAGGCGGTGGACGTAGTTGTCTGGGGAGAAGCGCAACGAGCTGCTGGGCGGCCCCAGAACCTTCTCTTGGCTTGAGCAGTCACGGCCGATGCCGGAATTTGTAAAGGAGGCTGGCGCAGGAGCGGATCTGCGCCAACTCCACCCATGCCCTCCTCACCCCAGGGAGTCTGAAGCCCGACCCTGCTGGGCTCCCCACGGGGCAAGTGCTCAGCTCCGTCCAGCACTCCAGACAGAGTCGGGGCTTGGGGAATGAGGGGGCAACCCTGCGAAGCCCCCCATAAGCTCAAGCTCAACTGCCCCACAACTCCCCACAGAAAGGCCTCCGGTGCTTGGGCCCCCATGTAACTGGAACGACGCCCAGCAAGAGGTGGCGGTGGCAGGTACTGTAAATGAAGGTAGCCTGCTTCTTGCACACAGACGTGGCGCCGCTCGCCCATCGGAAGCAGCTCGCCCGGTCCATACTGCGTCCGTCAGCTGCATGCAGGCCGGAGACCCCATTGCTCGACATCTGCAGGCTTTTATGTGGAAGACTCTTGCCCGAACCCAGAGCAGACAACACGGAGCAAAACGGGACAAGCGCAGCCCCCTCCAGGCCCGCTGGGAGTGCCTCTGAACCAAGCCCTTAGGCCGGGGTGGGGAGCATCTTCCATCCCAAGGGCCACACTCCAGTCAGGAGAAGCTCTTGGGGACCGCACTGCAGGGGTGGGTGAGGCTGAAGGGAAGAGAGGTGGGGCTAAAAATCCAAAAGATTCCAGCGTACAGGAGTTTCAAGCTCCTTCAACCAGTAAGAGACTTTAGGAGCGGCACCTCGGCCTGTTAGAGCAGGCAGGAAACGCCACACAAGGGCAAGGGCAAGGGCAGCCCACCACCGGGCTGGCAGTCCTGGGAAAGTCGCGTGCTGGTCTGGGGAAAGCCAGAGGGCCGGCACGGGGCTAGGACTGGCCCACGGGGCTGAGATTCCCACCTCTGACTGGCGCGCGTCCCGGAGGTCAGCCTGGCCCGTCCCCCAAGAGGCCCCGGGAAGAGGGAGTACCTCCAGCATAGTCCCAGACTCTGTGATTGGTCAGCTGCATGGCGTAGGTGTGCTGCGTCTCCTCGAAGTGCTTGTACGCGTGCCGGCTGACGTAGCGACCGCAGCCGATGTGCCCGCATATGAGGCAAATCCACAGGTTCTGTGGAAGGGGAGGATCGACAGGACCGAGGGAGACCCCCCGGTCAGAAGCCTGGGCGCACTCTCCTCCACGCCAGCCCTGCCAGCAGTGGGACTCGCGACGGAGCCGCCACGCCTGGACAGCAGGAGGGACCCCGAGACGTTCCGCCAGGGCGGTTGCGACCCACAGCGGGCGCAGCCCAGCTTTGCCGTCCCCTACAAGGGCTGTTTGTGCCTGAGAAGCGGGGGGTGCCCGTGCCTGGGGCAAGGCCTGCTTTGGGTGCAGCAGGGTGGTCCCGGGGGGGGGGGCAGGGGGTCCTAGGAACAAAGGTCTGGAGAGCCAGTGCCCATCAGGGTCCACACGCTTGTCTGGAAGGGGCAGTGGTCTGACGCGGGATCCCGAACCGCAACCCTCTGTTGCTAAGGCACACCCGCATCGACACAAAAACTATTCTGGGCTCCCCAGACGGCAGCTCCTGGTCCAGCAAGATTCCAAGGCACGCTGGGGACAACCCGGCCGGGAGAAGCGAGCCCCATGGTGAGCAGCGGAGAGGCAGTGCGGCCTGCCAGCCACCCGCACCCTCACCCTCCCTCCCACTCACTTCTTGGACGCCACACTCGAAGCACTTGTTCTCCTCCACAGGCTCTGGCGTCTGACAGTACCTGCACACGGGACACCTGGAAGGGCCAGAAGAGAGGAGACCTCGCTGCAGTCCGGGCCAGGCAGCTCGCAAGCCACACTAGGCCTGGTTTCAGCCCTCTGTGTGTCCAGGGCCCTTAGCACTTCACTGGTAGCACAATTAACGTTGAACCCGGGACCCAGGATACGTGAAAGCGGCTGAGGAGGCAGGGCAGGCTAGACCAGGGCCAAGAGGACCCTCGCGCCCTCCTTCAGTACACCTTTTATTCAGTCGCTAGGCTTTTGTGAGCTTTGCTTCCACTCCTGGAAGCGTCTAGCTCTCGCGCAGCCAGGTTTGAGAAGGCGCTTCCGTGCAGCAAGCCCTCCCGGGGTTAAATCGTCCAACGAGCAGCCCCAACCGCACGCCTGGAGCAAAGCAAGCCCCTTACGTGGTGTCCTCCCAGCGCTGCAGGCACTGGCTGTGGAAGCTGTGGTTGCACAGCGTGGTGAGGATCCCGTTGACCGACTCGTCCATCCTCTCCAGGCAGACGGTGCACTTCGGAAGCTCGGTCAGGTCCATGACCGGAAGGCTGGCCCCCTTCGGGAGAAGGCGACGGCCCAGTTAGTGCCAGAGCCGTGGCAGAACGGAGGACACGCTCCCTCCGCTTGGGGCTGCAAGGGGCTTGGCTGTCTTTTCCATGGCCCTTGAAACACTCCGCAAGAAAGGAGAGACCCGGATGCCGACTTTAAGGAGTCCAGAAGAAACAACAGCCGTGCTCTTCCCTGGCAGCCAACAGACCCCTGCAACACCTCAAGCGTCCAACCAGTGTCATCAGCCACATGAGGCAGACACGGGGCCGGGGGCCCATACCCTTGGGGGGAGCACCGTGGAGGCAGACACAGGACAAAACCCCACAAGAAAAGGGAACACGTCTGTAAACACGGTATGCAGAGATTCCAAGAACAGAGACAATGCAGTACCTGCGTTTCTCGAGCCATGCTTGATGCGACTTCCCACCCTCGAAGAACACTTTCCACCCCGACTTGCTACGGCTTTTCACTTGAAAAGAGCAAGAACCACGCTTGCCCCAGTCCAGGGAAGGGCAGCATTCGCTTGGGCCGACAGCTTCTATGCACCGTAACTGTTGGCTATGCTGCTTAAGGCTGCTGGGAGCTGCAGACCAAACGCCTGGAGATCCAAAGCTGCTCGTCTGCCCCAGCCAAAGAGCACGGCAAGGGCCTGTCACATTTCTCCAGTTGTATATTGCAAAGGAAGCCAGCTGGCAGGAGAGGACATGGCTGCTCTTCGAAATGCCTGTCCTCCATTACTGATCTTCTCTCCGACGCTCCCCACAAAAATTCTCCATAGATATTGTTCCAAAATATCCAAGGACGGGTACCAAATGGTGTTGTTTCTCTTTCAAGAGCACCAAATTCATAGCACAAACCATCCATAATTCCTTTCTTAATTAGGAGATGCAGCATCCATTGAGCAGAAAGGACCCAACAGCATTCCCCAAACCCCTCACTAGGTTCAGAATAGGGGAAAGGGCTTGAAAAACCTGGCCTGTTTGGTTGGGTGCTTCAGGTTTTTTTCAGAAATAGGTGTCTTAAGACACAACCCTATGCAGTTGAGACAGAAAGGGGCCTACAAGTCCCAGCATCCCTCAGCCAGCTGCACTAGACCTTTGCTCCTTATTTAAACTTGCCTAGGACCATTCCCTGGCAAATTCTGCATGCAGAGCTTTCAGCTCCAAGGGCGTGCAGGCTGCAAGGCATGGGGAGGATGCTAAGGTGCATAAAAGAAGTTGAAAAGCGCGAGGAAACTCACGTCTTCTGACTTGAAGACCTCGGCCCTCTCCACGTAGACCAACTGGCAAACATCCTCTTCGATGGAGTTGAATTGCCGGCCGTTACAAGCCATGTAGAAGCTGTCTGCATCTGCCTAAAGTTGCGCCAGAGGAAAGAGGCGGAACAGTTTCAGTGAATGCAACAAAGGCTACCCAAGGGAAGATCTGGACAGAGAGCGCCTTTCCCAGGTCAGCGCATTCACAGCGCCTCCACCAGACCCACAACCCAACCCTGGGAGTTCAGGAGGCCGGTCTCTACTCACTATAGTTTGCACAGGCCGCACGCCAGATTAACTCAGTACTGGGCAACATGTCAGATGCCTAGGTGTTAAGGTTGCCACTCCTGCCCTGGGGGCAAGCGCAGGTGGCACATGCGCCGTCCGAGGGTCGCATCACTGCTCCTGTCCTCCCGGGCAGATGAAAACAGCCTGGCACAGCAGTCTTCCCAGAGCAACAAGCTGCCCGGGGAGAAGAGCCTGTCCCGCCCTCAGTCAGCTCTGCCTCTTGCCACTTAGCTTTTACCTGCGTGCTGAACTTGATTAAGGCCATGTACTGATTCGGGGTGGAGTCTCGGATGATCTTCATGTGTTCGATGACTTCATAGAAGGAAGCCACAAACTTCATGAGGTCGTGGCTCGTCATTGTGGCAGGGACCGTGAGAATGCACAGCATGGCGCTGCGCCGCACGTCTTCTTTTAAGGCGGTCATCTTGCTGCAGAAGATGAGAATTAGACAGATGGTTAGCGACCTCACCAACGTTCTTAAAGTCTCAACCTAACAGTGTCTGCCTGGATAGAAAAGCAGGCATAAGGCAACCACCTGAAGACTCCCTGAACAGTTCTGTACAGCAGGAACTTCTGAAAAATCAAGTTACTACTAAAATTACCAATCCTGCTGCTTTCCTGAAGAGCTGAATATCTCGTAACTTCACAATCAGTTAACGAACCCTATCAGGCCTCAACAACTGCAATTGTTATAATGGCAGTGATTTTCTCAGTGTTCCAGGAAAGCTCGTCTCAAGCTCCTTGAGTAGATCAGTGATAGGCAGCAAGCTTTGTGGAGGAGCATGGTGGCCCACGGCCGACCTCCTATAACACGCAGCACCGGGGCAGAGCAAGCAGGGTGCCCTCAATTCAGCCGAGTCAACATGGAGGCCCAAAAAGTCCGGCCGAGATCCTGAATCAATTAGTTGGCAGTCTAGAACGCCCCCAAATCCACAGGGGTTGCTACATTTCCTGAAGGAAAGTGTAAAAAGTCATTACTGTTCAGAACCTAGCTTAATCTCTGTGTTACCGAGCGTTATAGATGCTGAACAAAGTCAAAAACAAACATTTAGAACTACAGACAAAAGGAGGTCACTTGGTGCTTCGCTTGCTGTCTTTTCAGCTGCCAGCCAGGATACTGGTATTTTTGCAAGTCATTCATAACATTAGCTAAAGCCATTTCAAACATGCTTCTGCTCTGCAATTTTATTTGTTATGCTGCAATGTTTCGTTTATTCCAACTTTATAGCTAACCATCCTGAGAGCATTACTGAATGCCAGGATTACGAGCGCAATCTGATGCATGTCAAGATGGAAACAGGACTTGCTGGTCGATTTCCTGTATAAACATGCGTGAAGTTTTTGCACCTTAAATCAAGCGGTCACATCTTGTTCCTACCCACTCTGGGCAGCTCTTGGCTGGCAGCAGCAGGCCTCCCATCGCCTACCAGCTGAGCCTTTTCTCCACTTAAGGACCTTGGGGACCAAACCTGGTACCTTCTGCATGCAAAGCAGCCACCCTGGCACTGAGCGGCACCCTTCTCCCTGTGAATCCTCCTTATTCTCCTTCACAACAATTGCTCCCTCAAGGCACGTGAGAAGAGAGGCATTTCCTTACTTTGTCTTGTAGAGGTGCATGATGCCATGCACAATTTCAACAGATGGATTTCCACTGAAAAAGGAAATCTGGTCTGGAAGCTGCTTTGACGGGGAATCTGGGGCTGTCCCAACAACCCCACCACTTTGGCCTTCATGGTTACTTCGGTCCTCAGAGGAAGACGCCTCAGCGGCTTTGCCTTCTTCCATCATGGCTCCGGCAGCATCTTCATGATGAAGCAAGAAACGCACGGGTTAAAAACTGCTTGCATTTCCCAAAAAGCTTTTCTATGCAATCTAAGGAATGTGGCCATCAGAAACTGAGAAACGTGATACTTCCAAGCTACTTGCTGTAATTTACTGATGCCGAAGCATTTCCAATAAAGTTGATGGAACGGATTTCTGGATGTTGTTTTGGACAAATGGCTTACAGAAGATCACAAGCACGATTCCATGCAAAGTTACTCAGAAAGAAGCCCCACCGTATTCAGTGGGACACGTGCCTGAGGAAGTATGCTAGGCTTGCAGCCCAAGAAGGCTGAAGTGACTCTAGTAATCAGTGACTTCCATCAGGTTAGACCAGTACATCCAGAAACATGCCGTAAGGAGAAAGCTTAAATGTATCCAATGCGCACAGCTGCCTTTCCCCAAGAGACCTCCTCCCAGTTACTCTGACAGGCACTCGGATGTTTTCCACAAGTGCTTCTCTTGTGTCGGTGGAGCAGCACAGAAGAGCTGTTCAGAAATACCTGCGTCAGGCTTCATGGTCTCAATGATCATATCGGTCATCTCCCTGCGTCCAATATGCTGGTGAAGGATGGCCGCTCTCTCCACAGGGGCCTTTCCTTCTAAGGAGGCTGCAGCAGCAGCTCGTGACTTCTCCTGGATTTCCTCATCAGACATTTCAGTGGCTAAGCAGAAACAGCAATTCATAGTGTAACAGTTACCCACAAACCAAAGCACACCTAATAAAGCCAAGCAAGACCTGCAAAGCCCAAACAATAACATACATTAAAGTGGCAGCTAGCTACTAAATTACAGAGTGTCTTAATGTTTGCCTTCCTCTCCATCACTTCATGTTTATCATTTGCTCTACAGCACACATGACCAAGTTCAGCTAATCTCAGAAGCAGTTTAAAATAATTTAGGACAGGAAGTCCAGGATTACACGCACCACTTTAGCCATCATAGTACATCAGTTTCCTCCAAAAACCTGCCTACTATGGAACAGCATTATTTGAAAGGACCTCTCAGTTACTTGTTTCCCTTCTTTGGTTACTGGTGCTTCCTTCAGTCCTCTTTGCCATTGTAAAGTTATTAATACTTATCACACACACAGATGCACATGCAGTGTGTACAAGTTGGGAGTCAACTTTGTCCCAACCCTTTTGTCATTCTCCAGCATGCCACAAATGAAAACAACAACTGTACATATTTCTAAGCACCAGTCCTAGAGACAATCACTGCTCTGGTACACATGCAGTAAAGACTCTGCTTTATGATGTACTCACAGAATATTTAACAATTATTGCTAATAGATATGCGTAACCACTTTAAGATGTTGCTACATTAAGTAGTAAATAGGCATTAACAAACATAGCTGAATTAATTTTTACACGGGAAAGCATGAAGATAATCGAACAGCATTAACGCAGTAGGGCACTGTGCCCGAAACTGGTGCTTTCCAGAGGTTGTGTCCTACAGCTGACCATTTGCTTTGCTTCCTGAGGCTGAAGTCCAGAACACCCAGAGCGCACCGGGTTTTCGCTCCGCACACAAAAACCTGTGCCCAGGTGCTCTGACCAGCATGATGAACCAGATCTAGTGAGATGCTTTCCCTCAGTCCGGTGTTCTCCAGCTTCCTTGTCATCACCCTCCAGCCACCAATGGCCCATGGTCATCATAGGACTCGTAGTCCACCGTATTACCAACAGTAAGGAAACAAGCCGGGAGCCGTAAGCGAGGAGAGGAGGGAACCAGGACCCCGGCCCGCCGTTCATTTGCCACCGCCCCCTCCCCAGTGGCCAGCCTCCGCAACTCCTTCCTCTCCTCCGCTCTCGCCCCTTCCCCCCTCACCGGCCGCGCTGTAAGAGAAGCCGCCCGGCACGGGCGAAGACTCGGCCAGCTCCAAGCGAAGGACCACCAGCGACACACTCATAGGGCCCGCCCTGCGAGGGCTCCCGGGCCTGCGGGGCCTTGGCTGGGACGGTGGAAAGGGAGAGCAAAAGAAGGCGGAAAAACAGCGAGCCCCACTTCTCCGCGCCGGTCGCTACCGCCTCAGTATTATGAGCCACTTCCGCCTCTTCGCCCCCTGAACTTTGACCTCACGCGACACGCGCGGGGCAGAGCCGGAAGGTTTACGCGCAGGCGCTGTAAGTGCGACGCGAGGAGGGCAAGCAGGAATGTCCAAATCACGTTCCAAAGGGGGCGGAGCGGCGCACTGTTCTCGCGAGAACTATCCGGTGTGCGGAAGAGAGAAACAGGCAGGGGGAGTCTCGCCTCGGGTCAAAGGTCACTAGAGGTCCCTTTTTAGAAGAGCACGCAAAAGTGAGGGGCGCTTTGGTCGGGGTGGGTGCTGAACGTTTGTTGGGGTTTGTCTGTAATTGCCAAACAGTTATGGTTGCTCGAAAGCTTGCGGTGGTAGCCTGGGTTGGTCCGCAGTTCCCATCATCCCCAGCAGCTGTGGCTGCTTGAAGGTTCGTTGCGGGAGGCAGCCTGGGCTGGTCTATGCTGCCCTCGCCTTCCGGCAAACGTGACTGCTTGAAAGCTTATCTGGGGGAAAGACAGCCTTCCCCAGCCTGGTAGGCTAAGGTGTGTTGGACTTCAGTTCCCATTATCCACACAGAATGAGCCTGTTCTGGACTGGAGTTGATGGGAGTGGCAACCTGACATGCTTTCAGGGCATCGGATGTGGGCGCTGCTGTTACCCCTTCGCTGGCATGAAGAGGTGATCTGAGCCCACCTGATCTGGGTGCAGAAAAGCTCTCTGCATCTCCGAAGGCGTGCTCTTCCCACACCTCAGAGCTGATCCCTGGGGTACAGAACGGGTTCCTGGGCAGAGGACTGGCTCACATGAGCCCTTCGTGTAGCCTCTGGCTGCATGAGAGTTTCCTGGGGGAGGGGGCAGCCATTACCAAACTTCCTGTTGAGGAGGACAGCTGTCGTCCAACACATCTGGGGAAGGCTCGCAAACGTCTGCAGCCCGACCCTACCACATACTCAGAGTTAAGCTTTGCAGAGGTCCAGGGGGCTTGCTCCCTCAGTGCTCTGTGCTGTCCAGTCGTCTTTGATCTCCCCAGAAACATGCTTGTTCGCTCCAGGGAGTCTCGCCTTCTCAGGATGTGCCCAAAGTATGCTGGCCTCAGATCTGTCATTTGTGCTTCGAGGGAAAGTTCTGGCTTCCTTTGATCGAGGGGCTATAAAAAATCCTGTATTGATCATAGGCTGTAAGGGAGCAGGCCTTCTTTGGGTCCTCTGTTTGGGCTCCCCAGAGGTGGCTGGATGCTTTCTTTGTGGAAGTTGCTTTGGTTAACAGGAAGTCTTTCTCATCCATGCCAATTCACCACTTGCAACCTTTTACTTGAGGCTGCAGGAGGGCCTTGGGTGACAGTTGTGGCATATGGGTGGCTTTGCACCAGGTGAAGGGCTCCACCAGGTATTTCAGTCCTGAACAGTGGAAGGCTTTGAAAGTCAAAAACCAGCACCTTGAATCGGGCATGGAAACAGACAGGCATCCTGTGCATCCGTTTTAAGCCATTCTGTGTTAGCTGTTCCTTCTGATGAGTTTAGCCCAGCTGACTTTTGGAGGACAGCAAGCTATTGGTTCAAATGTACTAGTGGCCTGTCCAGGAATCTTTTTATATTCTCTGCAGATCATCCACATGGAGCCAGTAAATCAGGTGCATTCAGGAACATGATACAAGCAGAAGTAGCTGTCGGAAGGGAAGCCTGTCTTGCAATACAGACGAGGAATTATCTCAGTGGTGGAAGGGGCCTCGGAAGTCATCCGGTGCAGCCTCCAACTGGGGCAAGGGGGCCGCAGCGTCCTCTTAGGAGACCCTGAGCAAAGGGGAACGCAGCATCTTCCGAGACTCTGCACCACGTAAGCCTGCTGTGCAGTGCCAAGGCGTTTCCTTGCTTCGGTACATCCCCAGCCGAACACAATGAATTGTGGGAGACTTCTCTGTGCCTTTGGTAACCATGCTGCCAGGAGAGCCAACATCCTACACTCGTTCTGGCACAGATCTCCAAAGACCTGGAGGAATTTTGCAGCCTGCCCTTACAGAGCTGTGATCTTCGACATGGGTGGAGTTCTGCTTCCTTCTCCATACAGACTGGCAGCAGGTGAGTGTTTATACCACTGTTAGAGAGGCAGATGCTTTAGCTGTGGTTGTTTCTGCTGTGCCACAACAGAAGGGCAGGATGGGAACTGAACGTGCAGCCCAGAAGGGGGACCAGGAGGAGTTTCATCTCAGGCTCTGTGCATCATTCCCATTCATGACACATGACTTGGTCGGTTAGCTTGGATAATTTAGAGCAAGAGTTGGGGAACTCTGTGCTGACAGGCCCGTTTGGCTCACCAGGCTGGCCAACCCAGCTCACAGGCCTCATCTCCAGGTGGCTAGCAGGAATTCCCCTTCATAGGTCATTTGCTCCCCTGTTAGAAGCGGTGCACAGGGGAGTCTCACTGAATAGAACAGTGGGGTTTCCTCATTCTAGAGCATTTCTCACACACCCTCCTAGTGTTTTTTACAGCAAGTGTTCTTATGAAGTGGCTCTCTGGTTCCAGCTTTCGCACTCCTGCTTGAGGCGATTGCCAAGTTGGGTTGCCAGCTGGCTCCTGCAGAAAAAATGTGTCCTGTCGAGGAACACAGAATGAGTTGTGGAAAGGCCTGCTCTGCCCGTTCCCCTCCCTTTCCATCCTGGCCTGCCGCATCCTCCCAAGCTCCGTCCCTGGCATGCTGGCTCTGCTCAGCAGAGGACAGCCCCTTGCAACCCAGAAGGAGCCGATATGGCCAGCTGGCCCATTGTTTCTGAGCCCTCAGGAATATGGTCAGCATTGCTTCCATGCTGCCCATGTTCATGATGCCACACATTAAAACTAATGGCCGGGAAGTGCTTTTGCATCTTAGACCGTATTTCACGCCAGCAACCCAAAGATCAGTGCTGGTTTCTCGCCGATCTGCTTTCCTTTCTTCAGACTGGGAAGTGCGGAACTGTATCCCGCCTGGCACCATCAAGCAGGCCCTGATATCAGGAGGGGAGAATAGACCCTGGATGAGATACATGAGAGGGGAGCTGAAGCCAGCCGAGTTTCTGCGTGAGTTCGGACAGCAGTGCTCCGAGATCGTAAGCCAGTTTCTACTCGTTTCTCTGGGCTGAGGGAGGGAGAAGTGCAGGGGCTCTCGTGCAGAGTTCTTCAGTTGTGTGGAAATAGCCGTGTGGAGCAGCGCAGGGACTTCTTGTTTGTGGATTGCATGATTATCTCAAGATCAGAGCACACCTGAGTTAGAGGAGACTGTTTTAGTCTCACCACAACCTTGCGAAGTGGGCCAGGATGAGAAAGAGCGACTGGGCTGAGGCTGTCCAGAGCCTTTATTGTGGAGTACCAGTGTAAACTGGGTTCTTCCCTCCCCAGTTCTGTCTGCTCACCCGCCGTGCAGACATTGCCAACTTCTGCTCTTATGCAGGCAAATACGGAGAGGAACTTGTGGATTGTGTAGGAGGGTCTGCATTATCTTCTCAGCTGAAGGGAAGCTTGGTCACCTGCTCTCTCTCCATTCCCCCCCTTAGGCACACTCCTCCGTCCCTGTGGAGTCCTTCCTTTCTGAGTTAACCAGCGTGGGAATGTCAGAACAACTCCCCGTTATGACCAAGGCAATAAAATGTATTCGGGCAGAAGGTCTCAAGACGGCAGTTCTGAGTAACAATTTTTATTTACACAGTGGAGAAAGCTTTTTGCCCCTGGACCGAAAGCAGTTTGATGTGGTAAGTTTGCTGGGGGTGAGAGAAATTTCTCTCAACTAGTGGGCTAGGAGTTGGTAAACAGTGTTTTAGTTGATGGCACGATCGTATTTGCCTTCATGTGCATATGAGTAAAGAATAGCACTGAACAAAAAGAAGACGCAGGCAGCATTCTTGGCCATAGTTTTTCTGTGTGCCTCTACTAACAGTCAACCGCCTTTTAAAAAATGGATCTTTCTGCCTTATAAGCTATTTTTTACCTCTGTGTTCTAGATTGTTGAGTCTTGCCGGGAAGGGGTGTGTAAACCCGACCCCCGTATATACAGAGCTTGCTTGGAGCGCCTGGGGGTGCAGGCCAAGGAGTCCATCTTTCTGGATGACATTGGGCAGAACCTGAAAGTGGCTGGCCAGCTGGGCATTAAGACGGTGAAGGTGAGGAGCTCCAGGAGGAGGGGGCGCCACTCAGCAGCAGCGCTTGCAGAGGGTTCGATCGCTGGAATTCCAGCTGTGGCTAGAGAAGACCCTTTCCGAAACCCTGTGGGCCACAGCTGCCAACCAGCATCAGCAATGCAGGTGAGACGGACCCAAGGCCTGATTTCGCCTCCGTCATTCCTTGATGTGGCGCTGCGGGGAGGGGGGCGGTCACAAAGTTGCCCGCTGGGAAAGGTTTAAAGCCACCCTTCCTGGATCAAAGCAAAGATCCCCCTAGCCTGCTTGCTCTCTTTCCAGCTTGCCTCTGGAGTTACTTTTTAGACTGGCTGGTCTCCAGTCAGTATCGTTTTTGGAACTGATGAATTTCTTAGGTTTGAATCCCTCCTTTTCTTCCAAGGAGCCCAAGGCAGCCCATTCCCCTTGCCATTACATCCTCGCAACAGTCCTGCGGAGTGGGTTTGGCTGGAAGTCTGTGACTGGCCCAAGCTCACCCAGTGGGACTGGAACCCTCATCTCCTCAGTGTAACCCTCTAACCACTGCAAGCTCCAATACCGGCTCTCCAGCAACTGGAATCTGAAGATCTAAGCTGCAGCGGACTGCATCTGGGCAGCAGTTCAGCTATCCCAGTACTTTCTTTCCAGAGGCGGACAGCTAGGAATCTCTCGGACAGCCAGACTGCCTCTCCCCTGGCCTACGGCTGGCAGAGGCACACTGCCTCTGCATGCAGCGGTTCCACCGTGGAGGGAAGGGAGGAGGTCTTCTTGCTTGGAGCCCCTGCTCGCTTTCTCGATCTTCCCCTGCCCTCTCCTTCCCTCACCTCAGGTTGATGACCCAGGCACTGCGATTCAAGAGTTAGAGGCCCACCTGGGCTTCTCCCTGCGCTCCTTTGTGCCTTACACGTGCCCTGTGCGGCCGGTGATGGACATTCCCAGAGAGCCTCTCCAGAAGTACCTTGACAGCGTCTTGGGGGAGGAGGCAAAAGGTGCCCGAGTTCTCTCTCCCCTTTTTGCGTGGTGAAAGTGTGCGTCTTCCAGCTTCAGGTGCACTTTGCTGCTCTTCTGGCAGCAGAGAAGGCAAGACTATGGAGAGCGGTCCAGACCACGGCACAGCGGCTGCTGCATCACGTTCCCATTGTATGCCTCTCGGTGCAGTTCCCACGATCACCAACCAACTTTCCCCAGCAAAAACCTGGGGAGGAAATTTATTTTAGCTGGTATCTAGCCGACATCAGATTTTTGGTGCCTGGGAGACTTGTAAGGGGAGTGCTAGAGGTGGGCCCCACCGGGGCCTCTGGTAGCCGACTCCCCTGGCTGGAGAAGGCATTCTGCGTTGAGCCCACAATGCACAGCTTCCTTTGGGAGCGGGTAGCGGGTCCTTTGTGTCATCGGCCTTTCCCCAGCTGGACACCCTATGGATTCATTGGATTGCGACTGCCCTTATCCTCGGCCAGCATGGCCATGGGCTGGCAATGATGGGAGCTGTAGTGCGGCACATCTGGAGGTCACCCAGCTGAGGAAAGACCAGGTTGGAGTGCTGGGCCAGGACAAGAGCTCCGGTCCCCTGGTGGCTAAAAGGCTTCAGAGGGACGAGACCGGGGCCCTCCTCCTCCACCTGGTGTACCTCACAGGATTGTTGTAAGGGTAAAACTTGCGGGGCGGGGGAGCACACGCGCTCCCGGTACAAATCCAGTTCTGCTCATTCCTCGCTTGGCCTCCGACCTCCAGGTCCTCTGGTGTTGCGGCAGTTCAGCCACGGTCAGTCCAATCCAACGTACCTCCTTGCGCTGAGAGGCCGCCAGCTGGTCCTGAGGAAGAAGCCGCCCGGCAAGCTGCTGCCATCCGCCCATGCTGTGGAAAGAGAGTTCAGGTGAGGAGGTCGACGGCTGCCTCCTCCCCGCCTGCAGCCGAGATCACGTGAGGTGCTGCAGGCTGGGTGGGAGCAGGCCAGCAGGCGGTTCTGCAGGTGGTTCTAGATCAGGCCCAAAGATCGGTCTCGCTGGAAAACATCGCAGCCTGAACTGCCACGTAAAAAGTGTTCAGTGTGAGGGTAATTTCCCAAAGTGCCGTGTTATTTGGGGTCTCTCTGTTTGGGGTCCTTTTCATATTCTTCTGGCGAGTCCTTTCTAAGCCAGTGTTTGGGAATCAGCCCTTTTGTTCTGTTTTTTGAGAAACAAAAGTATCGGCCTGCGTGCAACAGCACAGTCCTTTCTGTGTGCCTGCTTGCAGACTTGTGCCCCTTGATCTACTGGTTTAAGCATTCCAGTGCTTCCTACGAATCTCTCCAGTCTTAATTCTGTTCTCCTTTACTGCGGCAGAATTTTGAAAGCCCTTGCCGGAGCAGGCGTTCCTGTCCCAAAAGTCTGGGCCTTATGTGAAGATTCAAGGTGTGTTTGGATTCTGAGAGCGGAACGAATAAGGGTGGGGCCTGTTTTTGGAAACCCGACTGAAAACCTCGGGGCTTCCCCTCACGCCCTTGTGTCGCTCCAGCATCATCGGCACCCCGTTCTACTTAATGGACTACTGCACCGGCCGGATCTTCAAGGACCCCTCTCTTCCAGAACTGGAGCCCAGCCAGCGGGGAGGGATCTACAGCGCCATGAACAGAGTCCTCTGCCAGATCCACAGTGTAGACATTAAAGCAGCAGGCCTGGAGGATTATGGGAAGCACGGTATGTCAACTGTCGGAGCAACGGCACTTGGTTCACAGAGCGCCTCTTTTCCCGTGTGGTTTGTAATGCCAGTCGTTGAAAGCTTTGTCTTCTGGTTGAAGCAAATGCTGAATTTGGCCATAAATCTCACAGGAGCCGCTACCTCAGCCTTAGAGTTTGATGCTGAAGCTGAGGCTTGCTTGTACTTCAGCAGGGCTGCCCTTGACTTTACCTCTTCCGGCTGCGAAGTGGAGAATTCGAGTCATCCACCTGTGTGTGGCTGCACGCATGTGCCGTGCACCATTGGCTGTATTGACTAGGGCTGATGGGAGTTGTGGCTCTCCAGAGGCTTTGGCCTACATGTGGCCAGCCCTGATGGATGCCCATCAGCGCCCTTCTCCAGCCTGGCCCTGCCAGATGTGTCAGACTACAACTCCCATCACTGCAGCTAGCTGGGTCAGGATGTTGCCTAACAAATCTGCAGGGTCCTGGTTGGGAACAGACAAAGCCGTCTTGGGTGGAGGGAGGCTAGAATGGCTCCTCCGCGCCAGCACAGGACGGGGTATTCTGCAGGGGAATATCCGGCCATGGGCCTTCCTTCCCCTGCCCCACCGGCAGTCTGAGTTGGTCCGGTCCAGGGGCAGCCTCGCCACCTGCTCACCGAGTGAGGCTGCGTTCCCGCACTCGGGCACCTTGACCCGGTCAGATAGGGGCCGCGCTGCCGTGCCCTCTGCACTGGTTGTCCCAGCACCCGCTCCGTGGCAACCCCGCCCCTGCGGACAGAGCGGCCACCCATCCCCTTGTCCTCCTGCCACGACTGCCCAGCCATTGGAGGGAGAGGCAGCACCGGCGCATCCACCGTGCCGAGGCCCAGCTCCAGCTCCAGTCCTTGTCTGCAAGGACCTAGAACCTGAGTCCGCTGCTGTGGTCCTTTGCCCGCCCGTCTCTTCTGTGTTGCGTCTTCGGGCTGCGATGACCGTATTAATGATCTCGTCAGACCCATTTTGGCCGAAGAGTGGGCGAAACGGCTCTGTGCGATGACTGAATGAAGGTGTGCGTGTTACAGGCAACTACATTCAGCGGCAAGTCCAGACCTGGAGCAAACAGTACCGGGCGACGGAGACCCACACGATCCCGGCCATGGAGAGGCTGCTGGAATGGCTGCCTTCCCACCTGCCAGCCAGCGAACGCCTCTCTGTCGTGCATGGAGACTTCAGGTATCGGTGGACTGAGAAACTCACTCCCACTGTGGATGATGGTTTTAGGAGTCCCCTAAACAAAGAGGGAAGAAAAAGAGAAGCAGTGGGTGTAAGGGCAGATTTTCAGGTGTAATTGGCCACCTTCAAATGGTTTTACCAGTGCTGGGCAGATGTACCCCCCCCCCATTCAAACCAGCAGCATCTGCCAGGATTCTGCCACAGCTCCGGCTTCTCCTTTTGCAGGCTGGACAACCTGATCTTCCATCCGGAGAAGCCCGAGGTCATCTCTGTCCTTGACTGGGAGCTCTCCACCTTAGGCGATCCTCTTTCTGACGTGGCTTACAACTGCCTGGTGTATTATCTGTCTCCTCAGTTCCCCATCTTAAAAGGTTTGTGGCATATCCGTGCCTGTGGGGAGAAAGCCAAGCATTCGAAGTAAGCGGAGCTGGGCAGGCTGCTTGGAAGGGGGCGCACACGGATCCCTCGGACGACCAGGGCCTTCCCTGCATCAGCTGATGGCATGCAGGAGGCCCTCTTGGTCAAACCAGGGGGCATGGCTCCAGCCTTCCCCAGCCAGGGTCCTCCAGATCCTCTGGATTTCGGCTCCCACCAGCTCCAGCCAGCATGGCCACGGCTGGAGGTCATCCAAAGTCTTGGGCCACCACCAGGCTGTGGAAAGCCGCCCTTGGGCCTGAGCCTCCTGGGCTTTTGCTGGCTTCCAGGAGCTGATTGCCCTGCTTTGTCCGCTGGCAGGCTTGAGCAACCGTGACTTAGCCCAGCTGGCCATCCCCACAGCAGAGGAATACGTCCAGATGTACTGCCGCCACATGGGCATTCCTCCTGTCGAGAACTGGAATGTCTACATGACCTTCTCCTTCTTCAGAATAGCTGCCATCCTACAGGGGGTATACAGGCGCTCGCTTACAGGTAATGAGGCCCAGATCTGGCAGGGGCGGCAACAATGGTAGCTCCAAGGGACAGGAAGCCTTTAAGCAACTTTGCCTGGTTGAGGGTCCCAGAGCTGCCTCATAGGCAGGATCAGATCAGTTAAAGGCTTTCTGTGCCATCCTTCGGAAAGGAATGAAGTATCAAAGTCAGAATTTAGAGTAGAAGGTGGCACAGGAGTCAGTGACTTATAAATTCAATGTTGGGAAACATCCAGCAAAGGAGTCACTGTATTTTTGGGGTTTAGTGGTGATCTGTTGTAAGCTTTACTCCCGAGGGTGATGGGAGCACTATGTTGTTATGTATAGTTTTAGTTTTTGTTGTTAGGCTAAAAATACACGTATGTTATGGGGGTTTTTTTAGTCTATATATTCTATAATTTGTACTTGTATAATTTTGTTATGTAGTTTTGGTAAATAAAAAAGTTAAAATAAAAAAACCAAAGTCAACATGCTGAAATACAGCAGAGCAAACAGACAGCGCAGAATGCAACAGGCAAGGATGCTTGGGCCAGGCGAAATGCCGTCCTGTGGTGCAGGAATGGCGCCGCAGTTGGCGTCAGGCCAGCCTCCAGGCACGGCTTCTCATGAATGGGGTGCCGTGACCAAAAAGGCCCTCTCCTGATCATTGCCCGGCCCATGTTTCAGCACTGGAAGCATCGGAAGAGGCAGTATCCTGGCAGGCTGGCTGGGGCATGCTGGGAGTTTTAGTTCAGTGCTGCCAGGGCGCTGCCCAGTGGACCTCCTGGCCAAGTGGAGTCTAGGACTGGATCTCGGGTCCCGGTCCCTGCTGGCCCTCGCCTCCTTGCAGATGCAGCTTTGTGCCGGATGGGCACCTGCCCCTATTGACGCGGCTGAAAAGACGACAGTGTCGCTGTATGGGGTGCAGCTGCCCTCCAGGTGTGGGCCAAGATTCCCAGGCAGGCTGGGGGCTGCAGTCCAGCACACCTGGGGGGCGCTGGGCAGCGGGGAGCTGCAGGGCAGGATTTTGTGCTGGCCCCAAGGCCTCCATTCGCCCCCCCCCCCCCCCGACAGAAGGGGGCGAAGGGGCTGCACACGGTCCCACGAAATGTCAGGCTCCGTCCGTTCCTTTTCACAGGCCAGGCCAGCTCGGCCGGTGCTGAAAGCAGCGGGAAGCAGGCGGAGGCCATGGCGGAGCTGGCCTGGAGCTTTGCCACCAAGGAGGGCTTTCGCATCTTCAAGGAACTCCCAACCGGCAGACCTCCCAGCAGGGCCTTCAGCACGTGGGCGGATCTGAGGCAGCTCTCGCGGAGGAGCTCCTCCAGCCCGGCTTCCACGCCCGCACCCCGGCTGATTGTCTCTCTGGATGGGCTGCCGAGCCGCGTCCAGGAACTGCACCACAAGCTGAAGCGCTTCCTGGAGGTCCACATTTATCCAGCGGAGCAGCTCCTGCGGGACCACCAGACTTCTTCGAGCAGGTGGAGCCCACATCCCCTCATCGAAGAGCTGAAGGCAAGTCCCTGCCCACCTTTGAGGCAAAGCAGCCTCTTCGTTGGTGGGCGAGGGGGAGCCCTCAAGGCACCCAGCACTGGGCAGGTGGGGCCACTGCGCCTCTCACAAGCCTGATGTTCAGGTGATGACTGTTGTCATTCGAGGGGGCTCCTCTTGTTTCAGACCGTGCAGCAGGTTGGGTCACAGGCAGGGGCCACTCTGTCCTTGCCGGGGGAAAGCTTCTGATGCAGAGGCAGCCTGTGGAAAATTGATCACACAGGAAGGGGAAGTGGGGGAGCCAGTGCTACTAGCCAAGCCTTTGGTGCGGATTCTGTACATGGAAGTCCTTCGACCAGCTATTTGGCTCCTCCTGTGCTGCTCCCTCAACTGCTTTGGCCTTGAAGGCTTAGTTGCCGCAGCACCTCCTCCGACTGATCCTGCCTCAGAGTCAGGTCTTTCTCGAGGCGCCTCCGTTCGTGCCAGCACCTGGCTCGGCCTTGGAGCCACACACGTTCCCAGAGTGCGGGGAGACGCCCCGTGTGGTTCTGCCTCCACACTGTTGCCTCTTCCCTTTCTCCTCCTCGTGCAGGTCAAGGCAAGGTCCGAGGGGCTCTGGAACCTTTTTCTGCCCCTGGAGAGTGACCCAGACATGAAATATGGAGCAGGGCTGACCAACGTGGAGTATGCCCACTTGTGCGAGCTGATGGGGACCTCCCTCTATGCACCTGAGGTACCTGCTGCAGAGCTCTAGCTCCCAGTGGCCCTTGCTACTTCTGCAAATATGAGGAGGAGCCCCTTGGTCCCCCTGCAGCCGTGGGCCCCAGGACAGCACGGGCAGCTCCTTTCTCTGTGGGCTTGCAGGAGGATCCCGGCCCATTGGCTGCTATCTCCACAGCCCTCACCTTTCCCTTTCTCCTCTTCTCCCACCTCATCCCATCTTCTGGGGCTCCTGGGCAACCTTGGCTCCTGTCCAGACCTAGGGTCGTTCTCCCGCATGTCCTGAAGAGGGCACCCCCACATCTGCTTTGCAGAAGCCCCGCCAGGAGCAGGCAGGAGCCTTCTGGGCTGCTCAGCGGTGTCTCCAGCTGAAACCATCTCGAAAGGTCCTTTTCCTGGCAGAGCCCCTGGAGAAAGTTTGCCACTAGTCAGAGCAGGTGACGCACGGCCCAGGACTGGGTGGACAAAAAGCAAGGCCTCAGCTGCAGTTAGCCCCAGGGCTCCTCCGAGGAACGTGGCCGTGCTGCCGCCCACCTCGCAGCCTTGCGAGAGGGCACTCGTGCCAAGCGGCCTTGATCCTGGAGAGCCGTCTTGCTCTGTCCTTCCCCCGTGTTCCCATCAGCCCAGGCCCGCTGACCCGCCCTCCGCCCCCCACCCAGGTGTTCAACTGCTCTGCCCCAGACACCGGCAACATTGAGGTGCTGGTGCGCTACGGCACGGCGGCGCAGAAGGAGCGCTGGCTGCAGCCCCTGCTGGACGGCGAGATCCGCTCTTGCTTTGCAATGACGGAGCCGCAGGTGAGTGGCCCCGTTCCTGCGGCGGAAGTCCTGCGCTTTGGGGAAGGCCTGCGCCAAGCACGGGGGCAGCCAGAACACGTGCCCTCCTCCCACTCTTCAGTGGGGGGCTGCCTGCTTGGCTGTTCTTGAGGTACATTTCTGAAGCACTGTTTGTACGTTGATCAATTTTATCAGTGCATCCTTCACTTTACTAGGACAAGCGAGTGTAAAACCGCTCCGGAGCAGCAGCAGAAACGCTGTTGGGGGCAGGCGCCCATTGGCACTGCCTAAATCCAGTATCTGGTTATGTCCGCAGAATACTCTTCCCCTCCTCCTGAGCATGAACTTGGAGCTGAAGCAGCACACTGATCGCAGCCCAGGGCACTGGCAACACCACAGCTGTTGCGCCTCTAAAATGAGGTTTATTCTTCCCAGGTTGCTTCCTCTGATGCCACCAACATCGAGGCTTCCATCACCAAAGAAAAAGATGCCTACGTCCTGAACGGGCACAAGTGGTGGATTTCAGGTATGCTCACAGAGTCCCTCTGCAAGGGCTGCAGCTGGAATGCGAAGGTGCAGGCTGGACGAAGACCCGCTGGCCCCCTGAAGCAGGAGTGGGCGGACTTCGGGTCGGTAGGATCTGCTTTGTTCTTTTACTAGACCTGAACAACAAGGAGGCGGGAGCGGTGAAGGCATGGCCAGGGCACGGGTTCAGCAGCCAGGTGGGTGGAACATGCGTTCCTGGGACGGCTGCTCTGGCTTCCAAGTTCTCTTCCTGGCAGGCGCCCTGGATCCTCGTTGCCAGCTCTGCATCTTCATGGGCAAGACGGACCCCACGGCTCAAAGGCACAAGCAGCAGTCGATGGTGCTGGTTGCTATGGATACCCCCGGGATTACGGTTGTCAGGCCCCTCAGCGTTTTCGGCTTGGATGACGCTCCAGGTGAGGCGAAGAGGGGCTGAGCCTGGGGCCCTCTCTGCGGGGCTCCAGGGTGATGAAAAGGACCCCTCCGAGGCTCGAGTGGCCCACAGGTGAGACCACACGGCTGCAAAGGCAACTGTCTCCCCGGCCGCTAAGCATTTCTGAGGGGAGGCTGGCAAAACACCTCCCTGTGCTGGGGTGCTGGACCGCTCAAGGCCTGAATTGCTTCTTGGAGAAACTCTCGGGGCCACATTCCAGTGGTGGGCAGGTGCCATAGGTGAAGGTCCAGGCCCGGAAATACAAAAAGCGCAAGCACATTTTAGCTCCACGTTCTTTGTTGACAGGTATGCCATAGGAGAGGCATTTCAGCCTTCTCAAACGGCCTGAGGCTTTGCACCCCTAACTAAATGCGCAGGCCTGTTGCTCATTTTGAACATGGGGCGGAGGGATCCATGATCTGACCCAGAAGAAAGCCAATTCCCTTGTTCCTGGATGTCTTCTGTCCCTCCCTTTCCAGCCGGCCATGGGGAGATGGTCTTCGAAAACGTCCGTGTTCCCCAGGAGAACCTCTTGCTGGGCCCAGGCCGAGGGTTTGAGATTGCCCAGGGCAGACTGGGCCCGGGGAGGATACACCACTGCATGAGGCTGATCGGCTTAGCAGAAAGAGCGCTGGCCCTCATGAAGGAGCGGGTGAGCGGCAGCACAAGGGGTTGGGGTTCTCCCGGACTGGCTTACCCGCCTTTGGGAGCTGCTGTCGGGTCCGTCCGCTGCGGCCTGCCCTTGTCCAGCCCAGGCCTGCTTCAAGCGTCCTTTCCCCCATGCAGTAATTTCAGCAGGTGAGGAAGGTCAATGCACTGCGCCCTTGGGCAGCAAGTCTGGGCTGTGCACCTGCAATCGGTGAAGGTGCCTTTCTCCCGAAACGGGGGTAGGTGCCCCAGAGCCCTTTCTTGGGGCCCATCAAGGTCGCCCACCCCCCCCTTTTTTAATTGAACACTTCCGTATCTGTGGCTGGAACTGCTTCAAAGTGAAGTGAAAGAAGCTAGAGCCTCTACCTCCCCACACTGACCCTGTGGTCTCCCAGTCTACCAAGACCACTGCTCCACCTTGGCCCTGGACATCTTTCTAGGTAGACGGGCTGGGGCATAGCTGGCAAGACCCACCTGGGGGCGGGGGGGAGTGAGTTCAGGGCGCCTGGGTCCAGTGCAAGCCTCACCAGGTGCCCTCGTTGGCAGGTGACATCCCGCGTGGCCTTCGGAAAGCCGCTAGCAGAGCAGGGCACCATCAGGGCAGGCATTGCCGAGTCCCGCCTGGAGATTGAACAGGCCCGGCTCCTTGTTCTCCATGCGGCCCACCTCATGGACACCGTGGGGAATAAGGTACGTGCCTGGAGGGGGAACTTGCCCCCACCACTGCTCACCGTGGAGAGCCAGGTGGTCCGCCTTGCAAGCTCCTCAGGGAGGGAGTGGGGACTTGAAGCGGCAGGGCAGGCCTTGTCACAACAGCAGAAGAGCCCTGCTAGGGCTGCCCAAGGCTCCTCTGGTCCCACACTGTGCTCAGCGGCCGCCACGTGCCTGGGGCAGACCCCCAAGCGGACTCGGAGAGCATCCGCACCCTCTCGCCCGTCTTCCCAAGCGACTGGCACATGGTGGAGGTCTGCCTCTGATCCTGAGGTGTCGGGTGGCGGTGGGGGCGAGAGAAGTATAGTCCACAAAGCCAAGGGATGAAGGTGCTTCTGTGGGCTTTCCTGCGGGGAAGGGCCACGGCTCAGTGGCAGAGAGGTGGCATCAGAAACGTGGAGGGGGGGCTGGATAAAGGCAGCCCAGGGACCCCCGCCTGGGCATGGAGGAAAGCTGCTGAGGGAGCAGCTGCCCTGCCGGCCCCTTGTGCCGCTATTTTGTTTTGTCTCCCCACGCCCCGGACACGCACCCAGGAAGCAGCTCTCGAGATCGCCATGATCAAAGTGGCGGCCCCGAGGATGGCGCAGCGAGTCATCGACCGAGCGATCCAGGTGAGCATTCTGTGGCCTGGCCCTTGGCTGCTTGTCAGCGTCATCCGTTTTAGACTGTCTGGCTTGAAACTCCGCCCATCCCGCCCGATCTGCAGCTTGCTCCCACTCCCTTCGGGTCTGAGCCACTCTGCAGACTGATTTTTGTGTGCTGCATTTATATGCTGCTCTTTTTTCCCCTCACGACCACCCTGAGCTGAGAGCCAGGGAGAGCTGAGCTTCATGGCCAAGCGGGGGGTTCCAGTCTGACAGTCCAATGGCTGCAGTGCACTGGCTTTTGGTGCTGCATCGGGGTGGATGGGGGAGGCTTCCTCTCCTGCCCTTTGTGGCAGCTCATCCGCTCTTCCCTACCTCTTCCGACAGGCCTTTGGTGCAGCAGGACTCAGCAACGACCAGCCCCTGGCCCAAGCCTTCGCCTGGGCACGGGTTCTCCGCCTGGCCGATGGCCCTGATGAAGTCCACAAGGCCGCCATTGCAAAAATGGAGCTGAAGCGCTAGAAGTGCCTTGATGGGAAGCGGCATGACGTCCTCATGGTTGACATGGAGAGAAGGACGTGCAAGCCGCAGCTTTGGGAACTGTGAGGTGGGGAAATTCAAAGTGGGAGTCTTCAGGTGCGGCATCGGAGCTGATCTCTGGGGCCTGCTCTAGCTGATACCCAAGCACTGCCAGTTACGGTCCGAAACAGCCAGGCTGGCTGAGTGGTTAGTGCTGGGCGCAGCCACAGGGAAGAAAGCCAGCCACAATTCTTAGCTGAGCTCAGCTCCTTCCAGCAGGGACAGCCGGAGACGCCTTGGCCAGGCTGACTGCCAAGCCGAACCCCCTTGCCCTCCGAGGAATCTCTGCCGCTCCTGTGGGCAGAGAAGTGGAGAGAAGCAAGGCAACCCCCTCCCCCTGGCCTCCAGCAGAGAATTCCCTACTCCCACCTGTGGTTCCTGTGGGTTTGCTCTACTTTTGGGGAGATTTGCACTTTGATACCCAGTGAGGTATTCAATCATGAAAATGGTGAACGATGACTGATTCTGAAAGGTTATGTGGAACTGTTGCATAAAAGCAAAACAAACACATCATGGCTCAGCCTGTCAGTGGGATGCAGTTGTGAAAATTCCAAGATGTTCGGTGTGCACTGAATGTGAAAGTGGGGGGCAGGGACTGTGTGTGTGTGTGTGTCGGGGGTGGACATGGTCCCAGGTTTTTGTTATGCTCGCCTGTCCTTTCCAGGCCATTTGCAATGCGCAAGAAGTTGACTGTAGCTATAGTGGAACCCACATGTCAAGTAGTGAAATTAGAAGCACAGGCGACTGGTGACAGTTTTCTTTTTCAAGCCATCCCTCCTCCCACAAAATAAATCATTTTTGCCTGCTGACGGGGGGTGGGGGGGGTTGAGGCTGCACTCACTTCCAGAGATACCCAAAGAAACTGTTCTTCTAATCAAGCCTTTGTTACACATAACTGCAAACAAGCAAAGCTGACTTTAGGGTACAGATTAAATCATTTTGCAGAAATCAGTAACCAACCAACCAAACCAAGTTACCGTTCTGCAGCATGGCCGCACTGATATCAAACACCAAGTTGAAAGCTGATTCCAGACCAACTGGAATTGACGAATGCCCTTTCTTTCCCACTAAATGACAAGTGACTTCCAGTTGAGCAGAGATCGTGCTCTCCTCTCTAGGATCCCCGTGCCTGCCCCTCTGCATGATGGTTAAACTCAGGGGGCAAAAGGGTAGGCTTCTGCTGGTACCAAAGGAGGCTTTTTCTACATGAAGCAAAACCAGACAAGAGATTGTAAATGAGGGCCTTAAAAAGGGAGGACCGATTTGGGGCGATCGTATACACATTTTTAAAAGATGCTTTATTTGAAGCAATCTGCATTTAAAAATGCCGATTGTCTGGCACTGTCTTTGTGGAAATGCAAAGGAACCCCAGTAATTATCCCCAGATTCGCATATAAACGAGCATACGGAACTTTTCGGCAGGCTCGCGTCCCAGGGTCCGGCCGATCCGGACCGCGGGGTGCCTTGCACGCGTGCGCGAGCCCCACGGCTGCCGCCCCATCGCCCATGGACCTCCAGCTGGTCGAGGCACCGCGAAGCCCTGGCGCCCCCCTCGGCAGGGCCGCCGCCGGTGCTGCGGAACGCTCGGTGGGAGGGCTCTCCGCCGCAGCCGCCCCGGGGGCGCCGCTACTGGCTGCCCGCTAAGAAGGGGCCGAGCCAGGGCCCTCCCCCTCGGGCAGACGACGCCAGCCAGGCGGCGAGAGACACCCCGGGGCGCCCCGTCGCGAGCAGGCGCGATGCTGCGAGCGGCGCTGCGCGGCCCCTGCGCGATCCGCCGCCCGGCCCTCGCCTGCCGGCCACTCTCCGCCGCGGCCGCCGCCGTGCCCGCTCCCAACAGGCAGCCGGAGATCTCCTTCAACAAGGTACGGGAGCTCTCGAAAGCGCGGGAGGGGCCACCCTCGAGCATGCACAGAGCGCGCGCTCTTCCCATTCCTTGGGCCGCTGCGCGTCCGCGAGCGACACCCCACCCCGGACCCAGAAAGCGGGGAGCCCCTGGGGGACTCCGGAAACGGGTGGGCGTGCCCCCGAGCAGATGCAGAGCGCGTCCCGTCCCCTTCCCCGTCCGCGTCAGACAGCCCTGGAAGAGCGACGCCTCGGCAAGTGGGCGGCGGGCTCCCCAGCAGCACTCGAGACACGGCGGGATACTGGGGGCAGCGATGACATCCAGCAGTCCGCCCCCCTCCCGCTTTCAGGCCCTGGGCCTTCCCTCCAGTCTGGGTAATGGGCGCCGCCCCCCCCCCGGCGTCTTCCCTGCCCCTTCCTGTAATTCAAGCTAGGCCGAAATGTTCCCTTCCCCGCCACCTTCACCGATCGAGAAACTTCAGTCCTCGGTGCTGCCGTGCGCTCCGGCGGGGGGGAAGCGAGAGGGAATCGCCGGGCCGCAGAAATGCAGGCGATTTCGAGCGGCGGGTCTGGGCCGGAAAGTGCGAGGGGCTGCCCGGGCCTCTCCGCGAGCCTGCACTACACTCACACGCCCAGTTTTCCTCGGCAACATTCCGTGTGCAGCGCGTCTTCTCCGACCAGGTGCTCTGCTCGCCCCTTCCCCTTTTAAAGACGTCTCGCAAAGCAGCCGATGTCTCCCAGCGCGGCCGCGCTCTGATTCTTGCCCTGTCGCCTCTCCCTGCGGCATCATCGTCCTGAGCACGCAGCCCCCAATTTGTAGGCGCCTTCCTTCTCCTCTGACAAGAACAACGGGCATGTTGGGACCCCCTCCCAAACCAGGCGGCTAGGTACTGCCTCAGGCAGGTTTCTCCGGCCACACCTTTCAGGTGCTTATTGCAGGGATAACTCTGTCCCGAACTTTTCTGTACACGAGATTTGGCTGGACTGCTCCTTCCATCATCCCTGGTCGTCAGCCATACAGCCCAGCGCTGATGGGGCCATGAGACCTGGAGAGCGCATGGTTTCCACCTCCCCCGGTCTGGGGTGAATTCATTGCCACACACCTAATGCAACCCTAACCTGCCAGAAAGTCTCCATTATCCACAAATAATTCAATCCCTCTTTTTATGTCCTGGATTCAGGTGCCAACAGGATGTCAAGGGCGAAGTCTTCTTTTAATTAAGAACGTTTTGTAATTTTCTTTTTAAACGTGAGCATCCTTATCTGTTAGATTACCTGCCCTACATCTCTAGTACAGGAAGACTAAGAAATGGAATCCAGGCTATCCTATATGGCGACTTTATGCTGCCTCAGGAATTGCTGGTGGGCCACACGTGGGAAGAGGCGCGCCATGAGCCCTGGCCAAGCTGGGGTGATCTAAACCTGTAGGTAGAGCAAACCGGTCCTTCTGCTTCAGGGTGATAAGGAATGGGGCCACATGGGAGGGGCGAGTGCCCGCCAGCCTGGCCGGTGTTGGGCTTTTCTCACAGGGAAGCCACTCTGGAGACCCCCCCCCCCCCCCAATACAGATCCCCGTCTGTTCTGTCTTGCTGGGTGCAGAGCAGTTGCTTCTGGAGCCGCACAACCCGGGTATTTTCATGGACTTCCTTGCAAGTCCCCAGCCTGCTCAGGAGACTGAGCTTGCTTAGCTAATGCCTGTGGGTGATCCCTGCTAGAGCTTGCCCTTCCCGTGTTGATCTTCCTCAGTGGTGTTGATATCGCTGGCTTTACAAAAGGCTATTTGTGTTTCTGTGTCCTCCACATCATGCAGAAACTGGCCTAAGTCTCAGTCAAAAGCCTCCCCCTTTTGTATTGGCTAATGACCCGCCCCTTTCTCCTTTTCAGATCTCCTGCAACTGTAGGCTTAGTTCACCAAGCTGAGGATTGTGCAATGCTTGCCTGACTTCTCTTATCTCTGCACTAATGGCCCAGTTCAGCTTTGAACTGCCCTGCAGCTAGGAGCTGGGGGGGGCGGGGATGCCATTCCTCATGTGAATTCCCCTCTTTAGGGTTTGCTTAAAAGAAGTCTTTGTAGCAAAACACTCTGCCAACATCTTGCCCTCTTGGACTGCAGTAGTACATTCAGTATTGGTTGATTGGCGGTAGCTGCACAGCAGCATAACTGCTTTCAGGGGAGAAAAACCCTAAACACTTAATGGCGCATTCATATGGGCTTGCTATCAAAGTACCCTATCTTGGCTGCTCTTGAAAGGAAAAAACACAGGATCTGGGCCCAAGTCCCATTATAACTGCAAGGGAAGCTGGACTCCAGAAGCAAGAAGGCAGGCTACGGCCCCAGGGCTGCAACGGTCCTTTTCCCAGAGCACCAGGAAGTGTGGATCCTCGCTGGGGCATGCTGGGGTCGCAGGCCTGTTTCCTGAATAAACTTACAGAATTGTGCCTTTAAAGTTACTTTTTAAAATGGTTCTCATATTCTGTTTTTAAATACTTGGGACAAAAATGTCAAGCATACACACTGCCCAAAATTGGCATATATAAGAGCATTTCCCTTAAACTAAAGCAACATCGGTTGGTTTGTTTCATTCAAGGTACAACAGTCCTGCTGCATCTGTTCCCTCCCCACCTAGGCCTTGGCCAATATGGTGTGCATTTCTGAACATCAAGCACACAGGTACCTTCTCTGAAGGCCTCCTGCAGAACCATAAACTGGGGTCGTTCAGCATGCAAAGCAGGGGCTGGGACTCCAGCTTTGGCGCGTCACTCGGGGGCCACGGGACGACCTTACAGCCTCCTGCCCTGTCTCCTCTGGCCAGATGGTTTTGGGACATCCATGACGGTCCCAGGCCTCCCCTGCTTGATCCACTCAGTATTTGATACCCCCGAATGTAAACGAACTACTCACCATCTCTCTCTTCTCTGAAACGCCCAATCCAAGGGGTCCCACGTACTAATAAGGTGCCTTCTGAATTGCAGATTTTCATCAACAATGAATGGCACGATGCGGTCAGCAAGAAAACATTCCCGACTGTCAATCCATCCACAGGGGAGGTCATCTGTCATGTTGCTGAGGGAGACAAGGTACCACATGGGGTTGGAGGACTTTGGGCAAAAGGCAGACAAAGCTATCAGAAGGTTTCAAGGGGCTAGAGCGCCCTAGTGCGGACTTTTCCAGCCGGTGTGAGCTGTCACTAAGCATGGCCAACGGGAACTGCGGTCCAACACATCTGGCCGGAGCCACTCTGAGGAAGGGTGGCGTAGTGGGACATCAAGAGCTACCTTTGACTAAATCAGGCCACTGGCCGGTCTGGCTTTCCCCAGGCTTCAGGTGGGGGTCCTCGCCAGCTGCAGAGGGGTGCTGGCGCTCGCACCTGGGCCTTCTGCATGCACAGGAAGTGCTCTGCTGCAGAGCAACAAGCGCGCTCCAGCATGGCCAGGGAGCTGGCGCCCCACTGCACCACGGCCGTCCCCACCAGGGCTGTGGGCAAGCCGGTTCTCTCTCCAGCCTCAGCTTTGCATCTCCGACACAGCTGTGGTAACAGCAGCAGCTTCGTTACAAGGCTGACAGCGATCGTGTCTTTTGGCAGCATGCAAACCCAACCGCCTGTTCTGGGAGGGCTGTCCCTGGACCGGCACTGGCAAAGGCGAACAGGTTTAGGACGATTTACAGCATTAGTCATTGCTGTGCTGCAAGACCTGTCTGGTTTTGTCCCATATGTGAATCATCTTAAACCACAGGAAAGAGTGTTGCCTAAATACCTAGAATCATTATCTAATTTGGGTATGTGCACATGTATGTGTGTGCAAACACACGTGCACACACACAGCAGGAAAAGGAACCAGAAAGCACAGCAGTTGGGGGCAAATGCTGGATCCAGAAGGACACAACCCTGGGAGACAAGAATTTCAAGTTACTGTATATATATGCATGTATATTATTCAAGTTTCCTAGCCATATCTTTGATGATTGAAATCAATTGCATATGTGTAAAAAGAGAGATCTAATCAGGAAACAATATTCCAAACTTAAAGTTTCCCAAAGATGAAACCGGCACATTTGTATAAACTTTCTATCAATATGCACAGAAATTGTAAATCGCTCTGTCGAACTTTTAAGAAAGCAGAATTGCAACAAACTATCTGCACAAAGCTGCCTGGTTGTGGGCTTCGATATCATGCCCTTCACACTCTTGCCCCACTTTGATTTTTTTTTTTTTGGATCCAGCAATAGAAGATTGTGAAAGAACACAAAAACTTGCTTGCAACTTTCTGACCTTTTCAGGTGACCCTAAGAAAGGGATGATTAGCCTATGACAGGATTTAGAGTCTATGTGTTGGCAAGCCCCATACCGTAAGTGCTGTACCTATGGATATAATCTAAGCGCTGTCACAGGCTTTTGGGAAGGGATTGCATCTATAACTGAACAGCTAGTCAGACCGCGCAGGTCTTCTTCCCCGCTTCCCTGACCCTCGTCCCACCAAAAATAACTTGCTGGCAACACTCCAGCCACTGCGGCTGCAAAGAAAACATTTGCCAGGCCACTCCGGCTGGCAGGCAGCCCTGATCAAAGTAAACGTTTCCCAGTTTTATCAAAGCCTTTATATGGCAATGGCCCGTATCTACACGCTGAACTTTCCCCACGAGGAGGGAGCAGCAGCTAAAGCAGCAAACAGAAGTGATTCAGCAAAAATCACAAAGGATCCGAGGATGAGCTGCTGCCCCCAGAGAAGGCTGAGGGAAAGCACACTGTCAGGCCAGAAAATGTTCCTGGGCAGCCAGGGAAAACAGGAGTGGCAGGAAGTGAGCGCTTTGGTGTGCGACAGACGTGTTTTGAAGTGCTGGCATTCTTTCCCTGTTCGTGCACGCAAAGCAAAAGGCGCATGGGTAGTGAAATGGTTGTCGTAAAAATGCCCACAGTGGCAAGGGGCCATTTGTCTGTGACCTGCACTGCAAATGTGAAACTCGGTTAACTGGGTTCGTGTATTAACGTGGAATCCAGTAGGGCCAATTTGTACTCTTGTTCCTTGTGTTTGAAAAAGGGCTGGTTGTCTGCTTGTATTCTCTGTTGACGTGCCTCGGTGGTTTGAGCAAAACTTTCTCAACCTAGCACTCTTCAGCGTAGTTCAAGGAGCACTGAATGCTACGAAATCCCACCATTCCCAAACCGAGGAGACAGCCAAATGCACACTGCAGATGCTCAAACCTGTCCGGATGGCTCAGAGAGAGCTGTCAAAAGGCGGGGGCCACGCCTGCCAGCTGGCCACGATTCACGGTGTCTGGTGTTGCTCCTTCGGTGGCTGGAGCTAGACCTTGCTCTCAAGGCCCTTCCTCCTGAGCCAGCTGGGCAAGAGGCTCTCTGGCAACCCCTCTGAGAGCCCCACCTGGCCCATCACTGGTGAGCTTTGGGATGAGGAAGACTCTGAAGCCATAGCAGGGCCGGGAGAGGGTTGGAGGGGTTCCTTGAGACATCAGGTGAGGCAGCCTTGCACTGGGACTGTCTCTTCTGGAGCGGGGTGTTTCTGGAAGAACTGCAAAACCCTTTCCCCAGCGGTCTCCCCTGAGCTTGCATTTAATTATTAATTATACTTATATCCCGCTTTTTTCCCTTCACAGAACTCAAGGCAACTTGCATAATTCTCCTCCTCTTCTCCATCTTATGCCTGGGAGCCTGACCAAAGGACATTTGAACGTTGTTTACACCAAGGCAGGCTATTAGTCCATTGGGCCCGGTGCTTCCAGTTCTGACTGGCAGCAGCTTTGTAGATTCTCATGCCTGTACTTGGTTGTTCTCGCCCTGCTGCTGTATTTACCAGTTGCTAGCCAGATGGCAAGGATGGTCGCTGATTATGCCCTGCCTGGGTTCCTTTGCAGGCTGACGTAGACAAGGCTGTGAAGGCTGCGAGGGATGCATTCAAGTTTGGCTCTCCCTGGAGGCGGATGGACGCCTCCCACCGGGGCAAGCTGCTGAACCGCCTCGCTGACTTGCTGGAAAGAGACAGAGCCTATTTGGCGGTACGCTCAGGGCACTGGCAGGGGCGGGGGGCGCCTCCTTTCTTGCCTTGCTGGGAAACTTGGCTCATCTACTTGGGACCATTACTTCAAACATTTCTTGCAACTGCACTGTTGACTCATGTTTATTCTAGATTAGGTACAGGGACTGCAATCTAGATATTAAAAGCGCCCCCCCCCCCATACTAGTGTCCCACACTGTGCACCAGCTATTCTAGAGTAAAAGTGAATGAAACATGTAGCTGCTGGACAAAAGTTTAAAGTAATATCTGTTTTGCCCCAAATGGAAGAGCAAGGTAAGAATCATAGTTGACCAGCTTCCATTTGCTTGCAGGCTCTGGAGACGCTCGACAATGGCAAGCCCTATTCAGTTGCCTATCTGGTGGATTTAGACATGGCTGTTAAGCACCTCCGGTAAGGCTTCATGGTCACGTAACCCTCTTCCCAGTCAGGAGAGAGGACATCACAGCTGCTGGGAATTTGGGGAGCTCCTCTGGCGTCTGTCCCATGGAAACCAGCTGGGACTGTGCACGAGGAATTATTTGGCTGTTAGCTAGCCAAGAGGTGACTCCGAGTGCTGCCATAAGTGGATATGATGTCCGCTTTTCGCTGAACCTTTTTCCCATGTTGAGGAAGGAATTCTGAAGGGGGCTGTTTGCATTTGCCTACGTGTGCAAAGAGCCCTCCAAACAGTTGGGCAACCAAGTAATCAGAGTCCCCGCTTGTACAGAATTGCATCTCCATGCTACTAGAATGCTACCAGAACCCTGCCCCGGTCAGGCCCCACAACCTGGCAAGGTCAGGAACTGCAGCAGATGTGGGACTCTCGTGTGTGGGGTGGGGTGGGGTGGGATGGGGAATGGGCATCCATTGTGTGTCACCTCCCGCATGTGTTTTTAGATCTTGCCTGGAAAAAACCCTCGAATGGGGCTTTGGTTGCAAATTTTAGAACAATGAACTTTCTCTGCCGCACTGTGCAAAAGGGAATTATACATATTATACGTCTTATATTTCAGTGATCTCATATCAAACAGAACTGAACCATCCGGTTATGTGTGCTGCAAAGATTAGTGAAACGTTATTGGCTGGAATGGGAACTGAACCAGAATTCCTTCAGGGGTGGCTGACCCCGCATAGGAAATAGCTCGATTTCCTGCCAGAGATGCTAATGCGATATTGTAGCCTCCTCTAGCCTCGTGCCCAGTTGCACAACAGCTCCCAGCATCCCCAGCCATTTTGCAAGTTGTAGTCCAACACACCCGAAGACTGCGAAATACCACTGCAGTACTTTCTTGTCAAAGAAAATTCATTAGCCGTCCTTGCATTGGCCTGTAAATATCGCTGCGGAAACTGTTCCCCCGCCGCCAAATTAATGTACTGGTTAAATTGTTCCGTGTCAGGTACTATGCGGGTTGGGCAGACAAATTCCATGGGAAAACCATTCCCCTTGATGGAGACTTCTTCAGCTACACGAGACATGAGCCCGTCGGGGTCTGTGGACAGATCATTCCGGTAGGTCGAGCTGCGCTGCGGCCGACTCCCAATCCCGCATTGTCACGCTTGCAGTGGTCAAGGGCCCGGGAGACACCAGTGGCGTTGCCGCGAGCAAGGGATCTGCCCTTGCGATCAGCCACAGCAGCACCGCTTGCCACCCCGTGTCCTTGCAGTGGACGGTGCCTCAGCAACGGAGGCAGCACCGGCATGTGTTTGTACGGCCACCTTCCCCACCTGGGTGCTTTCCAGTTGTGTTGGATGCAACACTCTTCATCCCGGCTGTGGTTTTGGCAGCTCTGGCCACCCGTAACAGGCTGCGGGTTGTTTGACTCATGGGATGTCCCGTCAGGTGAACCAGTGGAGTGCATGCTCTTCCTTGTCTGTGGCTGAGTAGGCCCAATCCTGCAACCGCCTATCTCCTTGTTGCGGGCAGGAGAGAAGGGGGCCCCAGCACCATACCCTAAATTGCACCCCATTGAACAGTGTGCTGCTTAGGATGTCCTAAGTACCCAAAAATCTCACCGTGGGCTAAATAAAAGTTGAAGGCTTCTGCTGCAGCTGCCTAACCTCCTCTCTTCTCCTGCAGTGGAATTTCCCGTTGCTGATGCAGGCGTGGAAGCTCGGGCCAGCGCTGGCGACCGGGAACGTGGTGGTGATGAAGCTGGCTGAGCAGACCCCGCTGACCGGACTGTACGTGGCCAGCCTGATCAAAGAGGTGAGTGTGCAGGGCACCTGCCGGTTCCTGCGCCCTCCGCCTCTGCTCCAGGGCACAGCTACGCTCTGAGCACATTCTTGACCTGGTCATGGCCTTGCCTCCAGGTGCAGACTCAAAAAACATGGGACGTCTGTAGCTCTATGAACCTCCTGCACACCCTGATGAAGTGACACAGTCCCTGTGCAGGAAGGCACAGCCGAGATCACGACCTAGTGTCCTCCAGGTGTGATGGATTACAGCTCCCATCACCCCTGGCCAGCGTGATGAGAGTCTGGCACATCTACAGATCTCTAGCTTGGGTGGGTTTCAGACACCCCCTTTTATGACAGCACTGCAGGTACCCCTTGGTGTCCTTTAAGATCCCAAGCACATCACTGGTTGGGTGGGGGAAGGGCGCTTTTCCTCCCCCCTCCCTCCCTGCTGAGTCTCCCACATCCATCGAGACAGAGAGCCTTGGAGAGGGACATCAGCCACTTTCTTCCATCATCATGTTATTGGCTTGGGGCAGCAGTTTTCAGTCAAAACCGAAATTGTTCTTGCTGCCCAACCTTTTCTGTGGAGCTGGCCTGCCTGAGAACATGACTATCCAGGGCTGTGATGCGATTCTTGCTTCTGCTTAAACTTTCAGGCTGGGTTCCCCCCTGGCGTGGTGAACATCATTCCTGGCTTCGGAAACACAGCAGGGGCGGCCATTGCTTCCCACATGGATGTGGATAAGGTCGCATTCACTGGTTCCACAGAGGTGAGGGGCTGAGTGGTCTTGATCTCCTCTTTCTTCCAGTGTCTTCAGGAAATGTGCTGAGCATCTGGAGACAGTTTGTCCTGTCTCCTCGTAAACGGCCCTTCCCTCCGTCGTGTCTGTTAGCCCAGCGCAGCCTTTCCCAACTGGTATTCTCTGCATGGATCGGTCTGCAAATCCCGTGATCCCCAGCCAGCACGAGAACTTGGGGAAGGATGACCTGAGCTAAGGGTACTTTCAGGCACAGAGCACTAGGTGCCACTGATGAGAACATTTCCCTCTTCCTGTTGTGGCAAGGAGGAAAAAAGGTACAGGCTGTGGTGGAAAAACACGGGATAGCGACACATGGACTCCCTGTCAAATTTCTGAGGTGGAGAGACTGCAGAATAAAAATGTCATCTGGAAGCACCCTAAAATTTCTCATCTTTTAAACAATTAAGTAATGTCCAGTGATAAATGGGGACTTCATTAGTTATCTTTTGCAGCCCTATTTAGACTTATGAGGTAAAAACACAAGACTATGAATAAACATCCTATAGCAAGCTTCATTTACAGGACACTATAAAATATTTATATTTTGCATGTTGATCAGATGCTCTCTAGGACAGCTTATGACAGGTTGAAAGGATAAATCAATAAAATTAAACTGCAGCAAACGAGATTTGGCAAGACAGCAATTGTGTAATAACCAGCAGAGTTTTCATTTTGTTTAAAAGGTTAAGCGAACATAACAGCACTTACCCACTTCCTAGAGGAAAGTAAAATGGTTGCTAAGCAAATGTGTTTGGGACATCAAGGGGCCATGACTGAAAAGGCCCTGATAGCCACCCACTCAATCTCTGAAGCAGGCCTTCAGCTGACCATCTTAACACATGACCAGAAACATATCAGAGAAAAGCACTTTACAGAGCAACGTAACCCCAGAAAATCCCCAGTCCTAACCCTGGAGGAGCAAGGAGAGTGCAGCAGGAAGGATAGGGAGCAACGTGCAGAAATGCAATCAACACATGCTTAGGCTTAGTTTCTTATTTAGAGTCTGATATTTAAGTCCAGTATATCTTTTGAGTACCGGCTGGCCTTGTAGTTATTCCCAGCAAATGCTGTGCCCTCTAAAGCTGGGTAGTTAACAAGATTATTTCCCTACAAAGTCTCTACCAATTACAACAAAACAGGGAGACTTATGTTTTCTGAAGTCTCCTTTCCCAGTGAGAAATGGTCTGAGAGGGGAACTGAGAAATAGCTGCTTAGACTGGGTTAGACGAGTGCTAATGTTTGTCAGAATACCAAATACTCTGTCATTCCTTTCTTGTTTATTCTACCTCTGAGTTAGCTTTACAACTGATTGTATATTGCACTTTGGTTAGGGCTACTAAGTGTCTTATTTTCAGTGGATTTTGTGGGGTTTCATCCCTTTTTTAACTGGGACTCTGGTGTTGTCAGCTTCAAACCAAACTTAATCTGTATTGGCCTACCTTTTTTTTCTAAATTGTCACCCTAAATCAAGTCTTTGGATTGAAGAGTAGTTAATAAAATGTTTATGATCAATAATGAGCAGATGGTTCTACAGTTTGGGTGCCACCACAAAGAAGGCCTCCTCTCCACCAGTCTTTACTAGCTTGAGCTTAGAAGGTGGAACACATATGAAAAAGAGCTTCTAACAAAGGTCACAACTGACATTCAGATAAGCATGCATTTCTTTGAGATAAGCATCAAGGAGAGACCACTAACCAAAACTGAACTTTGTTTTTTAAAGAAGTCTAATTTATGTAAGAATCGAAAGCATAAGGAAGTTGAAACTTCAGTTGCTATGGGGAGTGAATTAGGATAAGCCTTCTGCAAAACTGTGAACTTTATTCTAAATGACTTGGCTTACCTGTGTGTAAATGTGCAGACATGCGGAAGGAGAGCTGTCTGATAGGTTATGCAACTCAGCTAAGCTGTAGCAATCTAATGTCCTTGCCATTCTAAGCCAGTTTTTAGCACAACTGCCATGCTTCTTCTTGAACTCTTGCAACCAAAATAGCAATGCTCATTTAGGCCACAATCCTAAATAGGCACGCTTAAGCTTTAAAGAAATTAATGAGGCTTGGTTGCAGTCATCAGGCTGGCCTGTTAATGTGAGCTGTGCTGGGTTCTTTCCCTTTTGAAATTATGGTTACTCCAAAGAGTGTGTGAGGGGATCTTGTGGAAGGCCTTGAAAAGGTTCCCACCTCCTAGGAGCTTCCCTTTCTTGCTGCCAAAAGCCAAGACAATGTCTGTGGCTTACATCTCCCACAGGGCCTCAAATGTAGCATCACTGAGGGGCATTGTGGAAATTGGTTATGGTAGCTAGATCCAGCCACTTATTACCTCCCAGAATGCTCCTGTCACCATTACCACTAAGGATTGCCATTTGGGGGCGGGGGAATTGGGAGTCAGCCCTGCTGCTTAACAGAATTCCCTTAAGGATGGCTTGTTTTTCTACCCAATAAACGTGCTTGTCTCTTGACTTTATAGGTTGGGCATCTGATCCAGAAGGCTGCGGCAGAGAGTAACCTGAAAAGAGTGACACTTGAGCTTGGTGGAAAGAGCCCAAACATCATCATGTCTGATGCTGAGAGTAAGGCTCTCCCTTCTTGATACTGGTGGGAACTACAGTGGGTTTGCCCCCGGGACTGGCTGGCACCAGGCATGAAGCTGGTGGCGCCATCTCTGATTCATCCTTCATAGCTACAATGGTGATAAATGGCAGGAGCTAGACATGTATTAAACAACCAGGAAAACTTCATAAAGGTCGATCTTGCAGCAGCTCCTAAGCTCACACTTTTGCAGCAGTGCCGCTTCTGGGGACTAGATGCATGCTGTGTGCATGTGCGAGTACATGCGCATGCACAGATACACGGTGATGGACAAAATTCTAAGCGGCGTGGTTGAATGGCAATAGAATCCAAAAAGTCTCTGGCAGTTCAATTAGAGATTAAGTATGTGAAAGACACACCCATTCACAACAGCTATATTTGGTGAGCACGGTTCTCTTCGTTGTTCGCAAATTCTTAGTTAGTGCTGAGTAAACGAATGCCTGCGATGGAACTGGAATGAAAGAACCCTCCTTGACAGTAGCTGAGAAAAGGATGCCCCTTCTTTCCCTTTTTGCCCTTTCTTCCTTGAGGGTGGTCAGGGACCAGACGCCCACCTGAAGCAGGAGAATGGATGAAATGATGAACTCTCGGTGTCTTTTCCAACTCTTGATTCTGAACCATAGAGGGAGGCCCTTCAAATCATAGGAGCATCGAAAGCTGTCTCACACAGCTAGACCCTTTGCCTGCCTAGCTATTATTGTTGACCCTGACCGGCAGCACCCATGGCTCTCCGGGGTTTCGCAAAGCATTCTGTGCTAGCCCGCCCAGGACATGCTGCAAGAACTGAACCTGGGACCTTCCGCATACACAGCAGCTGATCTACCACGGAGCTTTGTGCCTTCCACTCAAGCCGCTTAGGTTCCACAGATGCAGCCAGGTCCTAAAGGTCACGGCCACTATAAATCATGTCCGCAGGGAGCAGAAGCTGAAACTGTACTGGTTGTTCCTCCTGCCGTTTGTGTTTCCAGTTGTCTGACATAGAGGGCTTTCTTCTCTATTCCAGTGGACTGGGCTGTCGAGCAAGCACATTCTGCACTGTTCTTTAATCAAGGACAGTGCTGCTGTGCCGGATCTCGAACATTTGTCCAAGAAGACATATATCATGAGTTTGTGGAGAGGAGTGTGGAGAAAGCCAAATCCAGGGTGGTTGGAAACCCATTTGACTCCGAAACAGAACAGGGACCTCAGGTGAGAACAAAAAGAAGTCAAGCTGGGAGCTTTATTGAAGTCTAGAAGAAATTCTGCTTTGTCTCTGAATGTCACTGCAAAATAGCTTTGTTTCATAAATATTTAAGATCTGTTAATAAGCTTAACCTTCCTTCAGCACCTAGGCGCAAAGAATGGTGCCTCTGCAATGCATTCAAAAGTTTCAGATGCCCCTGAGACAGAGACTGTACTTAGTGTAAAAGTGATGGCAAGTTGATATCATTTTGCTTTTTAAATTATTTAATAGAACAGTTAAAAGGCAAAATGGCTACCAATAGCATAACCAGTTTATACACTTTACTAATGTAAAAATTTAAAATGCATAAAATTTTAATATATTTATTTTTTAAATTAATATTATTTTAAAAATATAAGACTATATATGTTTATAACAACGATTTTAAAGTAGGTAGGCCTGTAGTTCCAAATCCCAAAAGGCAGCTGACTTAAAAGTAATTTTGAGCTGAAAATTTCTGTCAATGTCAGCATAAAGTAAATGTCTGAATCTCTGTTAATCCTATATGGGGAATCACTGTTCATGCAGGCATTGTACTGGGAGTGCCTTTTTCTTTCTTTTGGGAAGAATTGAAATGAATCTGCTGCCATTTGGTTGGTCTTGTAGGTAGATGAAACGCAATACAAGAAGATTCTTGGATACATCAGTTCTGGGAAAAAGGAAGGAGCCAAACTGCTCTGTGGCGGCAACCCTGCTGCAGATAAGGGCTACTTTATCCAACCGACCATCTTTGGAGAAGTGCAAGATAACATGAGCATCGCCAAAGAGGAGGTCAGGAGCAACACGTGCCCGTCTCCAACTCTCCATGGTTTGCTTGATGCCTCCATGTGTCCCCCAGTCTCCTTCCTGTTTTTGGCTACACAACTGTCAACTACAGAACTGCTCATGCTGAAAACTGGGCATAGTATTCCTTTTCTCTGTATACCTATAGTCATACCTAGATATACATACTTACTGTGACTTTGGACGCTAGTACTGCAGAGAAAGCAGCCAATATTAAAAATGGAAAATGTCTGTTTCTTATTAATGTGTTGTATTTCCCTTCTGTACTCTTCAATAGCCAAAGCTTTCTGGGTGGTTCACAACATGGTAGAACACAGTAGAAAACTGTTTACCATGCCAACATTGCAAATAATTTGAGACAGCAAAAAACACGTAACAGTACAGCTATCTGCACTGTGTCTCTCCACAGATATTTGGGCCAGTCATGCAGATCCTGAAATTCAAAACCATTGAGGAGGTCATCCAAAGAGCAAATGAGACTAAATATGGGCTGGCAGCAGCAGTCTTCACCAAAGACATTGACAAAGCCAACTACATTTCCCAGGGCCTGCGTGCAGGAACTGTCTGGTAAGTCATGGAACAGGAATGCAGTCACCAAAACCCTGCTGAAGAGCCGTAGCCCAGAGGAAGAGCCCATCCCTGGCATGCAACATGTCCCCGGTCCAGCCCTTGGCAGCCCCTCAGTGTTGGCTTGGAAGGCAAAGCCTCAGGCCAGAACCAGTCTGCCTGACATCCCAGCCCAGGACCGTAAGATGGCCCTTTCCCTCGACTACTGCCTGTTTCTGGTGGTTTTTCAGCTTCTGTTCAGTTTTTTTTGCCCTGTTCTGAGAGGTGGAATCCCTCCCCAAAGGCATAATCTTGCTGGAAGCAAGAGCTTTACAACTAAGATATGGTGGCATTTTTGCCCCATCAAGTGGGCTGTGCTGCCCACTTGAATGCAGACCTCCACTCAGGCTGAAAGAGGTTCAACAGCCCCAGTACAGGCAATGGTGAACAAGAGGAATCAGTGGATTGACCCTGTACAACAACAGTTCCTTGTTAAGGGACTTTAGAAGGTCTCACATAGATTCCCTTCAGAATTTAACTTTTTAAGGGCACAGTCCTGCACATGTTTAGACAGAAAAAGGTCCTACAGCTCCCAGCATTCCCCAGCCAGCTATGGAATCCTATGCCTAAGCATACATAGGAGTGCGCTTGAAGAGGGGCAGTGCTCTCTTTTAAATAATTAATTTGCTAATCTTCACGGTTAGCAAGAACATTCCAGTGACAGAGGGAGAATTGTTGTAAACATGATTGTTCTCCTTGACTATTCCCATAGCCCTCCCCTTTCTCTCTTTCCAGCAATACCCAGTAATTTTCTTTTCCAGGAGGAAAGGCTGCTATCCTGAACCATTGACCTCTCTCTAAGTGAAATGTTGGAAAATTAGATCAGTTCAGGTCCCAGCATAAACTCAAGGCTTTCTCTATCCAAACCCCTTCAACAAACCAAATTCTGTTATCCAATTGCATGTGGTTCTTAAACTTGGCAGAGGTCAAGAAACAACCTAGCAACTAAAACAGCAAAGCACCAAAGTGTTCTCAAATGTCTCTTGTCTGTTGAAGGATAAATTGTTACAACATCTTTGGCAGTCAGACTCCATTTGGTGGGTACAAATTATCTGGACAAGGCCGTGAGGGAGGAGAATATGGCCTGACTCCATACATGGAAGTGAAAACAGTAAGTATCTGTAATCTTTCTCATGCATTCTTTCTCATATTTAATTGTACATTCTTGTTCTACATTTTGTCCATATTCATGACCCTGCTTGCTGAAACACAAAGCTGTTTTGTATACTCCAATAGAAGATGGTGAACTTGGTTATGAGAGGGTTAACTGAGGTATGGGCCAGAGTAAGAGGCAGGTGAACAAGCAGGCTGCAAGCAGGAGCATGTTCAGGAAACTCCTGTTAGTGGACTCTCTTGGAGTGTGGTCCCTCAGGCAGGAAACCAACCATGCCTACTTTAGATGTCAGGCCTGGCTGCATGAACCTGATTTCCTTAAAAATAATAATTTAGGACAAATTGAGATAGGTAAGAATGTAACAAAAACTACTGAAATCTAATACTACTACTTCTTCCAAGGTAACCGTCAAAGTTCCACAGAAGAATTCTTAAGGAACACATGTTGTGTATCAGAAACCATCCATATAAGGTTTCAAAAACTTGATAGCAGAATTTACCAAGAATTAAGTAGAGGAACCTCCTTCGTGAAGCAAAGTCTGACAACGAAAGAAGCACCTGCTGCTCACATTTAAGAAGAAAACCTTGCCCGTATACCTTTACTTAGCCCTCCTTCTGTACCAGATATCTCTATATTAGCCATACATATTTGAAGTTCTGAATAAATTCTCAGCCACCCCACTGAGCCCTCTCAAAAACTTGTTACTGTGCTACACCAATCATGATAATTTGTAGTGAGTAGTGCAGGAGCATTACAGAAACAGCATTGTCTTAAGTACTAAATTATTATTTTTTGACTATCAAATACTGTAAACTCAACACCTTCTGTGACTTTTAAAACATCTTATACAAAATAAAGTCAATTTCATAATATAGTTTTGCTTCATTTCTCACCAGTTTTGTTAACTCAGTGCCCATCCTTCTTTAAGCAGTGACTAATCAGTACTAGATACTCCAGTTTTAAGTTGCTGGACATGTTTATAAACTTTTAGCGTGTATGTGGCAAGATACAATACAAATTCCAAAAACGCAACAACTGCGACAACTCACCTTGGGCCAGCAGGGAAAGCAAAAAGATGCTAACGGTGTTACATTTTTCTGCTATACTTGGAAGTACATAAAGCTGGTTCTGGCGCTCCCCATCTGGACAGCCATCCAACTGGTCGCCTGAAGTATGTATTTGCAATAAACAGATGGTTGGATTCAAGAATTCTAGCAGTCCTCCTGCTTCATTTCTGACCCCTAGGCCAGATTCTCTCACAACTTGGAATTTTGTCCCCTGCCTTTACATATCGGTCACCTGAGATTATCAGCATATCTTGTTTTGATGTGTTATCAATTTCCTTGTAGATGTTCACATAAAAGTTTTTGATTTCTTCAGCATCTTTTGTTGGAAAATAGACTTGAATGATGGTTACCCTGGTAGGTTTTCTGAGAATTTTTATATGATTCAGTAGGGCTTTGCATTATTGTGCCATAAACTACATCTTTCTTCAGTATTAGAGTCACTCCATTTTTCCTGAGTTTGTCATTTCCAGAATAAAACACTTTGTGTTTGACTTAAAGTGTTGCATTCTAGTCCACTTTAATTCACTCACACCAAGTACTGTGAAGTTTACCTGCCGCATTTCTTGCTTCAATTTCCCGTTTGCTTTGACTCACGGTCCAATTGTATGTGTTACGAGTATCAGATCTTTCATCTCTGAGCACATCTTTTCAGCTTCAATCTAGTTGCGTCATTAGCAGCAACGGACTGTGCTGGGTGGAAAGCACTGGAAGCCGCAGGCCTGTTTTCTTAGTCAACTAGCATAGGATTGCACCTTCGAACAAGTCAGTAAAAACGAGACCTGTTAAAACTGCTTCCACGTCTCATTATATGCCTCTGTGTGCTTACCAGTAGACAAATGGCACCAAAAGGACAACGAGCATGACTGCCAGGCAGCCCTCAGCGGGAAAACCATTCTGTAATAGGGCCACAACTGACAAGACCCACTCGTTGCCTTGCTCAGCCTCTCTTGAAGGGAACACCTCGGCTGAAGGCCTCAGAGGGCTAATACGCAGAAATGCCTGCATATTCGATACTCTGCTCGTGTTGAAACCGTGGCAGAATTTTCACTCTGCCTTCCGACTGGAGTAGTTTTTCAGTCTAACTGAGGTGGGCTCACTGCTTTAGATACGTAGTTTGAGGCACTTGGATAAAGACACGTTTCCAAAATGGCCGCCGGACGCCTCCGCCTTCGGAGCCTCGTCCCCTCCAAATATCGCGAGACCTGTCTCGCGCGCGGCCAATCGACGCCTTTTGGCTCGGAGAAGACTGACAGGCAGCGCGAGCGGCCAAGGGGCGTGGCCGAGCAGGGAGGAGGAGTCATGCCCGACAGCTCCGCCCCCTTCTGGACCCCAGTCCCTCCCACCTCCCCTCAGGTAACCCCATTCCAAAGAGCAGCGATGCCATCAGGGCGCGACGCAAAATGGTAAAGGACCCCGATCGCCGAAGAAGGCTCTTTCGGTCGACATCTATGGAGAAACGGGGGAGCCCTCTGACTCATGGAGTCGCGTCTCTCCCTTGTTAGGCTGTGCGCGTCGTTCGCCTGATTTCGCCGGTCTTCCCTGTCCCCTTGTGATCCGCATACGTGGACGCGTCCGTGGGAGGATCTGCTCCGTGCGCGCCTGCGAGCGAGGGCCGAGCCGGGAAAGGGGACTTGGGGCAGGCCGGTCCCCGGCGCCGCGCCTCAGCAGGGCAGGCGGAAGCTGCCCACGGCAGGAGGCGGCGGCGGCGGCGGCGCTGTGGCGATGGCTGGCGGCTCCCCGGCGGGGCGTCGAGCCGCGATGGCTGAGGCGGAGCCGGCGTGGCGGAGCTGAGGCGGCGGCGGCGCTTCCCGCGGCGCGGCCTTCCTCGTTTCGCCGCAGCCGGCCCTGCCCGTCGTGAGCAGAAGCCCTCCGCTTCCGATCCGTCCTCCTTCCCTTCCCGTTCCTTCGCTGGCTGCTGGGCGGGGATGAGGCGGCAGCCCGGCGGAGGTGGCGGCGGCGGCGGCGGCGGCGGCGGAGGCGGCAGCGGTGACAACGACACCGACGACGGCGACTTGGAGGGGCGGTCCCCAGCCTAGCGCGCTCCCCACACACGCGCCTCGACCCTTTCCGCCGGGCCTAAAGCGGCGGAGGATGTCGGAGGAGCCCGACGCGGACAAGATGATCAAGGTAGCCGGGCCCGCCGACGAGCGAGGGGCCCTCGGCGCACGTGCGAGGCGGCCGATCGCCTGCTGCGGCTTGCGCGGACGCTCGGGGCGGACTTCTGAGCATAGGCAGAGTCCCGGCGCGGGGCCGCCACGCCCCCTTCCCCGGGCCCCGATCTTCTTTTTAAATTAAATATTCCTATCTGTTAGGGATACGAGCATTAACTGAAGATTTAGCGCTCCTCAGTCTGGTGCTCCCAGGAAATATGCACTGCTTTCACGAGTATTATTACAGTTCAGTACCACCTTTTTCTTCTTTCCACGTGAGAGAGCCGAGGTGGCTGACTCGGCCACTGTTCCTTCGTTTCATTCTCACAACAACCCTGTGAGGTAGGCTAGAGAGCGAGTGACTGGCACAAACTCACTCGGCGAGCTTCGTGGCCAGGGAGGGACTTGAGCCAGATCTCCCATCCAGCCCCTTGCAGGTTCTCAGCTGGCCCCCTGTGATGAGAGATAATCGGTGACAGGCCGGATCATATGCAGGGAAATGCTTTCCAACTTGAAGACTGGCAGAGGTTTCGGCCTACAAGTGCCATCAGCCTCAACCAGCATGGCTTGGAGATTGTGGAAGATGACATCCAAAACATCTGCAGGGTGCCATTTTGGGTGGGACTGATGTAGGAGTCCGCTTTATATAGCCAGGCCTGCTCGGTCTTGCCCGAGACATGTTCAAAGGCCTGTGTGCTGATGAAGGCCATCGCAGGTTGCCAAAAAGGGAGGCTTAGTTGCTGCTGCTGATTCCCTCCCAGCCACCTCCCCCTCTCCCAGCCAATCTCTTGGCAGTGTTTAGCCCTAGGGCTGTGCCAGTTTTAATTTGTAATTGTAAATTGGTAAAGAACAATAGCACATGTGTAAGTCTCAGAAAGAAAAGGGCTGCCATTGCTGCTAAAGGAGATTGAACATACAAATGGAACCAAACAAACTGACACTGGGCATTAGTGTTGTTAAGGGTCTTTCCTCCTGAGCTCTGAGCAGGACTTACTTTCAATCAGACACGTGAGGAACCCGCTGTTACAGTTCAGAGGTCTTGGGCCCCACTTCCAAGTACGTTATGTCCCACAAATTCAGTGGACAGACTTCCAAACAAAAATGTTTGATTGCATCCCCGTGCCGTGGATGTCTGGTGATTTGAAGCAGCCTCCCCAACCTCATCTTCTCCAGATGTTTGGGAGCTCAACTCCCATCACTGGCCAAGAATGCTGGGAGCTGTAGTCTAAAATCTCTGGAGGGCACCAAGCTGGTGAAGGCTGATATAGGGAATGGCATAATAAAACTGTTAATATAATGGGGCTCTTTTATTTGTATTGTAAGTGGTCGTGCTAGTGGTTATTTTTATTTATATGTTTTTGTATTGCCCAATTGGCAAAGCACTCTGGGTGGCTCCCAAAAATAGAAGCCATATGCACACTGATATTGATACCCACTTCTGAGTAAACATGTATATGATTGCACTGTTAAGCTATTGATTTATTACTGTTCTCCGAGGGCCATACAGTGACTCGGACATGGTGCTGCCAACTAAGGAAAGCATCATTCATATCTTGTCTTAGAAGTTTAGCCAAGCTACTATCCCTTAGCATTCCTAGAATCTGAAACAAAATAGCAAAGGTGGTATGGGTATAAAGGGCAAACTGATGTGGAAGCAGGGTGATTTGTTTAAAGCCTGTTACTGGAAGTCATGGAAAGGTCTGTGGATAAGCAGTTTTTAAATAATCATGTTATATAGTACTATGTGGCACAGAGACTGAAGCACTGGGATTTGCAATTGTATTTGTGTGAGGACTACAGAGAGGATGCAGCATTTCCATGTTTCTTTCCTCTTTCTTTTCGTCAAAACCAAAACAGGAAACTTCTATTTTAGAAGAATACCATATTAACTGGACTCAGAAGCTGGGAGCTGGAATCAGTGGCCCAGTGCGGTAAGAAGATCCTCTTTTTGTCTTGCACCTAAATTAAGCTTTCACGGTATCTTCCACAGAAACAGACGCTTTTGTCCTCTCCTCCTTTTTTCATTCATGCAGCCAAGAAAGGATATCATAACATACCTTAAAATAGTTCTGAGTGCTAGAGGTCACATAGAACCCTGCCCCCGAGCCACCCGTGAGCCCCCTTCAGGTGTTAACCTCCGGAATTCTCAGCATTTGCTTGCCCTGCAAGCCGTAATTGGTTTTCCCAGTGTCACTAGCTCTAAGAACCCGGAAATTCTTAGAAAATGTTAGAGAAAGGCAGGTTGACTGCAATTTTTGTGTGGCCTTTGCATGCAGGTATGAAAGGCCCTACTTGGTATTTCAGGGAAAGCATCTGAACCGGTGCAGACTGACCAGTCAGAAAAACACAGTGCGCATCTGGGATTTGGAGGCAGTCGACCGAACTGCCTGCCACAACTTTCTGGCAAACATTAGGCAGAGAGGTGCTCTGCAGTGCGCAGCGGTCTGCAAAGATCACTGTGGAAATGATTGCAGGAGCAAATCAGGGAAGAGTTTCACAGGATCTTGTTGACAAGCCTTCAATGCATTCCTAACTTGGTGGCTTCCTGAAGTGACTAATTGATTCTGCTGCTCTCTGGACAGAGTCTGCATGAAAAAATCGTCTCAAGAACGTTATGCGCTGAAAATCCTTCTTGATCGCGCAAAAGCTAGAAATGAGGTATGGTACGTTGCTTCTGGAGCACGTTCTATGAATCTCTCCAGTTTTTTTATTTTATTTTATTTTATTTATTGAAAGCTCCCCAGACCAGATCAGAGAATGGAACAGCTCAGAACTGCCAAGGCAGGCTTGCTTCTCCTTCACGCATTTCTCCTCCCACCTGCTGTTATGCGTTCTTGGGGTGTGGATGGGGGGGGTATGCCTGGTGTTTTGATGACCCCATGAAGGGCTGCTCCGCTTGGATTCTCACCATGCTGTTTCAGACCCTGCTTCAAGAAGCATTGCTCCTCAACTTCTGCTTCTGTTCTGCTGACCTTGAAAGCAGTGCAAATTGAACCGGTTTAACTTCCTGGCTTCCATGAACTCACCGCCCTCCCAGCTATTTTGCTTGTTATTTCTGGCACTAATCTCGCTACTCTGGATTTTGTGCTAGACCCTGTGGTTGGATTTTGCCTCGGAGCTACTCTTTAAAATACTGGGGCTCAGTTTAGAACCTGCCAGGCAATGATGGTAGAACCACATGCCTTTCAGCTTGGATTCTGCTAATATGTTTGATTTTAACTCTGTCCACACGAAAAGGGGTGTAATGATGCTCCTGGGTTGGTAGGTTTGTGGGTTGGTGGGTGAGGCCGATCACGGAGGGTGAAGGGTAATCCTTGTTCCTGTTTCCATCAGGTCCGGCTGCACATGATGTGTGCGACTCACCCCAATATCGTCCAGATTATTGAAGTCTATGCTAATAGCGTGCAGTTCCCTCATGAGTCCAGTCCAAGGTAAAGATGATACGGGCAGGTTCAGGTTCCCTGACCTCCTTTCCAGGTCGAGGCCAGGACCGCGTGGGACTCTGTTCTGAATGTCAAGCTGCCTTTTCTCCTGGGCAACGCAACCGCTGTGTGTCTGTCGTTCCCCCCTCCCCGTTGTCAGCTCATTGTAGCGCGCTTTCCTTTCCACGGTGACACGTGTGGTGTTCAGAGCGTGTTGACGTGTTTCCTTCTCCTGGTTGGCCCGTCTTCTTAGCTGTTTGGCTCCCAGTCGTCTGTTGCTGGGTATTGAGAAGCAGCCATCGTTGTGGGTAGGTTTTTGCTCAAAATAGGCAGCAAAGCCCCCGCCAAGAGGGGAGCTGAAGTGCCTTGGGCAACCGGCCTGAGTACCTTTCAAGCTGGCCGAACCGGAGGAGGTATGGCCATGGGCACCGTCTCCCAGGAGGTTCCCCCGCTCGAGCCTCGCTGACTGCGTGGCCACGCTGACCTGATCCATCAGCCGTGGGCGCTCGCTGTGGGTCTGAATGCACATCCCGTGATAAGCCGCATCATGCATGTGTACGTTTCGACAGAAATGGCACCTCATGCACAGACATGCTGGCTCCGTTTTTTCTGGAAGCGCATCAGTGTCGGTAGCTTACCTTGATACGTTGGAAAGTCAGCAGTGAAAACGTCCAGGCTCAGGAGACGGGCTTCCTTGTCACGCCTGAATCCTTCCGTGGTTTCTCTCCCTTCCATTTGACATGGACCTGGGCACGGGTGCCACCACAGGAGCTGCTCTCAGGCACACCTAGTGTGAAGGATGGGGTGTTAGGATAACTTTTGATTAACATTTACATATAAATATTTCTGTATGTGTAACAAACTGGAATGCTTTTAAAACAGGGCCCGGCTCCTAATTGTAATGGAGATGATGGAAGGGGGCGAGCTGTTTCACAGAATCAGCCAGCATCGGCACTTTACTGAGAAGCAAGCAAGCCAAGTAACAAAGCAGGCAAGTGGTGACTCCCCGCAACCCCCACCCTGTCCTTGTATCAGCGAAAACCAGGGGAGGAAGGCTCCACAAAGTACCTGGCCACTTTCTTGAGGTGGGAGGGCAAGAAGCAAGCTTAAACCAAACCAAAACACTCTGACATGATCAGAAGATTGCCTGCTTTGTTATAATCGAACAATTTGTTTGTGGATCTCTGATGGCTGAGGAACAGTCCTTTTTTAATGTTAAAACTAGAGGGACATTTGCAGACAGGCGGAATCGCTTTCTCCCAAGGAGGGCTGGCGGAAAGCAGGCAAGGCCCCCACTGTGGCTCATGAAGTGATGCAGCGGCTGGGTTTTTGCCTGCCCAGGAGCCTGAATTTATTTTCTTGCAGCACACAGTTCAAGACCTTCTATATGAATGTCCAACCTTGCTAAGTTCTGTTGCAAATAAATTCTTACTGGGAATAGGCTCTTTATTCAGGGTCAATTAGCATTCCAAGGTGCCTGAAGAAAAGGTGTGTCGGCACTGCTTTCGGCACGACGAAAGCCCGAAGACAGAACCGTGGACAAGATGAGCCTTCCCCAGGCCGCTCCCCTCCACACATGCTGGACTCCAGCTCCCATTGCCCACAGGAGTATGGACCATAGTATGCTGCTGTGGGCAACGGGAGCTGGAGTCCAGCACATCTAGTGGGTGCAAGGTTAGGGAAGGCAGTACGTGGGATCAGTTAAGTCTCTCCTAACACTTCTCTGTAGCGGTCCTTGTAAGACAGGCAGCCCCAGCTCTCGGGTGTGTGCCAGTGTGAAAGGCCAGAGGCTGTGAGAGCAGGTCTCGAGATCACGCCCGTACACCTCTGGGAAGGTGTAAGCACCTCAGCCCTCGAGTCCTATAGCAGTGTAATCAGCCCATGTGCAGAGGGCGCACAGTGGGACCCTCTTGATCCCCTTCATCCCGTCAGCCGTTCGGCCGCTTGGTCCTCCGGGTGCCACAGCACCTCCAGGCAAGATGTATCGCAGCGCAGCGCGTCCGGAAGCAGGGCTGCCCCGGCAATTTTCAGTGGGGGCAAGTTTGTTGTATTTTTTGTCTTCATGCCGGTGTGGTTGCTTGTTATGATTTCGCATGTGTGATTTGTGTTTCCAGTGTTTTTAAGACTGTGAGGCAGACCAGTGGGCCAAGCGGGTGGGTCTTCTGGGCCCAGTGCCGCCTCTCCCCGCTCTGCGTGTGCAGACTTTCGCTGGCAGGCTTGTCTCTTGCTCCAGCGAAGTCCTACTTGTGAACCTCCTTCCCTTCCCACTTCCTCTGTGTTCTCTGCTGGGCCTTTCCCCGGCCGTGTATTTGCAGTGTTTCGCTTTGACTGAATGTCGCAAGAGGAGGCATTTCACCAGGGAGCGCTCTTTCCAAAAGAGTAACTTGTGAAGAAGCCTTTAATCTTAGACTTTGTTTTTCAGTAATCTTACACGAGCAGAGTAGTAAAACATTTCCATTGCAATCTTCCTTTCTGTTGCTTGCAAAGTAGACTCACTAAGGGATCCCACTGACATCAGCTGTAGCGACTCACGAGCAACCATTTGAGAGTTTGTGCAATGCTCGTCTCTGCATCCAATTCCATCCAGGGAGACTGCTAGTTTTAAAAAGCTATTCATTTCTAAATTACGTCTCTTCGGAAATATATTCTCACTTTAGAAAAATCAGTACTTCGGGCACAACCCAACCGAAGTGAAGCACTTATAAGTCCCAAGGATTTTATGGGAGACTTTCAGTGGTCTCCCACAAGGATTGATAGATATTAAAGATGCAAACTTCAGCTGTTTTGTGCTTTGTGTTATACTGGTCCAGTTAAACACATACGATTCAATCCAATGTTTGTTATGAGTGAAACAAGACGTATGCATCCTGAAAATTCCGTACTATTTTTTCAAAGCCTCTAGTCCTCATGGTTGCTTTATTTGTTAGAAATAAGTTTAAAAACATTCAAAGAGAAGCATTGACTGAGTTATAAGCCTCCTATTTCAAGTGCCATATTTGCAGCAGTTTCAGGGCTCATTCCATGATTTTGCCTTACGGCAGTATCCATTCTGGGGGGAAATACTGTGATTAATAAGCCCGACATATCCACCAGCCTTCTGTTACTTTGTAGAAAATATTAGTACCCTTGTGTATTACATGGAGCTAAATGCATTTTAGTCTGACTTACTGTGCAAAACATCTTTTTTGCAGGTTTGTGTATGTTTTAAGATGTTTTTTGAACAAAATAACAATAAAAACTTTCTTAGGACTGACCTTCTAAAGTCATGGACCTTGTTTGCACTTCCTTAATTTTACGCTGGTTGTAAATGGTCTTAAATCTTTCTTTTTGTAGGGATTTAAGACCATGATTTTGACAGAACAATAGTGTGTTGCCGCATTTAATCTGGAAACTGAATAGTCAGCAGTGTCTGAAGTTGCTGAGATTCACCCCTTAGCGCAGTCTTCCCCATCCTGGCACTCGCCAGATGTTTGAGCTTCATTTCCCCTGGCCATGAGCCTGAATGCTGGGAGTTGAAGTCCAAAACACCAGGTTGGGGACTGCCTTAGAAAGTAGCAAGAAGGAAGAAAGTCTCTGTGGCCTGCCCTCGTAGTTTAAATTTTGCAGAAAACGACCTCAGCACTGAGGAGAAGATGCCTGTCTAACTCTGTAGGAAGGAGCACTGCTATGACTTCGTGTCCATACGGAAAATCTAACTTTTGGGTTGAAGTAACACTTTGGCCGGGAACGTGTGAGCCAGTCTGCAGTCCGCAGGGATGTGGCATGCCTTCCACTGGTCTCGGGTTGAGGCAAAATATTTCCAAGCACAGTATTTGCATCCTGCTGCGAGGCAGCCTCTCAAGGGCTTCCTTTCTCTTCCCCACCTCCGCTGCATGGGAGCCCAGACTGAGCCACCTTCTTTGAAGTGAGATTTTTTTAAAGGCACACGGCTAGTAGCACAGAGCAGTTCCTCAGCAGCTTGGTCTGGAGCAGGGACCACACAGTGCTGAGTAAGAGGAAATTAGCGCGTTTCACGTGGGGGAAAGAGGGGATTGTGAGCAAAGCCAGCCGCTTGATTCGGCTGCTTCTGTAAAGCAAGCCGTCACCGCAAGCTGCTGCCCAGCAAACTCTTGCCGCCTTCAGCTTCGACAACAGAGCTGTTCACGGCTTGGGAAAAGCTGGTTCTGCTGGAGAGCTGGAGAACGACAGGTCAGACACCAGCTGAGCAGCACTGGCTTAGGATGCCTGCTGCTTCTGGCCCTGGAAAGAGTCCCCAGGGCCCGCCGGGACCGCTGGGAGAGCGGCTGCCGGACTGTATGAGGCGCTTGCTCAGCCTGTGCTAGCCATGGCGAGCATGAGGTGGCAGTGAGGACAAGCCCGGCTCCCCTTCCGAGGGCCCTGGCTTCAGGGAGGAACCTCAGACCCAGCCTGGATGGGCCAGCCGGGCAGGCGAGAAGTAGCCTGTGGACCCGCTGGCCCTGTTTGGAGGGGCAAGACGGAGCACTGCCCGGTGCAGACTGGTGATCTTTGAACTTCAGAGCAGCAGGCAACGGTCCCGTGTGTGTCCCAGTTCTCCGGCTGCTCGTTGATGTTTCCCCCACCTCAGGCCTGAGCCCTGCACTGCTGCTGGGGGCCTCCGCGGGGTCCTTGTTCGGGGCGGGGGGCCTGCATGCAGCCACGGCAGCGAGAGCCTGTGACCGCTCTGATTTCTTCTGTCCTCTTTCCAGATAGCTTTGGCCTTGCAACACTGTCATTCGTTAAACATTGCACATCGAGACCTGAAGCCCGAGAACCTTCTTTTCAAGGATAATTCTTTGGTAAGGGGGGGAGCTTGCTCACCCGGCTGTCCGACTCAGTCCTGCTGCTTGTTGAGCCCTATCTCTGTGTGAAATTCAGCTTTCTCCACCACTCTCTCCTGGCCTCGGAAGCCGACTGGCCTTCCCAGTAGCATCCAGCCCCGCTGACCGTTGTCCTGTCAGAGGGTTTCTTTCTCTGCTTAGTGCTTCACTTCCCAACTTTCTCCTCTGTCCTCCAGTTCCTCCTTTGGATTCCTTACTTTCAGCTTACTGGCTGTTCTGTTCTCTTTCTCATCATTCGCCCTATCCAACTCCCCGTCTCTTAGTTTTCCTCCCATTCAGTACCTCTTTGCACTTAGTGTCCCAGTTTGCAGTGAAATTCCCTCGCAAAAATCTTTCCTTTTTCTCACAACTGTGCTGATTGTCAACGTTCTGTTGCTGAGCATTTTACCCTGAGCAAGAACCGTGCGCTTGAATGGTGCAAGGGGTAAATGTGGAAAAGAGCTAATCTCTTGGACCCCCTTGTTTTAGGATGCCCCAGTGAAGCTCTGTGACTTTGGATTTGCCAAGGTGGACCAAGGTGACCTGATGACACCACAGTTCACTCCGTATTATGTAGCACCGCAGGTAAGGGATCCTTGCTGCCAGTTCCAGATGTTCCTTCCCAGGAGTCTGGCAGATTCTTCTGCTGGTCAGACCGCTTTGTGCATTCTGCAAGGCTCCGCCTCCTCACCCATAGATATGTATATTGGGCACAGATTTCAGGGACTAAACTTTCATCTTGCATTTTTAACAAAAGCAAAGTTTCTAGTCCCTGTGATGATGTGAAAAGTTCCATAAAAGGGGAAAAGGTGGGATATAAATATAAGAAGCAAGCAAGCATGTTATCATTACCTAGTGAAATCCTGAAGGGCAGCTTTGATATAATTCAGTGATGTCAGCTTCAGAGCTTCTTTCTTCTAAATGTTACGTTAGCTATTGATCGCCATCTGACACGTTTGATTTTTCTGCTGCTGTTATTTGTGCAGGTGAGGGACAGGTCAACTTTGACCCCCTGTCCTTCACAAAAGCAAGGGCTGTCTCTCTCTCTCTCTTCCCTGTGCCTTTTGGTAAGAGAATTGCAGCTGCATTTCCATGTTTTCCCTCCAACCCTGCAGGTACTAGAGGCACAAAGGAGGCACCAGAAAGAGAAATCGGGCATCATTCCTACCTCGCCAACCCCCTATACTTATAACAAGGTACGTTTCTCAGCCTAGGCTGCTGCTGGCCGTGTTTCAGGCACACACAGCCGTCTTGCATTTGCCCCGTTTTCCGTGCAGAATGCGATGCCCAGCACAGAATCCATCGACTAGTGTGGAATTCTGTCATCGGGAGCGTTTATTTGAGCGTGTTTTTAAGGCAAGGTCCCAGTTCTTTGGGGCGGTGGGAATGGCTGCAAAGAGGCCGGTGCTGAAGACGGAAGTGGGTTCTGTCCTCTGCCAGGGCTTCCAGGCGGCTTCCCCGGCCATCTGCCATCGAATGCCCCCACACTGAGTTCCTGCGCAAACTCAGTCAGAGAAACAGCCCGTGGCTCCCAGCATGTGCTGCCCGGGGCAGACGGGGAGCTAGAGGGCTTCTCTCTCTCCGAACATGAACAGGGTGGCACCTCTGCGTGCTCGGCTCGGCTTTCCTCAGGACAGACGCTGCCTTTCCTTCCGTGCAGCAAGTTCACGCAGCCACCTCTGCACAGGCGTGGTCCCGCCGACACCCCCGAGTTGTGCCCCCATGCAAAGTGAGGATTGCTTTTTCTCCCTCTTCTAGAGCTGTGACTTATGGTCTCTGGGTGTCATCATTTATGTGATGCTCTGTGGCTACCCACCTTTTTACTCGAAGCACCACAGCCGAACAATTCCCAAGGACATGCGGAAAAAGATCATGACGGGGAGCTTCGAATTTCCAGAGGAGGAATGGAGCCAGATCTCCGAGATGGCAAAGGACATCGTGCGGAAGTAAGTCTGTCCGTGGAGCAGGTCTTCACTTTCTCTCCCCCCTAAACCGAGAACCCAGGTGCCGCCAAGGGCCACTTTCTGAGCAGGTGAGGCCAGAAAACTAGTTTTCATCATGGGTTGCTGCCTTCATAATAGCCACCCTGCATTCAGGCACTTTGCAGCCTATGAGGAAGCTGCACTGACGGTCGATCAGATGCACAGGAAAAACGAGAAGCTTCAGCCTGGAATTCAGGGGAATGAAGCAAGCGCTGGAGCTAATGCCCCTTAATGAAAGGGTTGGCTGGGGGCAGCTGTTTCTGCAGCAGATGTGGGTCATCTCGGGCTGGCCCCAGTTGCAAGTCAGTCGGAAGTGGCACTGGGAAGCATTGTGGGGGGGGGGTGCGCCTCTTTAAGGAAGCCAACAGACTGTGACTCTCCCCTCCCTCCCTCCCTCCCTCCAATGTCTCCTAGGCTGCTCAAGGTAAAGCCAGAGGAAAGACTGACCATAGAAGGTGTTCTGGACCACCCTTGGCTGAACTCCACGGAGGCTCTCGATAACATTTTGCCCTCTGCCCAGTTAATGATGGACAAGGTTTTTACTGCTCTTTGCTTGCTAAATTATTTCTTTGATTAAAATGCTTTAGGCCATTTGTCCTTCCAGTCTAGCATGGCCTGATTTGACTAGCCGGAGATAAAGCTAGTTGCTGCTGATTGGTATGCCTGTTGGGAAACAGAACTGACCCAAAAGCAGGCTGGAGTTCCAGAGAAGCGCCATCTCGGCCAAAAGGAAAAGCGGGGAAGGAGTCATGCAGCACCTTGTTTTTGCCTAACAAAAGCCTATGTCTGGAATGGGCGTTTTCCTCTGACCCAAGCTTACGTCAGAGTAAATGCACTCGTCTTTAAGATGCTGCAAGTATTCGTTCTTTTTGGAAGAGGAAAGAGGTCCTTAGTTACAAGTCAGAGCCTCTTGACGGAGTTAAGGTTTGCCATCGTCAGAAGATCGGCAGTCCTCTCCAAACCTGTCATTCTGCCTGCTGGTCTCTCGTGGCCTTCCACCAATTCACAAAGAGGGACCTTGCAGCCGCCGCCACCGTGTGCCGGGCCACGCCTCACCTGGATCTGGCGGCCGGCCATGTGGCACGAGGGCAGGGAGCACCGCGTGGCCCCCGCGTTGGCCACCTCTCTGCACGGAGCTCCGGAAGCCCACGCCCCGTTCAGGCAATGCTTAACCCTGTTCTCTCTCTCCTGCCTCCTCCTAGGCGATGGTGGCTGGGATACAGCAGGCCCACGCCGAGCAGCTGGCAAACATGAGGATCCAGGACCTCAAAGTCAGCCTCAAGCCCCTGCACTCCGTCAACAACCCCATCCTGCGCAAAAGGAAGCTGCTGGGGTAAACCTGCCCGGGGCGATGCTGGCGAAGCACTGCCCGGCGCTAGCGGGGCTCGGGGGATCCCGCTTCTGTTCTACGGGGGCGTGGAGGGGAGCCCCGCATCTTGCCCGCCGGGGATGCAAGGGAGCGGGGAGCCCTCCGTTCCCGCAGCCGGCTTCTCAAGCTTGGAGGCGGCGAGCCTGGCCTGCAGGCCGAATCAGCCCTGCGGTCGCCGGATGGCCACCCCATCCCTTTCCGCGACCACTACCCTTTTCCCACATTCTAAAATGCTGAAGCAGTTTTTCGAAGCTGTGATGATGGCGGAGATACTGTTGTACTCGTTGTATTTGTATGAAGAAGAGCTTCAGGCTTCACTGTGGTGGCATTTTGGGCCCCGTGGGTTTTGCCTTAAACCGTGCCAGCCGCTGGAAGGCAGCCGCATGAATGTCGCGATTGCTGTCTAGCTGAGAGGGGTTAACCCAGAGAGTTCCAAAGATGAGGGCCAGGGTAACTGGCAGTGTTGAGACTTCAGGAAACTTCCACTCTTGCTGGCAGAGAAGCAGGGTCTGTGGGTTGCTCCCGCCGAGGGAAAGAGTTTTCTGAGCTTCTGGGGGTGGGGGCAGTTGCTGAGCAAAACAGTAATGGGGGTGCCAGCAAGGAGAGAAAAGCACACTTTAAAAAAATGCTCTGTTTCACCCCGATTCACAGGTCCCTTTGTGTAGTCATGGCAAACACGCTGCTGCCTGAGAAGATCCCACAGACACACCAAATAGATAATCTAGTCTAGTTTTCAGGGGCTCACAGGGAAGGCTTCCAAAAGGCTGGGAATGCTGAAGGAGGGCGAATCGCAAAGGCCGAGATGCTGTTTTTTCCTGACCTCAGACAGAACTCCTGGCTGCTTGTGGATTTTTTCCTTTCGGTCTCTCTGAGGTGCCGCTACTGGCAACGAGAGAACCAGGAGCGCTGCTCCATCACCTGAGATTAGTGGGGGGGGGCACGGGGGAGTGTGGCGCGTGCCTGCTGGTGACGCTCACGTGTCCTGACGCTCGCTCTCCGCCACAGAACCAAGCCGAAGGACAGTGTGTACATCCACGATCCCGAGAACAGCAGCGAGGACTCCAACGTCGCTCTGGAAAAGCTCCGTGATGTGATTGCCCAGTGCATCCTGCCACAGGCTGGTAAAGGTCGCCAGTTCTTAGACAAGCCGTGTTTGTGGGAGGGGGGGAGGGCGGGCGCCTGACTGCTGGAATGTCGCTTTTCCTATGATTGCCAGAGCTTATTTTTTGCAGAGGGTTGCAGATTTTGATGTGGAAGCTCCATTTTTCTCCCCTCATCCCCTTGCTAACCGTGAGACGCCACCTGTTTGCCTTCAAACATTTCTCTACCATCCTTCACCCAACTAAATTTCAGGGAGAAGCAGCAAAATGTTAAATTTTGCCTAGAGTCCTGTTGGGCTGATTTGGTTGTTGGATATGGATTTACTAAGAAATTAAGTACAATGAATGCCTGCATGAGTAAAAATGGCAGAACCGTAGAGTGTGGGGAGATGGGCAGGACGTCCGTCATCAGCCGTCCTCTCCTTGGTGCTGTAACCTGTTTCCGGGGCCCTGTTCACTCTCCCAATCAGGTGAGAATGAAGATGAGAAACTGAACGAAGTGATGCGGGAAGCTTGGAAATATAACAGGGAGTGCAAATTATTCCGAGACACTCTTCAGACCTTTAGCTGGAATGGTAAGTTCGGCGAGTTTTTTCTTGGCGTAAAAACAGCGAGGGGTTCAATCCGAGCAACATTAGACAGAAGAGGCTGATCGTTCCTTGCACAGCTGGTCGGACATGCTGGGAGCTGCGCTGACCGGGTCCCCTTTTGTGTTTTAGGCAGAGGATTCACGGATAAAGTGGACCGGCTAAAACTGGCAGAAAGCGTGAAACAAGTCATTGAAGAGCAGACGAACTCCCACGACTCGCAATAGTTGGGGCTGCTTATTCTTAACAAAAACAGAACTTCCCCATTTTTTTTAACCCTTTGAGAAGTTATCCTTTAAACTGTAAAAAGTATTTTTATGTAAATTAATAAATCATAATTATTTCATTAAATTTCCACACAGCTTGAAAAATGCTGTATAGGTGTAGATAACAAGAATCATTGGTACTGTAATATTTTTTTAAAAATTCAGTTTATACATACATATATATGTATATGTGTGTGTGCATGCATATTACATATATATATATGTATGTATGTATATGTATATATGCGTGTGTGTGTGTGTGTAAATTTTTATGTACCGTTTAATTCCCAACTGTTAAACGGGACAAATCCTCGTGTTCTCCTCCGTAACCCGATACTCCGGTCTCCCTGCAGCTGCCAACTTCAAACAGGTTCCAGCCCCTCTATCAGTTCGTGGTGTCGCATTTCCATCCTTTGCCTTCAGCTCAGTCACTTTTCTGAAGCAGGACTAAGGGATGTGAGCAGCAGGACTGTCCCTCCTCACTTTCTTCCAAGGCCGCCATTTTCATGGCAGGCAGAGTAGCCAGCTGTGGTGGGTGACCCAAGGGACCTCTTGTGCCTGCAAAGGGAGCGCTCCTGCCTCGCCAAGGCCGCCGTGTCAAGCGGTGACGCTTTCCCTTGGGCTTCCCACTGCAAAGCTAAAGAGGAGAGAGAGCAGTCCTCTGATCTGGCAACGGTGGCTTTTTCCCTCTTTTTTAACAATTTCAGTTGACAAAGATCTGTACATATTTCTAGTTTTCTATCTGACATGTTTGCTTTTTAAGACTGGGCTGATGGCGGTTTTATAGAATTATTTTGGTACAATCACCTGTGCTGTTCAGCAACTGAGGAGCCAGTTCAGAGCTACTAATTTTTTTTTTACTTTGATAAAAGCTCTGTTTCTGGGATCATTTACCCTGGGTTTCCTGAGCCATATCACCTCATCCCACGGTGTTGCCATCTTCCATGTTGGTTCTTTTGCTTCTTCCCGGCTCATCCGTCGGCAGCTGTCTTCCTAGTCCAAACCCTTCCCACTGGAGCAGAGATGGAAGGCCCTTCACAGCACTGCCATTTTCTCGATCCCTTCCAGCCGTTCTCAGTGAGTATCGTGAAACTGCCTCCGTGAGGGCAAAGCTGGTGACCACGCGTTTGGTTTCACTCTTCAACGCTGATCGAGGAGTGTGGACATTCCAGAGGAGGAGCAGGCAGGGATTAATGCGTCGGCAGCCTGCCCTCCAGCGTACGGGTTGCGACATGCCCGCGACCGATTCAAGGCGACCCATGGCCCTGTCTGGCCTGCAGCTCATAGGCATGAGGAGCGCACGCAAGGACACGGGCAAAGCAGCCCCTCTTGGACCCACCCACCCACCAGCTCAAGTCTGGTGAAGACAGACGAAGTGTTCTGCTGCATGGCAAGGAGCTTTCTACCCACTGCTCCCAAGGAGTAACAGAAGCCTCCGCTCAGAAGCAAACTGCCAAAGCAAGAGGGAGTCCGTTTTTGTTCTTGAGAAGACCTGAGCAAACTGAATTTTACCACCAGCCTGTAACTACTTGCCCAGTCAAATGTATTTCTGGATAAAGTAGACGCGAACGACAGAGTTGTCATTCTTCCCTCAGTCTGCTGCGCACCGGAAGCATCCGAGTGGGATGGTGTATCGTGCTGCCCCACAACAGCAGGGGGTTGGACCTGATGGCCTTCATGGCCCCTTCAACTGTACTATTCTATGATTCATTATTCGCTGCTGCTTTGAGAGAACTGGCACCCATCCTCTCCCAAAAGTTTTACAGACCTTTCAGCTGAAACATCTGTTCTCCGATTTCTCTCTCGGTATTGGGGACTGTGCATCTTGGTGACCAGCCAGTGCAGGTGCGAAGAAAATCGATGGCAGGGTTTGCCTTGCCTCTTGGTAGAAGTGCTGTACGCGGGCATGAAAGGAGGATCAGAGGGAAAAATACAAGCTTCAAGGTGTGCTTATCTTGCATGTTTACCTGGAAGTGACTTCCAGCAGGAGCAGCTCCCAGGATGCCATGCTCAGCTGGGGTCCAGGCCATTGGGTCTCGGGGAACGTTGAAAAAGATGGTGGGGGAAGTTTGGTGTATCAATTTGCGGCTGAAGGTGGAGCGCTGTTGTAGCTCTGTATTTTGAAAGCTTCGCTTTATTTTCTTACCTCTTTTAAGTGGTGTGGGTTTATTAGATTAAAATATTTTTCACTTCACTTCATCTGCCTCCCTACCATATTCTGAAGCAGGCTGCCTGTCTGAGATCTTTGGACCACAGGTTGAGTGAGTGTTTCATGTCGCGCTGAATGCACAGGGCAAGCGGATGCCGGGGAAAACTCTCGGGATGGGGAATCTGCAGAGCGGAGCTCTCCGTGGAAAACACCAGCTAGCCTGGCCAGGGGCTCCGTGTGCCAACAATGAAGCGAGCACAACACGTCTGTGTATCAGTCCAGCCATTTGCTGCAATCAAGCCTGCCCCGGCAATTTTGCGGTCTTTGCTGAAGGGAACTGGCGAAGCGCTCACAAGGAACAGGACTCCACGCGTCTAGGAATTCTCAGCAGAGGTTTTAAGGACTGGATGGGGATGCAGCAGGGGATGACATTGTGCCAAGAGAACTGGCGGTGCTGGATGGCAATGGGGCAGGTGACCGGCCCATGAGGAAGGCTGCTGTAGAGAAAAATACGCCGCAACCGGAAAACTTTCCTTTGGAGGGGGAAGGAAGTCTCTGATCTGTGGCAACTCCTGCCCAAACACTGATTGTCCTGGAAGTGCATGTGGATTTCCTTTTGGCTCCAGTGTAGCATTTCCCACATTTAGGGCCCTGTTGCAAATTTTTGCAAAGCATACCTTGGAAGAAACCTATAGAATCCTGTGACGATTGGTCACAGCTTAGCTTAGCTGGAAGCATTTGTTTGAAAGAGCAGAAACGTGTGTGGAAAGGGAATTTGTGCTGAGAGCACGTGGCAGTGCGCATGCACGTTTTACGGTCTCCCACACTCATCTTTTATGCCCAAGCTTCCCCACCACCCCACCCCATGTCCCCCCCTAACTTTCAGTGTGCCCTTTTGCTTTACCACCGTTTTGCTTTTCTTTTGGAATCAGTATTATATAAATGTAAATATTATGCATTGGTGTACATAAATAATTTTACTAAAATTTATCCAAGTTTCTGTCTCGGTTTCTTAAAAACTACATTTTGAACCATACAGGTTTTGCAGCTGAGTAGAGGCTAAGGTATAATGTAGAATTGCCAGGCACTTACTGCTCTGCAGTTTCATTCTGATCGGTTTGGTGGGAGTGGAATTAACTTCATCCTCTCGCTAAGGGCAGTATGATCTCTCTCACCGAGCGCCGTCACTTCATGGTGGGTGGCAGTGACTTTTTATGGGCACGAGATGGCGTGTATCACAGGCATCCCTTCTGTGGCACAGGGGTTTCAGTATCCTCTGTGCCACTTATCCAGGCCCTTCTTTACTCGCTCGTTAATGCAAGGCTAGCAGCTCTGTGCTTTCCAGACATTCTGGGCCACAGATCCCAATGGTTATCTCTAACCATTGGCCATGCTGGTTGGTGCTGATGGGAGCTGTAGTTCAAAACATTGGGAGGGTGCCTGGTTGCCGCACCTTTGCTGTACAGTAATTGTAGGATTTATGTGCCCCTGCCGACTTTCCTTTTATGTTTGGGGCAGCCATTTCCCCCAAACCCTGCTATTTCCCCATCCCTCTCTCTTCCATGCTTTAGGGCAGTCCTAGGACCTCTCCAGACAGTCTGGGAGACCCCAGCATTTTTTGGAGGCCTACCTTGGGGCTTTGACTCTGACGGATAAGCCCCTTGCCCATTCCATCACAGCCTCTGGGGCCGCAGCTGGAGCCGGGGGGAGGGAAGGAGGCTGGGCTGAAGAACGCGCCACCTCCGATCGGTGCCCCAGCCTCTCCGCCTCCCTCGCCAGTCCTAAACCAAAGTCGCCATGGATACAAAATGCATCGTACAAACAGTGGCAGCTGCACCCCTGACCTTGCCTAGAACAAGGTGTTCGCAAGCCTCCAAGTTTGGGAGCCTAGAACATCTGCCAGGAGGGCCATGGGACTGTGCCCTTGGCCGGTTCCGATCGGCAGAGCCTTCCTTCCACGGCACACTCAGACCCGCCTGCTGGCGCCCCACTGCTCTGAGCCCCACGGTCAGCAGGCACCGCAGACCTGCCGCAGCAGCAGCTTGGAAGAACACCCGCTGCCCCGGGATGCAGAATGCTCCCATTCAGCGTCACAGAAGGCAAGAGCGTGGCTGGAGTTCTGTTTCCCAGCAGGAATTCCAGCCACGGCCGATGCCTCGTTCTGCACAGCACACGTTTCGAGAACCCGCCGCTTCCCGCTGCAGGCCCTGCTTATGTGCCCTTCCTGCTGCTCTCCAGAATTGAGCCGCCCCCCCAGCCGCTGCTTCCCAGCTTCTCTGTCACTTGGCATCCCCTCAAAGAGCCCGAGCTGACGAGAGAGGCAGGCATGGAGGGAACCATTCCGCCAGGGAAACACAGAAGACCAGGTGGCCTGGCTCATGGGACCCCCCACGGAGCAGGCGCCGAGTGACCCGCGATGCCCGAGAGGAGGGTGCGAAGGCTGCATTAAAACTGGCAGGTCCCGCCTGCCTTTTGCGCCTCCCCAAAGCCAGCCGGGACCCTGGCCGGGAGGCAACGTGGCAGGCGGTGGCCGGGGCTTCGGGGCGGCCTCTGGTGCGTCTCCATGCTGCTGCTGCACCTGCTTCTGCTGGCCACCGGCCACGCGGCCGCCGGCCCCACTGCCGGCTATGCTTCCTACACGGTGGTCACCCCAAGGGAGCTGCCCACGAGGGCGGGCAAGGCTGCCCGAGAGCAGCTCTCTTACCTCATCCAGGCGGAAGGGAAGGACTACGTGGTCCACCTGCAGCGGAAGGCCCTCCTGGCGAAAAGGTTCCCCGTCGCCACGTATAACAGCAGTCAGCGCGTGGAGGGCCACCACGAGGTCCAGGGCGACTGCTACTACCACGGGTACGTGGAGGGTGCCGGGGCGTCCTTCCTAAGCCTCCGGGCTTGCCCGGGGCTCAGCGGCCTCCTCCAGATCGAGGACCTGACCTACGGCATCAGTCCCCTGCAGGGCTCCCCTGCCTTCCAGCACCTCCTTTACCGAGCAGAGGAAGGCGCCCCCAGCTCAAGGGCCGGCCGGCCGCGCGGCAAGGCGGAGCGCCATGCCGTGCCTGCCGCGGGGCGCAGGCCGGCTCCCAGCAAGGGGAGCCTGGCTCACCTGCAGAGGCACACCAAGTACATGGAGCTTTTCGTGCAGGTGGATGTGCGCCTGTTCCGCTTCTACGAGGCAGACGTGCAGGCCACCATCCAGAACGTCATCCACCTCATTGAAATGGTGGATGACATGTTTGCCACTCTGGGTCTCCGTGTCCTTCTGGTTGGGGTGGAGATATGGACGGAGAGGAATCTGGTTCCAGTCACGGACTACGTGCAGCTGACTGTGGGGCAATTCAACGCGTGGCGGGTCCTGACCGTGCGCCCTCGGCTGCGGCACGACGTCGCTCTGCTCCTGGCCCACCACGGCACGGGCGGCTCCACCGTGCGGTACTCGTACCTCGGAACCGTCTGCAAGACGAACGCGGCGGTCGCCTTCGTATCCGCCAGGAACGTGACCGGCTTCTTGTTTGCGCTCGGCATCGCGCACGAGCTGGGCCACGTGATCGGCATCCCGGACGACCCGTCGCCAACCTGCTACTGCGCCCCCAAGCTCCGGTGCATCATGAACGCCAGGGGCCCGCACGCGAGCTACCCCCGGTTCAGCAACTGCTCCACCAACGCTTACTTGGACATCCTCCATGCCAAGAAAGTGCCGTGCCTGAGCACCACGCCGGCCGTGAGCAAAATATTCGCCCTGAGCTCCTGTGGGAACGGCATCGTGGAAGGAGAGGAGCAGTGCGACTGCGGGGTGCGGCCGGCGTGCAAGCAGAGCGGGTGCTGCCGCGAGGACTGCACTCTGGCGCCCAGGGCCACCTGCACCACCGAGGCGTGCTGCGTGGGCTGCCAGCTCGCGCCCAAAGGAGCGCTCTGCAGGAAAGCTTCCGACGAGTGCGACTTGCCCGAATACTGCAGCGGGGCGGCGGCAGACTGTGCCCCCGACGTCCTGGTGCAGGACGGCACCCCGTGCAGCGACGACGGCTACTGCGTGGCCGGGACCTGCTCGACCCACACGCTGCAGTGCCAGAAACTCTTCAGCGGGCAGGCGGCGGGCGCGCCCCCCGCTTGCTTCGAACGGGTCAACGCGGTCGGGGATCGGTTCGGCAACTGTGCTGGCAAGCGGGGGGAGGAGGTTCCCCCAAACTTCCCCAGGTGTGCCCGGGAGAATGTGCTATGCGGCCGGGTGCAGTGCGTCAACGTGCACACCCTCCCGAACATGGAGGAGAGCACGACCGTCATCCAGACCCCCGTCGGCAAGGCCGTCTGCTGGGGCTTGGCCTCCTCCTCCTCCGGAACGGCCCTCGCCGACATCGGCGTCGTGGAAGAAGGCTCCAGGTGCGGCAAGCGCAAGGTCTGTGTGAACCAGACGTGCACGCCTGTGGAGACCTGGGCGGCGGCCCGTGCGGCCTGCGACCCCTCGGCGACCTGTGGCGGGAACGGCGTGTGCAACTCCCGGCAGCACTGCCACTGCCGCTACGGCTGGGCCCCGCCGGCTTGCCGCTCGCCCGGCTACGGGGGGAGCCTCGACAGCGGGCCCCTGCCCCGCACCCGGACCTACAGCCTGGCCTCCGTGGTGGTGGGGGTCGCGGTGGCCACGCTGCTGGCCGTGGCTGCTGGAGGCCTCGTTGCCTGGGGGGTGAGGGAGGCGGTGCTGGCCAGGGCCCTGCGCAAGGGCCAGCCCCAGGCAGAGGGGGCCAGTCCCGCCTGAGCCGAACGGCCCCGAAGGCCCAGCCGCCTCTCCCTTCCTGCCTCGCACATGTCGCCGCCGCTCCGACGAATAAATTGCTGCGCGTGGGCATTCCCGAAAGCTGTCTGAACGTGCCTCTTCCGCAGGCGGCCCGGAGGGGCTTCCCAGGACTCTCGCTGCTGAAAGGATGGCGGCTGATGGCTTGGCTTTCCCAGCCTCTTCCCAGCCGGCCACCCGGTGCCAGGGCTTGGCGGCCCTCGGGCAGGGACCCTCGCGGGCCCTTCCGACCACCTTCAGCCCTCCCACAGCCCTTGCGCGAGTCTACGCAGCACCACTCCTGTCGGACCCGCCGAGAACCGCGTTAACTTGTACGCAGGGCGAAGCTGCTCCCATGCGTCTTCAAGCTGCCCCTGATCATCGGGCTGGAGCTCAGGGGAATGGGGGGCCGGCCTCTGCAGGGCCACACGCCCCCACTCCTGGCGTTCTGCACGTTTGCTTTCATCTGGGACCGAGCGGCGGAGGGAGAAGGTGGACGCTCTGATCCGAGCAGCCGGTCTGCCCGCCGGCTCTTCCTTGCGGCGGCCCAGGCAGGGCAAGCTGCTTTGGCACCCCGAAAATGCATCAGGCTCTGGTCTGCGTGAGGACAGGCCAAGGAGAGATTCCAACTTCGGTCGCTGAAGGGCAGCAGCGCTCTGCCACGCTCATGCGCTCGCAGGGCAGCAGCACTCGGTCCACGAAAGCGTTTAAGCCGCCCTTGCTGCCACGCATTTTACAGCCGCTCACACAGAAGTCGGCCTGCTGAGCTTCTCTCCTTTCCCCAGGCCAGGACTCAGCACCGCTGTAATACAACACCTCTTTGTGCCCAGAAAGGAGTGGTCTGCAGAAAGCATTGTAGAATTAAGAGAGGGGCATGTCCCCCGTTTCTTAAATCGAATAAATAATTCCGGTCAGTTAAAAGCACACGGAGAGAAAGAGGGAAAGTCCATCTTGCTACGCTCCAGCTGCAAAGCTCCCGCTTCCGGCTTTGACCAGACGCTCAGCTCCGGGGCCTCTGCCCCCCACCCCCGGACAGCTGGCCCATGTCGACCGCCGTGTGTCCCTGTCCTGCCATCATGCACACCCGCACACAGGAGCAGGTGGGCGCTCCGTCGATTTCGAGAGCGGCATGGGCCCCGGAGGTCCTCCAGTCCACCTCCTCTGCGCGGCGTGGGGCCTCGCCAGGCCTGCCGCAGCCCCTCCAGCCCTCTCTGTCTCACAGCGCTGTGGAGGAGGCTGCGGAGGAGCAGGGCCCCCCCGCCGGGGCGTGGGCAGGGAGCGTGCTGGCATAGAACCGCTTCTGGGAGCGCAGGAGAGGCGTCTGCGTGTCCACATCCCGGCAGGCCTGGCGCTTCATGCAGTGGAACATGTGCTGAGTCCAGCTGTAGACGGCGCAGTTCAGCAGGCCCTGGGAGGAGGCCGTCAGGGCCTAGGAGAGCAGGGAAGAAAGCCCGGGTCAGGTCCGACGCCCCAGAAGGTCGCCGGCGCAAGCGGAGTGCAGCGGGCGAGCGTGCTGGGCGGGGACTCGCGAGGCCCGGGTCTGGTCCCTGCTTGGCCACGAAGCAACCTGGGGGCCTCAGGCCAGTCGCTGCTCTCTGCCAAAGCTGCCTCACGGGGTGGTTGTGGGGATGGATACGGAGGAGGAGCAGGGAAGCCGGCCGGAGGAGGGCAGGGGAGGCTCACCTCTAAAACAGACAGCGCCATGTACAAGGGGACGTTTTCCCAGTGCGCCAGCTTGACAATGCCAAGGACAGAGGCTGTGGAAGACAGAGGAGGAGACGGGGACTGTTAGTTGCTGCAGCCGCAGCCCGGGGGGCAGAACCTCTCTCGCTCTGCACTCCCTCGGGGGTCGCACTGGAACGTGTGTGGCTTTTCCTGAGGGGCGTGCTTTCCCGGTTTCCATACCTGGCCCCCAGCAACAGAAAAACACGGTGGGGTACAAAACCACGCCTTGCTCCACCATCCGGATCATGGCCCACTGCCGGTCGCCCACGTAGCCGGTGGCGCTCACGAACCTCTTGTACAGGGCCCTGGCGCGGATGAGCAAGACCTGCGCAACGGAGGAGGGGAGGGGAGAAGCCAGGGCCGTCCGGACTGGGATTACACTGCCGTGGCTGCAGCGGCGCCAGGGAAGGAACTGCTGCATCTCTCGGGCCGCTTCCCTCGTCCTCCGCCCGCCTCAAAGGGTTGCTGTGAGGACAGGGCGGGATTACGCAGAGATGCATACCCGGGATTCGGCCGGCCCCTCCGGGAGGACGAGGCGTTCCTGGAGCCCGCGCACTCAGAGGCTCTCCAGATGCAAAGTCCCACCTGGTTTAGGCTTGCACCTTCGAGCCAGGCCTGCTGCTCTGGTGGGGCCCGCCCCAGCCCCAGCCCCAGCCCAGCCGCACTCCCCCTCCCAGGCAGCCCCACGCCAGACCGCCACCGCCCTGGCCTTGGGGACGCGTCTGCAGCTCTTACCAGGATCGTGAGGAAGCTGGCCAGGAACGAGACGAGGAAGACCCCGAGGCCGTACAGATACACCGCGGTGCAGGGCGGCTGCCGAGACCCCAGGGACTGCGCGACCTCTGTGTGCATCAGCAGGCAGCTGGGAGCAGGAGGAGGGGCGGGCTGAGCGGGGTGGGGGCCGTGCGGGGCTCTGGCGGAGCACGTGAGGACATCGCAGGCCCACGCGCTCGGGGGGGGGGGGCTCCCCGCGGCGGCAAAGTCTTACCCGTGCTTCACAGTGAAGTTCTGGTAACATTCATAATGGTTGCCCAGCCCCAAAGTAGGAACCACTAAAAGGACTGGGATGAAGCTGGAAAAAGAGGAGACAGAGCGGGTCCCAGTTAAGCGGGGCTCCCTCCTTCTTAGAAATTGCGCTGCTGGGGTTGGGACTGAGCAGGGAACAAACAGCCGGAGCGAACTGCTTTGAAGCCAGAGGGTGGTCTGTTGGGGAGGGGCCCTGCGGGCGGGGGGGGCGAGGTGGGGTCCGTCATCTCGGCGGGGTCCGTCATCTCGGCGGATCCCTCGGCTTCCAGGCAGGCTCCAGCGGGAAGGGCTCCTCCCCAGGGGCCGTGCATGCGCACCCTCGAAATGAGACGTGCTCGTGCTCCTTCAAAGCGCACCGTTTTCCCCAAGGACGGGTAAGGCTTAGTCAAGCCGTTCGACTTACCTGGACAAAACGATGGCTATTCGGCCAATGCTGCTTGCATAGCCCAGCGCCTGCAACGGAGGAGGAAAATCAAGTGCAAGGATTACTTATTGTATTTTCATCTCTTAGACTCAGGAGGGGAACTTGCCCATCACTTTGACATAACCCCCCCAAACACCTGTGATATGGGGGACAGAGCACTGGACTGGGAACCCAGGAGATCGGAGAATCAGACCCCACTCGGCCATGGAGTTCCCTGGGGTTCTTTGGGCGAGGCACTGACTCTCAGCCCAGCCTTCCTCACAGGGCTGTTGTGGGAAGGATAAAATGTTGCTCTGGAAGCTGCCCTGGGTTGCCCACAAGAGGAGAAAAGGCAGAAAATAAATCTAATAACAATAATAATAGATTCTTGCATCTATCACAGTCTCTAAAATGTTGTTACTTTGCTAGGTTTTTCCCCCAAGGGCAAGTACTCGTTCCGAGACTCAGACGTGCTCACATGTGGCTTGTTGCGCACCACTCAAGGGGGAAAAAGGCGACGCTCACATGTCATCGTTCTAGTGTTCTGAGAAAAGCTGGTCTGTGCTAGTACCGAACATTTCTGGGCGTGTTTCTGTTGCTAAATTGCTGTAGATATTTGTTTGAAGTGGAAAGTAATAGCTTTCAGGATCTGTCAGAATCCAGCGACTGTTGTAAAGAAACCCAGATGTTGGGTTCAGCATGAGAATGTGCTAGACTAGCCTGGGCATTCACACCGCAGGCAAAGTTCTGAGCCAAGAGACCTGAATTCTGCAGCTGGCACACGTGCCCGGGTCTGCTTGTTTATCTGACGGGACTTCTGCGAGTCACAGACAGAGATGCACTTGATCGCTGGAAACCCCGCATGCTCTCTGACGATCTCCCCACCCTTTGCCCACGCATCGAAACCAATTTCTTCTGAGCCTTGGGTTTTCAGGGCTGGAAAGGCTGAGGTTGTGAATCGGGCTTTCTGCGTTTCCTAGCATAGCCTCTCTGCTCTGAATGGGGGGCCGTCTCACCTTCCCACCCAACCGATGTGTTCTCCCGCTGCTTGCTTTTTCCTTGCTGAAGCGGCCAGAGAATTAAGAGCGGTGAGCCAGGAGCGTGTGGCAAGGCTAGCGCTTTGGGGAGGGTGCGGCAGGCACCAATCTGCCACCGGCCTCCACCAGGAAGAGCTCGACAAAAGAGCCCTTGTCCTCTTGGGAGTGGTCAGGCGGTAGCCGCTGTTGCGCTCAGATGGGCGGGAGGCTGGTCCCCAAGCAGGTGGAGTATTTATTCAGCACGTCCTCCGGGTTGTGTGTTCTCAGGACGGTGTCCTTGTCCCTCGGTTCTCGAGCGGTGACGCTCGTTCCCCTGGAGAGCCATTCCGAGGTGGATGATGGCCACAGGAGGGTCCCGCTTCATGGGACGTACTGATGGCACAAATGGCAGCCGCTCCTTTGTGGACTGTGGCTGCTGAGCGTCTTCAGACCTTCTGCAGGAAGGGAGCAGCAGCAGCGATGCTCCTTGCGTGGAACCAGCCACTAAGTATATGGGGTGGGTCAGGTCCCTCTGACACGCCGCTTGCTGACTCGACGGATCCTGCACAGCGCGTCCTGCTCTGGCTTCAGAGCAAGTAAGGTGTGTGCCCCGCGGGGAAGAGGCACTGAAGCAAAAAGATGGCCTTTCCCCAACTGCCGTTCCATTGCTCAGAATGACATCGTCCCCAGGTTGCAGGGTGTGTTTCCACGCATGTGGTGGAACATGCAAACATCAGCCCCCGACCCCAGATGTACAAGGGTTCTTCAAAAAGTTTCTGCACTTTTTAGAACTCTATTTATTAAAAATTTCAAAAACAGATCACGCTGTGCCAAATTTTTAATGCCATCAGCAAAAATATATAAAGATATTTATATAAAATATAAAAGTGAGGAAACTTTTGAAGACCCCTCATAATAATTTAAAATCATACCAATGCGTGTGATTTTGACTTAACTTGCATAGCCTGTTAGAGCGAAAGGTTTGCCTCTGATTCATACAGCAAATGTACTTAGCCCTGCATAAAATAAACAAGCTGCTTCTGAAGCAAGAGGTACCTGGGGAGGCCGGCTGTGTAAGTTCTGGTTGTACTTCACCTTCAGATCTGTGTAAAGATGCCAGGTGTAATTGACGGTATACAGGAACGAGGCAACATAGAATATCTAGAAAAGCAAAAAGAGATGGACCAATTTTATATCTAAACGGCCCGGCCGCGGGCAACAGTGAAAATACAATAAAATGCAGTATAGAATGAAACAACCATAAAAGATCAAAAAGTTGGAGCCATGTTTTGGCAACATAAACCACAATCTGTTGCGCAGAGTCAGGGGCTGAAATGCAGACCAGCCTGGGGACCTGATCCAGCCTGCCGGCGGAGGAGCAGCACCAGGGGATTCCGGAAGATCACACTCCCGGGCCTTTCCCCCAGCCCCTCCTTGTCAACCACCACTCCCTGGGCGACACTCCAGCCTGGGGGCAGAATTTTCATCCTCTTAAAAGGCTGCGATGTTGCTTCTAAGAGCGGGTACTGGCAGCAAGCGCGCGATGCTTCAACTCTGCCCGCTTGTTGGCTTTTGGGGCGTGCCCCCACCTCCTTCAACCCTGCCCTCTGCTAGAAGCCCCCGCCCGAAAGCTTCGCCAGAGGGGAACGGGGTCCTAGGGCTGAAGGAGGCTCTGCAACTCAGTGGGGCCGCCCCATAAAAGTGGATGGTGAGAGAGACGAGGCAGAGCCCTTCACTGTGCCATGATGGCCCAAGGTCTGGAGGCCTTTAAAGCATGCTTGACCAAGCGGTAGCATGTCGAGTGGAGCCGGCTGGAGCCAGGGGCCAGACTAGATGGCCCAGGAGGACCCTTCTGCCTCGCGCTGTTTCTAAATCATGGAGGAGGAAAGGGCTGGGGTGCAGAGAGAGAAGGGAGGGCAGTTTCTGGGGCACCCAAGCCAAGACACTGGCCAGCGATGGATTAAGGGCAGAATCAAAACACTGGGGCCAGCAACAGATTTTACTGTTAGAGCACGTGGCGCTTCCTATCCCATGACACGGAGAGGGTCACCAGCAAAGGTGGTTTTAAGAAAGGGTACATCCCAGCAGTGGCTTTCGACGTTTCCACAGCTGGGGACTGGCAAAAACAAGAAAACCACCTCGGGACCGCTGAGGCAGAAACAAAAAGCACCACACACATAATACAGTACTCTGAGTATTAGTTTCCAAATACAATACCAAAAAATGAAAATCCTCCAGAACAGCCAGAAACCGAGCCACAGAAAAGGCCGGCGTAAGAACAAAACCCCAAAACCAGCACAGCGTGGCCGTCTCTCCCACCCCCGGTGGGACTGGCGCACCCGCTGCGAGCACGGTGCCAAACGAGGAAGAGGCGGTGGAGCACAGCCAGCCCCCGCACCCGTTCGCGGCCCCCCTCCCCAGACGGGCAGGATCTCTCCTTGGACTAGCAGCTAAAATCATTCCACCAGAGGACTCAGGGCGGAGGGAAGCCCGCTGGTGGCCGTTCACCGAGAACCGTCGCAGGAACTCCTGCGGCAGAGAGAACGCGACACGTGCCCCGATTCTGCGCGGGCCCCTGAGCCCCCGGGGAGGAGATGCCGGGCTGGACAGGCCTCTGGGTTCCTCCGACGGCCCCGCCATCCTCCCGCCCTTAATCGCGGCCGCTCTGCACCTCCTGCCGATTGTTCCGGGCAAGCGGAGTGGAATGCTATGCGGGCCGTTGGAGGTCGGCTGGGCCATGAATGGAGGGGACGGCAGGCGAGCCGTGCGGGGGCCGTGCTGCAGCGGAGGGCCTCTGGACGGGACGGGACGGGCGGGACTGCAGCCCAGCCGGAAGCTGCTCCTCTGCCTCCCCGAACCGGTCGGAGGCGGCCCTGCAAGCAGGTGGGCTGAGGCCACGGCGCTGCAGCTCCTCTGGGGACGGAAAGCTCTCCGGCCGGAGTTCCCGATGCAGACCGTCAACAAACAGGACCCTTGTCTGAACACGGGAACCACCAGGGGGCAACCTGGCCGAGGCCTCATCCTTCCCCACAAGCGGGCACCCTCCCGACGCCTTGGGTCCCAGCTCCCAGGATTCCTGAGCACGGGCCCTGCTGGAGGGGGCTGGCGGGAGGGAAGGCCCAGGCCATCTGCGGGGCGCCAGGCTGGGGAAGACCTCCGGAGCGGATCCCGCTCCCTCCCTCCCTCCCTCCCACTGGATGCCCCTGGAGAGGCTCGACACGAGCCAGATGCCGGGAGGGCGTCCAGCGGGGGGGGGACTCCCGTCGTGGGCCGGGCTGGGGAGCCGCGCTTTGTCCTCGGGTTGGGCTCGCGTGCCAAGCGCAGAAAGCGGTGCAAGCCGAGCACGAGCTCGGCCTCCCACCCAAGAGCGGCCTCCACAGAAGCCCTCCCACAGAAGGCTCCAAGGCCCACCTTCCCTGGAAGCATGAACTGCCGCCGGGGAGCCGCAGCCTCTCAGAGGCAAAGCCAAAGGAGGGTGGGGAGTGGAGGAGGCATGGGGACCAGAGGCGGCCCAGCCCAGGCTTTCCTGAAATGGAAAAACTGAAGTCACACGGGGAGGGCGATGAGATTTCCTGGAATGACTGATGAGGCACGGGTGGCCTGGAAACTGAACTGCCCACAGCTTCTCTTTTCCCATTGTTCCACTTGCGGCCTGCTCCCAGGTGGGTCTCCGAGGGACGGGGGGCCCAGGCCAGCCGAGTCTCGGGTGCTTTAACGGAAGACGACCGCCTCAACTGAGACGGCTTCTTTGTGGGTGGGCTGAAGCTCTGCTCAGCCGGTCCAGGGCACCCCCGGCAGAACCAAACCCGCTTCTCCGTTGAGGACATTCTTCAGCCCATCTCGCAAAACCTGCTTTTCTTTCACGCACTGCCATGTCCCCCGCTCCATCGGGACTCGCCATCCGAGCTGCCACTCTGCCAGCAATTCCGGCAGGATATGCCACCTTGTGACACCCACGCTGTGTTCCCGACTGGAAGGGGCCATGCGTGCCACTTATTCCATGGGAGGGGGGTGCCACCACTGAGAAGGCCGTGCTCCAATCACCGCCAGGTGGGCATCAGCTAGAGCAAAGCAGGGCTTCCCCACAGAACAGGAAGACCGGGGTGATCTTGGCAGGAGAAGACGCTTTCCTCGAGATCCTGCTCCAGAGCTTCTCGGGGCCTTTGAACCAGCAGCGTCACCTCGAACGCAGCTGGGCCGCTCAACTGGCAGCAGAAGAATCCAACTCTGCAAAGTGGCTCAGCATCTTGAAACTAGCCCTGTCCTTTCTAGGTTGCCAGGCAGGGTTGCCAAAATACAACATGGGTCCTGTGGCCGGTGAGGCCGGTGAGGCCGGGCAGGGCCAGACGCCAAGCCAACACACATTCCAACCTCTCTCGAGAAGTACAGAGCAAACAGCAGACGTTCTCAGAGCTCTTGGAGAGAGAGATGGCAGGCTCAGGGCCCTTCATGAAAGAAAGCCCCAACTCTGGTGGAAGCAGACCGGAGCGCAGGGGCCGTCCAGGAATTTCTGGTGGCCCCACCAGTACGCGGGGGTTGCAGCAATGCTTGCAAGTCAGTCTCTTTTATTTTGGAAACGGCATCCGGCCCTCCTTTTACATGAACGCTGGCCGGACGCGCAAGGGATGTCAGAATACCAACAGAAGGATAGTGAAGCTCATTGCCCTGAGCTGCGGGGTGGGCCAGAGTGACTGCTGGCCGGCTCAGCATTTCCAAGTAGCTAAGCACCATCCTGCCCGTCCCTTGAGCGGGAACAAGTCTGGGGAAAGGCCTCTGCCCTCGGCAAAAAGCTGAGATGTTAAAACAGGTGGGGGACGCGAAGAGCCCGTTTCCGATCTTGGACCGTGACCCTGCCCCCGCTCCCCCGCAGCCCTGAGAGAGGCACTTTGCCCACCCCATCCCGGCATGACCACCGATTCAACCCCCCCCCGCCCCCACTGGGCTCCCAGGGCGGCACCCAAGCGAAGCGTCACCTGGGCTGCAGCTTGCAGGTTGTAGCAGGCCAGCTCCTGGCTCGTCGGCTTGGCAGTCTCTTTGCTATAGAGAAGGGCCCCCGTGAGCCAGCAGCCCCCCAGGAAGAGGTCTGAGAGGCTCAGGTAGAAAAGAGGCCGCACCTGCAGAAGAAGGCAAAACGACCGGTTACCTAGCGATTCCTTGGGTGTCTGTCAGGCGGGAAGCTGCTGCCTCCTGATCCAGCCCTGCCTCGGCCCTGCGAGGCCAGAGTTGCTGACACGGGCTGGCAGCAGCGGCTCTCTGGGGTTTCAGGAGTCTCTGCAGCCTAGCCAGAGGAGGCATGGCCCGGCCCGGAGGCCTTTGTGTGGCATACAAAGCCGGAGCTGTGCCAGCTCCAGCTCCCAGTGGAGGCCGTGCCCGTCTGGCAAGGGCAACCTCCCGCATCTGGGAGATCAAACGGGGCTGCGCGCACACTGATGCCCATATCAAGGACAGGGTGGTCAAGCCGGAACGTGCACGCACAAAACCTGCTGCCCCCTGCACGGCCCCCAGGGGCGTTCCGCCGTCTGCGGCATGCTGCCTTCAGTTCTGCTCCGCAGGCCCCTGCCCCAAGCTGCTTGGCCAGGGCCAAGGGGATGCGAGGAAAACAGAACTGTTTGCAAAGAGCCAAGGGCTCGGCGGCACCTTAAAGACAAGCCCTTTTATTGCAAGGTGAGGTTTTGCCGATGCTGTGGACAACATCCAAAGAAGCTAATGCCAGAACAAACATGTTTTTCTTGAAGGGACCCCGACTCTGCTGGCCCAGCCAAACTCAAGGGCACCCCCTCTGAGAATTGCTCCAGAGTCCACGAACAGGAAGCCGTTGGCAAGATAAATGCCAACAGCAACGCTCAAAACACGTGTTTAAAACTGAAGGACCACCGAGCCTGGGGAAATGAAAGGGTCTGCAAAGGCCCAGGGTAGGTGCTGGGCCAGCCTCTTGGGTGGGGGGAGGGGACACGTCTGCAGCCGGGGGCCAACGCTGACCAGGCCCTCTGTGTCACGGCCATCTTTGTCCAGCAAGAGCGTCTGAAGAAGGGTCTCTGAGCATGGCCTTGCAGTCCACGCAGGTGTATGCAGAAAGGGGCCCCCCTTCGGCAACCAGGCCCCGAGCAGCCGAAGTCCTGGCCAGTCCATACCAGCCCCTTGCATCCGGCCCAGAATTAGCTCCGGCATTATATTGCCATACTGACCAGTTCCATTAACCATCGTCCTGCCCTGTTTTGAACCCACACCATGTAGTTAGCAAGCCGGACTTGTGGATTTCACGAAGGGCCTCCCTACCTCCCACCTCCCCCTCCCAAACGCCTGATTACAAGGACTGTCTCTAGCAGGAGAGACCAGTGGATAATTAGAATACACGACTTAATGAGCCTCGGTCTATTGTGGTAGGGAAATTAAGCAGCTGGTCTCCTCTCCGGCCTTGAGGCTCAGTTCTTGCGAAGCTCGCCACCGAGCTGCCGAAACCCCAACAGAGCAGGGCAGGGATTCAAGCCGTAAAGCCGAATGTTTGCTTTAGCCGCAAGGAGGAATGTCCCTGAAAAATCCAAGCCTCCCTTGAAGAGTTCCCCCTCCCATCTGCGTCATCAAGTGCAGGGAAAGCAAGCCCGTCGTTCCCTTACCTCCGGGGATCTGGCCATATTCTGGAGCACGGCATAGCCAATCATGGAGCTGGCCCCTATTACACTGTGGAAACAAAGGCCGATTGAGCGCAGGTCGCCAGCTCTGTTCCTGGTAGGGCTCCTGTGCTTTAACCAGGGAGGGGTGAACAGAAATGCCATAGCTGGACACTTCCCCAGCACTGAGCCTGCATTTTGAGAAAGGCCTCCCTGGAATGTGCTGGTTTATTTAAGGTGGTATCCAGCTGTCATTCTGCTCACACAAATGATGTTCTACTGGAAGCCCAAAGTGCCCATTCGTGCGATGGATTTTCTGGGGGACAGTGATTGCTGTTGCATCCAAAAGGAGGCCTGGATTTGCCCCCCCACCCAACTATGAGGTTCTGCACCCCTGTTCTGAACCAGCCTTCAAACAAACAGATTCTGGTGTGTTGTTCCAGGTATACACATCGATTCTAACGCATATATTACTATAAAAATAAACACTCTTTGTGGAAACTGGGTGTAACAAGGGATAAAGCAAACAGAGGCAAGATAAGCAACTAAAAATATTCCAGTAAATATTCATGTCTTTATCAGGCTCCAAGACTAATGATGCACATCAGACTTCCTACAGGGGAGTGTTTCAAAGTTGGGGTGCCATCCCAGGAAAAGCGTCTCTCTTTCACACACGCTTCACCCTCTTTTCCTAGTGGCAGTGCTCAGAGATCTTAAGGCAGAGATCTCGGCTTCTCTGTGACAGCCATCAAAAGGCGCAGGAAAAACAGTGGCTACCCCACTGAGCTCCGGCTTCTGCGCTTCTTTGCTCAGCCTGATCCTACCAGAAAATGGTGGTGATGCGAATGATGCCAGCACTAATGACGACATGGAACCCGTCCTCCAAAAGTTTTGGCCTACAGCTCCCATCATCCTTCACCATCAAGCATGCTGGCTAGGCTGATGGGAGTTGTAGGTCAAAGCATCTGAAGGGCTGCCAGTTTCCTACCCTGTTTTAAAGGAATCTTTGGCGAATGGCTCCACATTGGCAGAGAGACAGTTCACACCGGTCCAAACGCCGACCGGCTGCTTTCCCATGTCTTTTTGGGGCGTTTTGGAAATCATTATTTCTCATTTGTATTGTATGAATATTAAAACAGACATTTTTCTTGAGTGTCCCCTCTCACACTTGAGGCGACCCACAACAGGAATGCCAATTTATATATAAATAAGCATAAAATGTTATGCAATTCTTAAGCAACATGAACATGACAGGTCGATCTGGGGCAGTCTGTGGCCAGCTACTTCTGACAACAGGATGCACCTGGCAGCCCTGGACATTCCCCGGCAGATCCCTTCCCTCTCAGCTGTTCCCTTTCTCGAAAGGAGAGAAGGTGCCGGACGTACCTCAGAGCAGCCATCGCAGCTTGAATCCAGTGGACCACGGCAAAGAACTGCAGAGGGGAGATCAAACCAGACGCATCCCTGCAGTGGCAGCCGTGGGCCGCGCAGTGCACAGAGTGTGTCCGCATTGTGCCCACACACCTTGCGGGAGGGCGGCATGCAAGCCCATCAAATCCATCAAGGATGGCTCCCCGCCTGGCAGCTGGCAGGGCCGGGCGCAGGCAGAGGGGCGCAGGAGAGGGGCACCTTCTCCCGAGCCCTGGGCTCGGGCTGGACTGCCCCGCAGGGCCAGGGCCAGCAAGGCTCGCAGGAGGAACAGCCTCCCGCTCGCCTGTCGCAGGGCCCATTCCGCTGCGGATCCTGGGGACTGAGCCTGCGACCTGCGGCACGCAGAGCAGGGCCGGGTCCCTCCGCAAGGCTGAGGCCGCCACCGCCCTCCGCGGCGGAGCGAGGACTGTCCCCGGGTGCGGGGGGGGGGGCGGCAGCTGCGGCCAGCCCCACGCCCCAAGAGGGCCCAAGGAGCAGGCTGAGCCGGAGCGGTTCTCCTTGGGCTGAACGGTTCCTCTGCCGGAGACCCTCCGGAAAGGGGTTCCCCGCTCCGAGGCACACCCAAGGGACTCTTCCGAGTGAGGCTTTGCCTTGCTCCACCCGTGGAAATTTAGGGGGGCCCAGAAGCTCCCCCCACATTTGGAACCCTGCCCTGCTCCCCCACCGCCTCTAGCCCCCCCCCCCCCGACCCCCCCGGAGGGCCGGAGCCCAGCTGCCCAAGGTCTGTGGGCTGGTCCCGCGGGGAGCTGCCTGGAGGAGGCGCCCCAGCTGGAGCGGGGAATGAAGAGGCAGGAGTAATTGCCCCGGGCGGGGGGGGAGCAGGCGAGAAAAGACCCGGGAAGGGGGAAGCCTGGGGCGCCCGGGGAGAAGCCGCTCTCTGCATGGAGGGCTGGCGAAGCTGACGGGGCGGGGGGAAGGGGTGAAAGAAATTCCAGGCTTATGGGGCGGCGGGAAGGGCGGACGGACAGGCAGGAACACAGGGAGCAAAAGGAAACGGGAATGAGACGAACCGCGAGTTGACGGAGAGGGAAACCCAGAGCAGATGTTAAGCGCTGGCGAGCAGCGCAAAGCGAGGGGGACGTGAGGGGTCACTGGGGGGAGAGCGGGGAGGAGGGAACGCGGGCAAGAGCGGGGCCGGTCAGGTAAGCCCGTGGCGCTGCCCCCTCGCCCCGCCAGGTGCGCTTCTCCCCCGCCCGGGCAGGTGCTTCCTCCCTCACCTGCGTCCAGTCCACGCCTGCGGCCAGCAGCTCGTCGGCCAGCGCGCCCGGCGCCAGCGGAGCCATGCCGGAGAGCCCAGCCGCGGCCAGCGGGGCCAGGTGGGTGCGGGCTGCCGGCCGGCCGGACGGATGGACGGGCGGGCGGGCGGCCGGCCCCGCTCCCGCTCCTCCCCGCCGCGCCTTCGCTAGTCCCGCCCCAGTCCCAGCCACGGAGAGCGGGAGGCGCAGCGGGGCCCGCGGGGAAAGGCCTTCTGGCTGAAGGGACCAAGCGCGACGCAAGGCGCGGCGAGTCGGCGGGGCTGAAGCGGGAGCACGACGAGCCGGAGAGGGACCCGCGCGGGCAAGTGAGCGCCGCCGGCCCAGCCAGAGAGCGAGCGCCGCCGGCCGAGCCACGCGGCGCCGCTCCGCCCCCTGCCGGCGCGCCGAGGACAGCGCGCGGGGTGCGCCCGTTCGTTCGTTCGCCCGCCCGCCCGCGGAGCCGAGCCGAGCGGGCCTGGCGCCCTTGCTGCGACGCCCCGAGGGCCCCGAGAGCGCAAGAGGCGGGCGGGCGGGCTGCGCGTCCGCACGTGCCCTCGTGCCCGTGCCGGGAGGGGCGCGGCACGCGCGCGTCTCCCAGAGCGCCCCTTCCCCTCCCCGGAGCACGCGCGCATCTCCCTCGAGGCACGCGACGCGCGCAGGCCGGGAGCCCCGGGCGCGGCCCCGGCGCCGGCCCAGCTGCGCGAGCCCTCGGCCACGTGCGGTTAATAAGCACGTGCGGCCCTGAGCTCGGCGAGTCCGCGGGCCACCTGCTGGGCCTCAGACGTGCCGCAGAGCCTGGCCTGAGGGCCGCAGGGGCGTGGCGGGAGCTCACGGGATCGGCGTTGCGCCCCGCGGGCGCGATCCTGAGCCTGCGCGGGCGGAGATGGCGCTCCGGCTCCCAGGCGGCTCGCGGCAGCGCTGGCTCTCCTCCTGGCCCCAGTCGCGGGAGCCGCTGGCCGGGACACGAGCACACCTCGTCGCGGCACCGCGGTCGGAGCGAATGGCGGGACGCGCCTCCCGCGGGGGTCAATGGCCGGGCCGGGCCTTCCCGCCCAAAGCCGGGCCGAGACACGGCCACCAGTCTCGGGGGCCAGTCGCCGTCCGCCGCGGAGGTTCCGGCGATTTTGCCCAGGCGCGCCCAGAGAGCCGCACACTGGCGGCCACCGAGTTCGAGCAGGTGGGGGCGGGTGAAGGGGCCCCTCGCAAGCCCCACGGCCGAGCGCGAGGGCGCCGCGGCCGGCTTCCTTTCTGCTCTGGAATGGCGCGCACGCCGCGCCTCCGTCCCGGGGGAGGCCCGACCCTAAATGCAGGGCCCATTATCCGCAGCCAACGCCGGGAGGCCGCAGCCTTGGGAAGGCTGCTCGCGAGCGGGGTGCGCCGCCTACTCCAGGCCGAGGCCCGATGCGCGGCCCGCGAGCGGCAGGGCAGGGCAGGGCCGGGGGGCGCGGGGCTGCCCCGCGGACGCCCCGTCCGAGAAGGGCCCCTCGGGCCGCACGGCCGGCCCCGCGGAGCGCGGCGAGTGCAGCGGCGGAAGGGGGGCGTTGGCGCCCGAGCCCGGCAGGCCTCCCAGCCGCTGGGCTCGGGCTGCGCGCCTCCCCCCCCCCCGCCCCGAGGCTTTGCCCTGCCGGGCCGAGCGGCCGCCTGCACGCCATGCTGCATTGCGCTTCTGGCTCAAGCTCAGCGGATTCAGTTCTTCGTGCGTCTTTGAACTGGGGAAGGGAGGAATCGGACAAAAGGGCTCTTTGTCCTGCTTAGGGTAGCAATTAGGCAGCGCTGTTATTGGAATGATAACTGGCCTGCTGGCTCCCCTCGCAGGCTGGCCCTGGTGGGGTTCATGGGCTGGGAGGGCTGAGGAAGCCCCGCTGAGGATGCAGGACCCCCAGGATGGGAGAGGGGGGCCGAGCTGGAAGGGGCCAGCAGGTCATCAGGTCCAGCCCCCCACTGCTGCAGGACGCCGATTTACACCATCCCACTCGGATGACTGTCCGGTTTCGCCCTGAACGGCAGAGCCGACCTCTCTAGGCAACTGGTCCCACTGCCATGTTGCTCTGGCAGCCAGAAAAGTCAGTGTGGTGTGGGAGAGCCAGTGTGGCGTAGTGGTTAAGAGCCTGGGACTGGGACTCAGGCGATCCGGGTTCGAGTCCCCACTAGGCCATGGAGCCCACTGGGTGGCTTTGGGCCAGTCACAGACTCTCAGCCCAATTCACCTCACAGGGTTCTTGTGGTGGGGATAAGATGGAGGAGGAGATGTAAGCTGCCTTGAGCCCTTTGTAGGAAAAAGGCAGGATATAAATCACAATATAAATAAATAAATGAATAAATAAATCTGGGCTGTTGCAACTTACATGAATTTTTCCGTGTCCTGCACTCTGGGACGAGTGAGATCTTGGCCTCCCTCTTAGGGCAGTCTTTGGGGTCCTTATAGAGGGATAGTATTGATGGGAAAAAGACTCGGGGGAGTTCCTGTCTTAGACGTGTGTGTGTGTGTGAGATGCTAGACAAGGGCCTATCTGGAATGCGGAGTGGACCCTCTGCCCCGTGTGATGCCCCCGTTCAACATTTACCCTCCACACGTGGGCAGTTCTAACTGCAGAACTTACATGCCACATGGGAATTGCCCGAAACGCAAGGCCACCCAGGCCCTCTCCGAGCACGAATTCCCACGACGGATATCACTTCCCAGCCATCACAGCTCACACGGAGGTCACGACAGCTCCACAAGCCACAGCAAAAAAGGAGACGAGGGCAAGCCTTACTGGGCGTCTTTTTCCAGTAACCTTTATTAGCAAATGAAGTCCCACCGATAAGGTTTCCCTGCAAACCAATTCCACAAATACTGCTCAGGAAGAGACGAGCGTGCACTGGCTTCGCCTCCTCGGCCGGCCTTTGGCTTCCCAGGCTGTGCTCCCCGAACACCCTCGCGGGCAGAGCCCACCCCGCGGGGGCCGCGTGCCCCTGCTCGGGACAGGCGTCTCCCCACGGCCGGCAAGGCAGTCCGAGGGGGGCCGCCGGAGCCAGGAACCTGCTGTGCGGCTTGCGGCAGCCGGAGGAGCGTGGCGGGCAGGAGGAAGGGGAGAGCCAGGTGGCCGCGCTGCAAGGGACACGGGCCAGGTGGGTTCCGCCACACGCTGCTCCGGGTGGAGCATGAGGAGCGGGGAAGGGGCCGCGCCAAGTCCGCAGGTGGCCACCTGGAGAACCCACCTGGTCAGGATAGCACCTGTGAGGAAACACTGTTTAAAAATTCAGGAGGGGGGGAAGCCAAGTTGCCCCTTGAGAATGAGGGTTCCTGTGCAGCATCGTTCAGCAGTGCAGCTGGCCATGGCCGCCCCCCCCCCCGAGGGATGGCGTCCTCAGCAAATGTGCGGACAAGGAACGGGAATGGGCTCTCATGGGGCGGGGGGGGGGGTTGCCTGCTCTAGCAGAGCACCGTTGGGACTTGATCTGCTTGTTTCACAGCTGGCGCGCCTTCGTTCCCGCTCGGTGTCAGAGTTCCTCCTTCTCATCCTTTGTCTTCTGCTGGAAGGAAGCTAGGATGTTGAGGCGCTTCTGCAGCTCCTCCTTCTTCCCGTCGCTCATCTTGTTCTCCTCGATGAGCTTGCTGATGCGGGAGACCTCGCTGGCAGCGAACTGGGTGCCCTGGGCGAGGATTTTGCTCATGACCTTGACGTACTGCTCGGCAGATTTCCGCTCCGTTTCCTTGGCCTTCGCCAGGAGCTGCTGCGCACGCTCCAGGAGCGCCTTGCGTGCCGCTTCCGCAGCGGTGCTCACAAATTCGCTTGCCAGGCCGTCAAATTCCTTCAGGCATCCTGGCATGCCCATGTAGATCCCCCGACCCTTGAGCCAGCGCTGCAGAGCGCTGGCCGTGACTGGCCCCTTGTAAGGCACCGGGCTCTCCATGTCGCCATCTTGGAACAAGTAAAAGACCGGGAACGCCTCCTTATCCAGCTTGTATCTCTCTCCCAGCTCCATGTTCTGTTTGTCACCGTAATCTGCAACACAAAAGGCCAGGCGTAAAATAACACTGGACCTAACCCTCCGATGAAACGGCCAAAGCGGCCTCGTCAACGGCCCCTGGACTAATTGTTTGGGGTGGGTAAAATGGCATTGGGGGACCAGGCGAAACACAGTCCAGGCAGCTGATAAAAGAAGTTTCAGGCAGTTAGAGTGTTACCTCGCTGATTAATCAATTAATTTAGCATACACTGGCAAATACAAAATAAGGATCTAATGTCCTGAAAAATAGGAATGTACAGTATGGCTCAAGCATCTCCAGTGAGTTTCAGTGGGCCTTTACTCCAAAGGAGACCTGCCACTTTCTCAAAGGCCCTGGGTGGGCTCACTGCCCTTTTCGCTGACCAAGCTCACCCCTCTGAGAAGCAATGGGAAAACCGGACGGGATGCGGGCATGGCAGGGCCAACCCAGAGGCTCTTGGCCTGCGCTCACCCGTTGCGCAGCCAGGCCTGGGATGCCAAAAATGGCGGGTGCCAATTTGGGCAGGGGATTTCCACATCGAAACCCACACCGGATTTGTTGGGGCAGATTTTAAAAATCATTTTGAAAGTCTGATGGTGGCAGCCTTATGTAAAAGTTGCTTCTATTTCAGGATGCAAACTGCCAATATAGCTATGGATAGGCAGACAGGCTAACAGAAGGAAAGAAAACCAGGCCGTTGCAGTTAAGAACGTCTGAAACCCTTTGCCAAAGGTTGGTGGGTTTGTTAGGGGCCTGCAGATGGGGGGTTCATGGGGGTTGCAAGCTTGCAGTTCAGCTCTTTGTCAAGAGCCAGTGTGGTGGAGTGGCCAGGGTAGCTTTTAAAGTTTTCCTTATTTCAAGCGTTTATAGACTGTCACAATGGCTTTCCCTACCTACCTCACAGGGGTGTTGTAGGATTATAATCACATGGGAGACCAATATTTCAAGCTTGCGTGGAAATGGAGATCAAATATCATTATTAAGAATAATTTGAAGGCCTAGTTAGGGTCTGGTTTGCTACTCTAAGAGCAAATATGAAAAAATACACATGGACCGTCCTTTCCTTCTCACCACAAGCGGTAGCCCTTGTTGAGTCAACGCTTTATTTGCACACTTCTGAGTCAGAAAGAACTTTTGTCAAGGGTTTGGCACTATATAAACTGAACAGGTTAAGGATTCAAAGACAGGTGATTCATTGACTAAAATCTCGCTACTTAGCTGACCATCTTGGTTCGATTAACCTTCACTTTCTTTCACTTCTGTATGTCAAATGGCGTCTGCCTTGAGAGTTTGGCAATGAACAAGGTGATTACTCAACAAAACACACAATTCCAGGCATGTTTAGACTGAAAAAGTCCCGCAACTCCCAGCATTCCCAGCCAGTAGCCTAAAATGTTTTCATTTGGTTGGGAACACACACCTCAACCCATCCCACAAGCAGGAACAGCCCTAGGTAATTCCATGCAGATACCTGAGAAGGTACAAAATGCTGGACCCCACATCATGCAGCCACCGCCTTCATTTCAAATAAGCAATCAAGTTTCTAGATCTCATGACTGCAAAGATGTTCAAGCTGTTTGGGAACGGCACACAAGCCCACTGCAACAACGCACCTGAGATCCCCACCTCGGCCACCAACAATTCATCGCTGGATTCTGAGCTTTCGGCCACAATTTTGAACTCATCCTGTTTCTCCCCATAAGGGTACTGGGTGTCAAATTTCACCAGAACAAACTTGTGCTTTGGGATCACCTAAGAGAAGAGAACAGTGAGAACATCAGTGGACCATCCCAGTTTAATACAATCTGCCTGGAACAAGCCCAGCCTGTTGCGGATGGAAAGATTATTACACCTTCGGTTGAAAAATGCCCATGCCGGCGCTCCCACGGTTGCGCCTTTCCGTGGGCCGAGAAAAGGCGTCCGGTTGTCGCCCCTTCCCACCCGCGACGCAGGGCCCAGACTCCACCTAAGCGACTCCACACCTACAGGCACCTCAGCAGCCGGGGCTGCTCTGCTTGCCGTCTCCAAAACCCGGGTACAGAGTATGGCATCCCGTGGATCTTGCTGCAAATATGACTACAGCTTTGCCATCTTCAGGGCTTATCATTAGCAGCAGATAAAAATCAAGCGGCGGAGGAGCTGCCAAAAAAATATATGGCAGAAACACGCCAAGAACAAACATTTCCCCAAAGGACTCATTTGTCTTCAGCGGTCTACCTGTGCCGCAGCCTTTCCACGTCTCATCCTCAGTGTCTCATTTAAATCGGGGAGTTCCACGGCATAGCCTTTGCATAAACCTCCGCAACAGCCCTGCGGAGTTGGCCTCATGGATGCCAGGGCACACGTGGGCCGCCAGGGCACTTTCTCCCCGTGAAACGAAGGTGGCCCTTCCATGCCTCCACCCACCCCACGTGCCAGGAGACGCTGCCACGGGGCAAAGCCGCGGAGGCCCGGGCGCCCGGAGCGGAACAGGCCGGCGGCTCGCTGGTTTCGGGGCAGCCTCCCTCTGCAGCTCCCACGCCTGCAGTGGCACCGGGTTTTTGAACGGCGGAGATCATCCGGTGCTTCAGACCTTGCCGTGCAAAAGCACAAGCGCACTGTTAACGTGCTACATCGTCAGAAGGCTTAAGCGGGAACCCAGCGCGTTTCAAAGGCTTTGAACAATCGGATGGATGAACGAAATGAAGGGCAGAGAAAGTCAACCGCTGGCTGCTAGATGTGAAGGAGCCCTAATATTAATATTATTACATAACACCGTTACGTAACATTATTCACAATATTGCAGCTTCTCATCAGCAATATGCGGGCAGGGCATCCTACAGCCACGGGGTGGGCTGCTGGGCCGGCACAGCAGCGGCGGCGGCTCCGGCTCCGGCGGGCCCTCCGAGGGGCTCTCCTGGCCTCATCGCCAGAGGCCGGTCGTGGCGCTCAGGTGCACGCAGCGGCCACGCCGAGAGGAGAGGAACACTCTGCTCATGCTCAGCGGCACCTGCCAGCAGTGCGACGGAGGCTGCTCCGAGCCGGCCCCCGCCCTGCCCTGCCCTGCCCTGCCCGGGCCGCGAAGGCCACTTGGGCTCCCGTGATTGGCGAGCGCGAGGCCGCCTCCCCGTGGGCTCCGCGACGCCGCCAGGGGTGGGGCGGCCGGGCCAATGCCAATCGCCGGCCGGGCGGGTGGGGGGGGAGGCGGCGAGGCGGCCACCGGGGGCCCGCGAGCGTCTCCCCGCAGCGCGCCCGCTCCGCACGGGCGAGGGAGGCCGCCGCCGGTGCCCCGGCAGGGGCGGGCGGGCGAGCGCGCCC